ATTATTGTGTTTTTCATTTAGCACAGATATTACACGTTCATCTTGATAGCTCGACATTATTTTAAATACTACATATTTGAAAAAGAAAGCGCAATTAAATTAATTGGTACCTACTGAGACGGTGCAGTGTGGAAAAAACCTTTTGTATAATATAATGTTAATAAAATTGCTATATCTAATTTATTATGAAGAAGAAATGTTCTGACTTGGTCGTGTTTTTATTCTACCCAACCCAATCAAGAATTCGAGGAAAAAATATTTTTCCTCCAATTCCATTATCCCGCACGTCTCTCCTAGATCCGCTACTGTGGCAACTGTACCGTACCCTCTCGTAAGCACTACCTAGAGAGGAAAGGTAACGGAAAAAAAGAGTTGCATACCTTTCCTCCTCCCAAAAGGCCCCAGGAAAGCATTGTTCTTCCCCACGATATTATCGTCTATGTATTTAACCAACTTATTCACTTCCTCATTCTTCTTGGCCAAAGTGCCGGTACTGCCGGCACCGGCTCCTTTCTGTTTGCCTATCCTCAGGGGATAATCCTCCGGGAAGGCGTACAGCCGTCGATTGCCGTACGACTTCCTAATCGTAGTGGTCGTTGATGTCATTTTCTCATTGTACACAAAACAAATGAACACGCGGCGCTGTCACTGTCGTATCGCTAATCGCTACCGGACCACGGAACGACTCACTGTCGTTTGTTTACTCCGCGTAGTGAATCTGTCGCGCGACTGAATGCTGAAACGGTGTTGCAGGAGTCAAAGCCGCGGCAGGCAAGCCAGTCAGCAGGACGGCGCGAAGCGTCGCGACGCCATCGTTGCCAGATGGTCCCTTTTGGAGCCAGCTTGAGGAAAATCTTGAAGGAGTCAGCCAAGCATTCCTTCAGTTTTTTCATAAACTGGACATAGATAAACAGTACCTATTTCCGATTTTAATGATATTGTACGTGACGTGGATTGATATTAAAAACAGCAAATGTCTAAAAAGTAGATTAATTACTATAAGTAGATCCTGTAGTTGGTCTCAACTCATCGAGTAAAGAACAAGATAATGCTAACTTTTTAATATCATCTAAGGGTAGTAATGAAAAATAAAAACATGACAACGGTAAATTTTTAATAAACTGATAGAAGCATTTTATAGTAAGTAAAAACTCGCACGATGTGGCAGGTTGCTGAACACATTTCATAGCAGTCATATCTAAACCGATGTAAACATCATGGATGTTGAATGCTTAACTTTTTCATTAATATTTTACACAGATCTTTTTATAGTAGCAGTATGTGCACACAAAACTTTTCACTCCTTATATATTTAAGTAATTTGTTATATTTTTGTGTGTATCTGTTATCGTTGTGTTGACAACAATATATGTGACTTTAGTGGTTAAGTGTTGGAATAGCATTTTGCTAAATTTATTATTATTTAAATAATAAATGTTAATCTAAGGCTGAGCATATTGAGAGCCTCGGTCGAGCTAAAACAACGCTTGTTACAGTCGATAAATCGGCAAACTGTCTGTAAGTATTTTAAACACTCTTCTCAAAAACTGAAAAAACACAACTTTCCCAAAATCGTTTTAATGTTTTCCTGGCTTTAATTGTAGCGTGATTTCAAAATATATTGTACATTAACATTGCCACCTTTTCTTCTCTACAAGATAGCATAATTGGACGGCTTTTTGCAGAAAGGAACCAACCCACTAAATATGAAAATTCTAGATTTTAGGAAAATAAACTATTAGCAATATGTAAAGCCTTTAGTATGAAATTAATTAAAATCGTGTTTTGTCTGAAATGGATTTGTTATCAGTCAAAACTTTAAAGCCTAATTGCTCAATAATTCTTTTTCTGGGCTGGTTCCTTTCAGCAAAAGCCGTCCAATTAGAGTTCCAATATGGCGATTTGTGTCTTGTCCTCCAGCATCAACTTTATTTTTTCTTAGGAAGCCATATGGGATTTTTACGCACATGAATAGAGTTTTTAATTTCAGAAATATAAAACCTTGTTTATTTTAAGAAAAGCAGAATTTCCTAGTTAGGTCTTGAAATTAGCGGATAATCATTTGTGTTGCATACCAGATTTGTCCCAAAATCACTATCATGTTTTCCTGACTTCATTTGAGATGGGATTTCAAAATAAATTGTATGTTGTCATTGTTACCTATTCTCCTCTGCAAGATGGCGTAGTCAAATTTTCAATTCGACATTTCTTCTTTCGACTTCCATCACCAACTTTGTTTTTTCATATGGATGCTCTATTGAAATTTTGTACATTTAAATGGACTTTCCAGTCCTAAATATAGTATTTCCTTAGTTGTTCATGAATTTATTGGATGAAAATTAGAAGGAAATGAAAACTCTATTCACCTGCGCGCAAAAATTCAATATGGCGTCCATAAGAAAAAATAAAGTTGATACTGGAGGACAAGAAACGTCATATTAAAATTCTAATTATGCCACCTTGTAGAGGAGAAAGAGTGACAATGTTAACTTGGAATTTATTTTGAAATCCCACTACAAATGAAGTCAAGAAAAAGTAAAACGATTTTGGGAAAATTCTGTTTTATTCGTCTCTCACCGGAAGTACTCTGATTTTCTAAGCGGCATTTTGTTAGTTACGTAAGTTGGCAACTTTGACCCTATCTAAGCGACTTCGTATCTCTTACCCTTTCCGAATGGTGGGGTCGAATTTGAAACACCAGGTATATATTTACATTTTCAGAACAGAAATATCACACCAGCTCTATTTCTTACATTCCTTCAATCTAGTATAAGTCCGGCAACACCGTCAGTGGGGAGACGCTTTGTCGTAGCAGGAACAAATCGATAGACAGCGTTGCCATTTCCAGTAACTACGGAAGCTTCCGTGATGACTAGCTACCTATTATCCGCATTTAGCATTTTCTTTATGTTTTTGTTTTCGTAGTGACTGACTTTGACTATGAGTACTCATGAATGATTGGTGGTTACGCTCAATAAATGGGTCAGACAGTCTGAATAACGCCTTTTCATATTCAAAATCATGCTGTTCTCAAGGCTTTGGGATATTCACAATATGGGAAGAATTTATCTTAGATAAGGTCACTTGATCTGTCAATTCATATTCTACTTGTTTCTTTTTTCATTACGAGCATGCCGTGCATGTAATCTTATGTCAAGTATTGGAAAAAATATAATAAATGACAAATCGATCCACACATTGATTTGATGCATTTAAAGGTACAACTGCCCTTGATCTTAATAACTATCGATAATAAATTGGAAGAAAGATTTTTTGATATGTATGCCTTTTTGATAAAACCAAATCATTGGAAGTAAAATCCACAGTAAAAATGTAAAGTAAAACTTCTTTTTTATTTTGTTTCATAGTGTCAGATATTGCATATACTAAAATCAGTGAGTGTTATAAGCCAAAAATTTGTGTTTGAGTTGAGTGTTTAGGGTTTCACGATTCACTTCTTAACTGGATGTTTGATATTGTTTCAAGATGTGAGTCTGAATAATTGTACTTAGAAGAAATATTTCCCAGGATGTTAAAAAAAAGTAACTGCATATTATTCTCCTAATAAGAGTTCGATGGAGATCACTAACTTAATGTAGTCTTAAAGCCATGTATTATATACTCCATGGTAGGTTATATGTACAGTGGAATCCACTTATAATGAACTTGCTTGTAATGGAAACCTGTAGGTATATAATGGACACAATTTAAGGTCCTATAAATACAGTGGAATCCACTTATAATGAACTTGCTTATAATGGAAACCCCTATATAATAGACACAATTTGGGATAATATAAATAATTGCATGTAAAATCGTCGGATATTATAGACTGGCTTAAAGCCGACTATTTTAATCCATTATATGCGAGCTATTTTGGTAGTTCCCCGAAGCATATTTAGTTGATGCAATCGTTTACGGCGGTTTGGCTTCGCAGTTTGCATTCGAACTTGGCCACTAGTGTTATACTGTATTTTTTCGTTATAAGCATGTCGAAAAGTGCGAAACGTGCATTCACTTTACACGAAAAGTTCACAATAATTAGTGACCTTGAGCAGGGTTCATCTCAAGCAAATATATGTGCTCGTATGGCTATAAAAAAATCCACTGTGTCAAATATTTGGAAAAACCGTGATAAAATTAAAAATGACTGGAAATCAAACAGTCAAAAGAAAAAAATGCGGCTATCGCTGCATCCTCAAGTCGGTGATATGCTGTTTAAATGGTTTCAATAAAAGCATGCTAATAGTTTTCCAATAAGTAGACCTATGCTACAAATAAAGGCTGAAGAATTTGGGAAATTAATTGGAGATTACTTTAAAATGTAGTTCCGGTTGGCTAGACAGGTTTAAGAAAAGACATAACATTGTTTTTGGAAAAATGTGTGGCGAGTCAGCTTCAGTTGACAAGAACGTTACCAATAACTGGATTTCTCAAGTTTGGCCCATAATATCCAGTGATTATTCGGTTGATAACATATTCAATGCAGATGAAACCGGGATATTTTATAGAATGCTACCAGATAAGACGCATAAATTAAAAGTTGAAACTTGCAATGGAGGGAAACTCTCAAAAGAGCGAATAACTGTTATGATTTGTGCTAATGCTTTCGGTACTGAAAAACGGAAGCTATTGATAATAGGTAAGTGAATGAATAGAAATGCATGTTCTAATTTTTTGATATACAATGGCAGTGCTGCAAAAAATGTATGATGACCTTTTTTTTATTTCAGGGAAATTTAAGAATCCCAGGTCTTTCAAAAATGTTGAAACAATTCCCGTCGATTATGTTGGAAATAATAAAGCTTGGATGACTTCATCAATTTCTGGAAAATATTTAAAAAAGTGGGACGCTGAACTTAAGAAAAATCATAAAATTTTGCTCTTGGTCGATAACTGCCGCTCATCCAAATATTTCACTTAATAACATTAACCTTCAATTTTTTCCACCCAATGTGACATCAGTTCTGCAACCAATGGACCAGGGTGTCATTTGGAGTCTTATAAAATTCAACTTGCTGTTCTAAATAATTATACAAAAAAAACAACCTGTTCAAATGAAAATTACTAGCTTTTTTACCAAATACTTTATGGTTTTTACACATACCTGCCTAATACCTAATATGTGTATCAGATTCTGAAAAAATGCAAATTTCAAAATTACATATAACTTTTTGTATGTATCTTTATTTATGTAATACATGTTAAACAAACACATTTTAAGCTTTTGATATGTTATTTCTGCTGCTTTTTTCATCAAAAAATAGTGTTTCTTTCAAGATGGTCATCCACCTATAATAGACTATTTGTCACAGTCCCGCCAAGTCCATTATAAGTAGGTTGCACTGTATTATGATTATATTATAATGGCTTTTATGGACATTTCCAAATGAACTTCACATATATGATAGCAAAAAAAGTAAATAGTAAACAGAGGTTATTATGCTACTACTGATTTCAAGGATGCTATGATAACAAACTGAATATAGCAAAAATCAGTATGATTTACCAAAACATATATTATCAACATATTCAATAAATATATAATAAAAAACTTGATGGAAAATGATACCTCAGACAAAAAGTTGAAAACAAAAACCTATCATCTCTCACTCCTGAAGATACTGGATGATATCTCTTGCCCTCTGAAGCTTCATCTGGTAATCCTCATCATCATTACTTTCCTCTGACTGCTCCTCTTTTTCTATTATCTTCACTGCTTCCTTCAAAATGGTATCTCTTGTAGAACCTTTTGACCCAGCAAAGTATTCCACTGTTACCTCCCAAAACTCTTTGGGAATGTTTGCCTCATCATACAAATTTTGTTGCAGCCATATCTGTTTCAATTTTTCAAACTTCCAGTCTGACCTACTATGTTTCCATTTTGATAAATAGTTCAAAGCACTTTGTTGCATTTTTAATTCAGCTTTCATCTTTTTCTGGCTTAAAAGTTCAGCATGTTTTCTACGTTTCTGAGCTCTTATTGATTCTTTCTTCTCAACTATGGGCTCAGTACCATCTACATCATTATCTTCTTGTGGTACAGAGTTTTCTATCTCCTTCCTCTTCTTCTTTGGAGATACATCATCAGTGGCTCCATTTTCTATGTTGAATGCATCATGTTTCTTTTTATTTACCTTATTTGGGGCTTTGTGTTCAGGTCCATTTTGCGAAGGTGAACCATCCTCACAGTCAGTATCACTTTTCTTTACTTTTTTATTTTGTTTCCTATTTTTTTTCCTTGTAAATTCTTCACCAACTTCACTTTCCATGTTATTCATAGTACTAACATTGGTTTCAGCATCATTTTTGATGCCTTTTTTCCTTCTTTGTATTTGTTTCATACCAACTGTCTCTCTTATACCCTCACTGGGTGGGTTATCAATAACTTTGTTGTTGAAAGTTTGGTCCAATATGACCTTGGCGTCCTCCTTTTTCACCATTTCTTCGTCAAATCCAACTACGCCTTTCCTTTTCTTACTCTTATTCTTCTTTGCAGCCCCCATGCTCTTAGGCTCCAACAGGCATGCAACGATATCGAAATTTTTACAAAATATTAGTGGAGACAGGACTATGTACAAATTCCTTTCCTAAAAATACTGTTCAAAAACTATGGAGATACCTATAAGCGTTTTTTATCACTTTTGAAGGACTTTACGGATTTTTCACCATTTCAATAGGAAAAGTGAGGTTATAAACTTATTTAGTGTCACTGTCAGTTCAGCTATGACCAGTGTTGCCAGGTGCATATGATCTGTATTCAGTAGAGCTGTCAGAATTTTTCTGTAGATTATGAAATTTTTCTGTTGTCAGAGTACCAATAAACGAAGAAAGTCACTTTTAGTTAGATGGCGCATGTTGCACAAAATGTTAGCTTTAAGATCTCTGATAAACTTAGCTGTCTTGTTAGAATCTGAATTGGTCCGAGTAAAGATTACATAGTCACGCACGACAAGTATTGAAATATACTCTACTAGACTCTAGAAGACTATCCGTAGCGAAGTTTTTCTCGAAATCGTTGCACACCGCTTAAAAAATGCAAATGAAGATTGAGGGAAAACTGCCATTTTGACGTACTAAACGACTCCGTCGTTACCGCGGGATAGACACGCGTTTTAGGAGTTGACCTTGTCATTCTTGTTACCTAAATTGTTGCATTGCCAGCTCATCGGTCAATTTTGCTATCTCTGCTATTTTGCTAGAATGTTATGTAAAAAAGAAGCTTCGAATAAAACATTAAGAAATGTCACAAAACTAATGGCACTATTCAGGTACTACATGATGGTGTTTTTAAAAAAGTGCTACACTATATTTAATAGCAGCTTTTTCTACGACTTCAACGATGTATCACGTTACATTTGTTTTTTAGTTATAAACAAACGTGTTTTTTTTTTCTACTTTTTCATTATATTTAAGTAGGCGTTGCAAGCAAATGCTTGATATGTAAGATTGTGTGATTACTAATCCTTATCTTGGCCACCCTGTAATACATTATTATAAAAAGAAATTTACAGAAACTTGCACTAATCTAACGTTCTTGTAAGTGTTCTTATGTACTTACATTCATTTCTGAAAAATCTACTATTACTATTAGCAAGACCTCGAACAAAACGAACTAAGGTACAAGCAATTGGTGATAGCAGAGGTAGCAAAATCATCCGATGAGCTGGCAGTACCGCAATCCAGATGACAAGAATGACAAAATCAACTTTCAAAACGTATGTCTATCCCGGGGTAGCGGCGGAGTCATTTAGAATGTCAATGCGGCAGTTTTCTAATCTTCATTTGCATATTTTTAAGTATTGTGCAACGATTTCGAGAAAAATTTAGTTACGAATAGTCTAGTAGAGTATATTTCAATAGTTGTCTTGCATGGCCATGTTATCTTTACTCAGGCCTCAATTAAAAATACCGATCGTTTTTTGTCCAATAAGTACCACGACAAACTTAAGGAGAAGGTAGGGTTTGGATTAACCTCCCAAATAACAAAAACTTACCTACATAAAAGTGTTACCGTTTTTGAGATCTTGAAGTTTTTCTTAAATTTTTAAAAAACGAATATTTCCATCTGTGGTATTTAGCTGCATGTACAAATAAGGTTATTCTTTTTTCGTTTTTTTCTATAAAATACTTTTAAATAGTTGCTTCATCATATACAAGTGCAATGTAGCTGAAAGATATTAAGGTACCATGATCAAGTGAGGATTATTTTGGGATTTATAAATTTCTGATATTTTTACTTCAACTTTGACGATCTGTGGTGAAACAAAAATGTACTGGGCTAAAACAATTGAAATGAAGTGGAAAAAACACAACCACTCTCGGCACTCGCTTTGAGGCAACTGAGCCACCAGCGAATGAGGAGTCTAGTCATGTTGGCGCCTTACGAACCCTTTGTCGCGGGACAAAAAACCGACAACAAACGGGACCAACGCGAAATGAAGCAGCGAAGAATACGCCAAAGGGATCCACACTCATGGGCAGTGATAAACCCTTCTGCTCATGGGTCGCGGGTAGTTCGCAGCGTCGCGCGCGTGAGTCTGGAGAGGGCATTATTTAAAACATGACAGAATCGCAATACGTCACTGTCAGTCGTGTCCGTATGTCAACAAAATTGTGCCTTTGTGGAAAAATTGTCGTATTTGATTTTCTTGTTTGCCTTTTACATATGCTGCTGTTCTAAAAATGAACGAGATGTACAGTTTCCTCATTTCTTAAGCAAACAGTATTTATTATCTTTCCCAATTCTTCATCGTTATCACAGTGCAGCATTCTAAAACGATAAATTCTGTGTTAGAGTTGACTTGTTGATTGTAGTAGCAGCTTTAGGTGGTTAAAAATGGTTAAAATATACTGCATCAGTATCTTGCATAAAGGACCAACAAATGCAACTTGGTTGAAGTCCGCATTCGACTTGCAAAGCTTCAGTTTTTTCCAGCGCAGTTCAGTTCAAGAGTTTATGTCATTTTTCTGCAAAACTATTGTGGAACGGACTATACCTGCTTCACGGCAGTCTGTTAAAGAAGGCGGTAAGATAAAAATAATATACTATGTATTTTGAACGAATATATCCAATTTAAATTATTTTCCAAAGTTTTAATAGTACTTCTTGTAGCAGGGACACAAACCAGTAAAGGTCAGTCCCTGAATAGTTACTACATATATTAGACATCCTAGCTCTCATTCCAAGCTCTTAGGGAAGTTTCAAATTCCGTCAGCTATCCCACTATATTCTCCTACAACTTCTCTAATTATCTTCCACCAAGGGACAGGTAAAGATGCTTTGTGATTTCTCTTATTATTTTACACTTTCTGCAAAGGCGTAACACACGTATTTCCTACAAAGTCCAATCACTTCTGTAGTACGTCTCTGATCCATCTAAAAGTACTCTCCATATCAGCATAAAGACATCATTAATATAGTCTAAGATCTGTGTATTTCTCATTAACTTTTAAAAGTCTATTCAACCCATAGTAAGATTGATTCTACAGATTTTTATATGCAATGAAAACTTACATTTGAATTTTTCTCTTATTTTCAGAATATCTATGCCATGTGTATGTGCGAGCAGACAATTTAGCTGGTGTCGTTATAACAGATCATGAATATCCTGCAAGAGTATCCCACACACTTGTAACAAAAATTTTAGATGAATTTGCACAACAAATACCTGCATCTAGTTGGTCAAATCTCCAAGAGAAAGATGTTCATTTTCCACAATTAAACACATTTTTAGCCAAATACCAGAATCCTCGTGAGGCTGATGCTTTAACAAAGATTCAAGAGGACCTCGATGAGACAAAAATTATACTGGTGAGAATTTTTAGTTTTTACTTGCAGTATTCAATATATTACATTCTTATGCATTCTTTCCTTCTTAAAGCAATTTTATATAGTTCAGATATATAAAATTAAAAATAATGTCTATGGTAGAAGATATAAGACACATGCATCCTGATATATCTTTTACCAGTAAACCAAATATTAATGCAAAATATCAATTGAAGATTCCAATGCTAAAACCTGTATGGGGTACATTTGTCAGTATGGAAGAAAAACTGCTCTATACTCCTGGAAGAGTAGAGAAAGATTTGACTGTGACATGATGTCAGTCTGTAATGCCATAGACCTCTGTTTCTTCCATAGGACAATGCAAAATTCCAAACTATGTATGAAGGTGGATCACTCAAACTAGTTAAACATTGGTTTCAAAAAGTTTCTGCATGGAAGTCTTCAGTTGTGAGATAGCCAAGAAATAATTCCAAAACTTTTTTGATTCAAAATTTTCAGAATAATCTAAATCATCTAATGATTTGTATTTTTATTCCAGCATAATACCATACAGGCTGTACTAGAAAGAGGAGAAAAGCTGGATGATTTGGTGTCAAAATCAGAGGGACTTAGTATGCAGTCTAAAGCTTTTTATAAAACTGCCAGGAAAACAAATAGTTGTTGTAATTTTTAAGTTATAATTGATAAAACATTCCTTTGATTCATCACATTGACAAAGGTGTGTATTATCAGAGTGGATGGAATAATTTGTGAAGGAAAGTATGGCACCAATTATCCAAATGTTGGGAGCAGTCCAATTCTGCTCAAAGTGATATACAGTGTACTCCATCTATAACGTACATGGGATGTAACGTACTTCCAGTTATTACGTACTTATTTCATTGCACCCGCCCAAATAGTCTTGTAATTTTACTGGATATAGCATACCTGATTAAAATTTAAACTCTGGCTGTAACGTTCAATATTTTTACCCCCTTAGTAGTCATATTCTGGTTATAACGTACAAACGTACGTTATGAACAGAGTAATCGCTGTCTCGCGTTGGCGGGAATGCCGCCGGCGCGGCACCGGGGATTTCCAGTTATCGACTCTGGGAAATTTTATAGTGCGGAATGAAATGTCAGGTAGTTTTAGATTGGACGTTGCATTTAACTGTGCGAATTTTCAGTACATATTTATTGTTTAGTTAAATTGACAGATACGCGCAAAGCTATGAGTTTGAAAGAAAAGATCATTAAAAGTATCGAGAGTGGCATCGGCAAATCGTAAATTGCGAGAAGGAAAAATATGGCAAAAACAACAGTTCCTACAATTTGGTGCAATCGTGAAAAAATCAAGCAAGCAAGTGAATATAATACGCAGAGAATTAAGAAAACTACAAATCCCGTATGTCCAGATGTGGATCAAGCTCTTATACGATGGTTTGAGGTGCGAAGAACCGAAAATATTCCTATAAGTGGTTTGATTTTAAAAGCAAATGCGATTTTAGGTGCATTACGGGTTAGTTCGAGCGATTCAAAGTTCGTCACAACATAAATGTCGGCAAAGTATCTGGTGAAGCAGGAGATGTTAACAAGGAAGCTGTGGTGAACTGGTTAAAAGGATAAATGGCCAGGCATTGCACAAAATTACAGCTGTGAGGATATTTTTAATGCGGACGAAACCGGACTATTCAACAAGATGACTCCAGACCGAACACTGAGATTTACAGGAGAAAAGTGTCTGGGAGGCAAACAATCAGAGCAGAGATACACCGTTTCGGTTTGCGCAAATATGACAGGTAGTGAAAAATAAACTTCTTGTTATTATTGGTAAATACGAACGACCGAGCTGCATGAAAAATAAACTTGCCTGTCATTTGAAAATCGAACAGACGCGCTTGGATGATTTCAGACATTTTTATTAATTATTTGAAGGAGTGGGATGAAAAACTAAGACGTTAAAAAAGAAAAAGATTGCTTCTAGTTGACAATTGTGCAGCTCATCCTAAGAATGTAGATCTCTCAAATATCATCGTCGTACAACCGATGGATCGAAGCAAATGCCTTAAAACATATTATCGTATATATTTTATGTATCGCCTAATCCGAGCATTGGATAATGAGGAAACTTTCAACATAACATTTTTAGACTCTATAAAATTAATTGCACAATCATGGAAGGATAAGTTTCGAAAAACACTATTGAAAACTGCTTTCATCATGTTGGTCTAGTGAAATCGATCGACGAGTTTGATTCAGATGATGACTTGCCTCTGAATCAGAGGTCTGGGAAATACAAAGGTGTTCATGATGATGATTGGAAGGTCCCTCTAAGTGATTGATTGCGAAGTCACTGCCCAGACGTAACTACTGTGGAAAAATATCTTCCTGAACTAGATAATTTTACGACCATCGACGATAATTCGGCAGCAACAGACCTTAACAGATTGTGACATTATTGGTGAAGTTATAGAGCCAAACTATTCAACGAATGATTTAAGTTCCGATAACGAAAGTGGCGATGATGATGGACAAGTGAACGAACCAATTCCAAGTTATTCTGAAGCACTTTGTGCAATTAAAACTTACAGATTTCGTACAATTTACTGATTACGGATCTGATGATACAATTTTACAAGCCTCGTTAAAAGTTGAGAAGCACATTGAGAATATAAAGTGTGTAAAAATATCAACAAACAAAGTAACAAGTTATTTTTTCGAGAAATGATAACGGAATGGTAATTACATATGTAATTGTACATATTGAATTTGATTATGTCCTATTTCAATGTTATTTATACCTAGAATGTATTCTTATTTAGTTTAGCCCTTTAATTGAACCAAATAAAAATTTACATATTTATTTTTATGTTTTTCCTTCATAGCGTACCTCCGGTTAAAGTACTCATTTTTTTGGCCCTAGCCCTAGAGGGTTTGTTATAACTGGAGTTCACTGTATATCCAAGGAACTGCTCAACCAAAAACATTTCTAGATGGCATTGGTGAGAAAAACTTAATTATGTAGTTTAAAAGGCAATTTTACTTTTGCATAAACTTATTCAAAACATATGCCTTCCCCTCTGATTGTCACACCGTCAACTTACAATGAGATTATATTTATTATTATTGACCATTTGCTGTTCATAATAATGGCAATTTGAATGTTTGTGGAAACATCAGTTTATATATGTGGTGTATGGTGTACCATAAGCTAAATGTGAAAATTGTATTCAACTATATTCTGCAGAAATATTACCCCAAATAAATGATCTATGTGAAATATATTGAGTCAAAATACATTGTGAATATGAGATTGGAATTCCAAGCCGCTTATAGATAACTAAGTTGAAAATGCAAAGAGATTCCTAGTGTTATTTTTCAGCTCAGCAAAAGGTAACTGGTTTTTAAGGTTGGAGTAATTTCACTGCAAAACTCTTTGTGGACAATAACCTCCTCTGTCATTGCTAGTTAAAGCATAAATTAATATTAGTGAAATATTTGGGTCTGTGTCGCTGTTTACTTGGATGTTAATAAAAAGGATAGTTAAATGTCACTGTACTATTCCATATAATTATTTGACTTTATTGCTGACAGTTGACAGAAGAAAAGATGTTTTATAGGACACTTTTGCTCTAAAGGTGTGCTTAGTTACATATTTATGTGTCCTACAATTGTTTAAGGTATTCCACCGGGAATGCATTAATCAATGGTCCTAGTGAGCACTTTAGCTTGTAGGACTTACAATGAGAATATACAATATATTTATATGTACCAAAATGTATGAATGTATATTGTTTATTTTTATGTATATTATAAAATGTTATTACTGATCAATGTTTATTTTTTATAATTCATTGTCATCTGAATAATAATTTGGCATGTTATATACCTACATAAAGCACTACAAGAAAGTCCGCATTTAATTAAGTGCTGGGCATTTACCCAGACCAATAAACATTCAAAAATAAGGACAACATTTGAGACTTGATTTTCAGAACACACAACAGGACCCCATTTTGACTTTTATGTTCAAGTATAGCTCTTTTTTATTTAGCACCCTCAAGAAGTGTTTTAGATTTTGTATTGGAATTTAAGTTTCTCAACTGTTTTAAAAATTTGAATAAGACACAAGTTTTTAATAGCTGAAATAGTTTGTTTATACCCATTTTGTGTTAAAAAACCTATTTAGAATGTGTACACTGAATGATGAAATGGTTTGCTAGCAAAGGAATCAGCCAATGGGATTTTGTTTTTATCATGCATGCCGGCAGAACGTGATCGTACATTCATGCCAAACTTCAGAGGAAATAAAGTTTATTTTCCTTATTAACGGGATTCCCTCCCTAGCAAAAGTTGGCTCATAGTCTAAGAACAGGACGCGGAAATACATTTTGGTGCGAAACTTTGCATTTGAACTTGAGGGCACTACATTCGTACAAAAGTCGATACGAGAGGGTACCCAAAAAAAACCGGAATTATTTTTTTAAAGCTATTTATTTTCAACTTTTTCACAAAGTAACCTTATCTCCTTCAAAATACTGTCCACTACAACTAATACACTTGTATATGCAATTTCCAGAATGGATAAGAAAAAGTGGATGCGCAACTAATTTCTAGCTTGGAATCTCAATTAAGTGTATTTGAGACAAGAACCCAATGTAATTATCATCAAAACATACAACTTACAGCTTAGACCTACAGTAATGTCATCTCAGAAGCAGATTTTACATCACATCAGAGCCAAAGATTGATAACAAGCCTCATGACGTTTAGACAACCCGTACAACTAAGTGTCAAAAAAAACGGCATAATGTCACTGTTCAAGATACGTGATACCCGTGCTGGTAATGAGTGGCGCTGTACGCCTCTAGGGGCAGAAATGTGTACTACACAAGCTCCGCCCACTGCAATGTTATTCCGGCTATTTTTGTGTACCTCCTCGTATACTTTTTTAAGTAAATTATTGATAAAATTTTGGAAAATACCCCATTAAGGGCATATACAGCTTACAATTAAACCACCAGCACATTTTGTAAATATTTATTTATTAAAACAGAAATACAAATTTATAAATGAAAATTTTTACAAAAGAATCCAACAACATTGATAATTACAGCAAGCTGGGTATAAGAAGTGAATAAATATAAAGCATAAATAAACATTTTGTTTGTTTACATATATACATTCTAACAATAAGATTCTTCTTAGAAACTAGGTATTAAGAGATCTACTAAATATCCACATATTTTTACAAAATTTGTTTAGAGCCTATTAAAATTCACATGGTTCAGAGACCAAAAAGCTGTGAATACTTAAAATAATATCGTAATCTCGAAGAAAATGAGATTCGGTTTGGTTTATATTAAGCGCAACATGATGTTGCGTACTGTTTCTGATTTGAAAGCTCAACTATGGGGGTTCCTATAAATATACGTCAATTAAACCTTGAGACAATCGTTCACACAACTTTTGCTCATCTATATAAAAACGTATCAATCGGATATGACCAATGATAAACATTTTAGCCAACTGTATAATGTGTCTCACTTTGCTTTAAACCCAAAGACTATCTAAATCTTGAGATACCGTCGATATCGGTAGTGCATTTAAAGCTGTCTTCTGCTCTGTTTTCGTTTCATCATACTACCCGGACCATGCTAATAATTCCCAATAAGGATAGAAGGGTTCCATACGCGGTTAGAAATAAAATTCTAGTTTAAAAAAATGTCTGCTTCAACATCCAAATTATTTTTTAATATTCAATACTGTTATTTTTGATTTTCTGTTGCACATCCATGCAATTCAAGTGCGAAAAACGAATTCTAGTTGGGTTTCATAGGGGATTAGTATAAACGTATAACAATTTTAGAGTACAAAGGTTCAGTTTGACACATCGTCAGTCAATCCCTCGCCCTGATAATAGTCCGAGAGCTGATGGACAATGTTGGGTAGGTATTTGAGGCACTCTGAAAACTTGTCCAATCCTTCTACTATACCCAAGCACAGAACTGCAGACCTGGCTGAAGGATAGCGCGAATAAATCAACCCTTATATTTTCTAAGACGCGATTTTCTTTGCAAAATATGTCGTTGAGGCATATCAAAGATTTTATACTTTAAATTTGACATATTTAAAAAATGAAACAATGAATAAGCCAGATCATTTAGTCGGAACTTAAACTTTGCCAAGCGCTTGCAAAATTATTTTGCAAAAATTTAGAAAAAATGCATTTGAGGCATGATGAAATTTTAATAGCATATTTGTATACAACATACAATACTTTTTTATAGATGGATAAATATTATCAAATAAGGTAATTATAAATATGTATAATTACTTCAAAATAACTTACCAATATTTTTCAATTATAAATAATATTCTATAAAATTTTTAACATTCTTCAAATATTTTTTTTTCGAATTTGCAGTTTTGCATGCACCTGGTAAAGTTCAAGTGCCAACTAAATGATCTGGCTTATTTATTTTTGGATTTCTTAAATGTCAAATTTAGAGGTATAAAATATTTGGAAATGCCTCAAGACCATTATTTCCAAAAAAATAAGGTCTAAAAATATAAGGGTTGATTTAGCCCCGAGCTAGGTCTGCAGTTCTGCGTTTGAGTATAATAAAAAGAGTAGACAAGTTTCCAGCATGCCTCAAATACCTACCAAAATTGTCTAAACTCTCAAACTATAATCAAGACCCTGTTTTAAAACAGTAGCATCTCATATTATTGCACTTGAACCCGTGGGTTGTAATTTACGATTCTAAATTAATAGATCCAACAATAGTTGTGTGAACATATGACCTCAACAGCAATTGCGAAATTACATGAATACTGGATATGCTGAGAAGCAGATAAATAAAATCACCAGTTGCCCGAAGCTCTCGTGAATTTTAATACATTTACACAATATAAAGACAACTAAAGCACGATAAATGTATAAATGACTACCTTCAACAAAAATTACGGAAAATGGTTATAACGCCACTCATCTTTTTATCACAATCACTATGTTTCGAGACGCCAAATACTTCTTCAAGCGATAATCGTACATATTTGATACTATGGTACATGGTACTATTAAGTAAACTAATCCAATTCTGCAGCGAAATTACGTAGAAAGTAAGAATAAACTGTTTTTGTAAGCTATTACCGAACTATTAGATTGGAAATGTCAAGAAAATATGGACTTAGAACAGCAAGGTGTTTTTGGAGTGGATACCATGACATTCCGGTAACGAAGAGTCAACGACTGGGCCGATGAGATTGCAAAAAAAAAGTTGTTACCCCATATACAGTGAAATCCACATACCACTGATGTCGTAATGTGTACGAGAGAAAAGCCTGTAATACGTATGCTAGGAAGAGATAGAATCACCACGTTGCCTAGCAACCCGAGTGGCGAGACCACGGACGCGACTGCGGCTTGCCGCGTTGCCATTGGCGCACCCTTTTTAACATGATTATTTCATCACGCGCTTCTCTCTCGCACACAGAACAATGGTATATAGATTTCACTGTATATGTTAAGAACATTAACTGGAGTCCAAAAAACCCAATAAGAAACCACGACAAACAACTTCTAAGACTTCACAAGAAACACTGAAACTTATTATTTACTGATAGATGCAAATGAGAATTTATCTGCTGGATCTTGCCGAAAACGACAGGAAAACTGTTGAGCAGGAAACAACCAGGTATGGTAATAGGTTTTTTAGTAAGTTACTATAGGCTCAACTGCAGACAATGTAGAAAAGTGGTAGAAAGGGTGCAATTCAAGTCCTCTGCGAGTATGAAGCGCTGAATCACAAAGGACAGAAATGTTTTAGAAAAACTTTCTCATATTTTCTACTAGAGGTTCATACATTTTTTAGAATTAGAGTTCTTTTTAGTTACACCAGTATAAAACAACAACACATTCACATACTCCAATTTTTATTACGTCAATTAACCACCTAATGAGCAGTTATAATTTATAAACCTCTCACACTTCATGCTTTTCTCAAGGATATTTCTATCAAGATACCACAAAAATGCATTTAGTAACTTTGCCACCGAGGATACGCTACCAAAACTGCATTAAAAATGTTTTTAAAACAAGTTTTAAAGCCTACATTGGGATAACGGTTCTTTAGAAGAAGTGTGGGTCGACAATGTATAATAAAAACCTTGCACCATAATACGAATAAAGTAGATTATAGAGTATATCACTCATTTTTGCAGAGATTTCGATTCCATCACAAAAACTACGATTGATGGCTATGCTTATTTTTGTAATTTTTGTTTCCAGTAATGCACCTTCTTCACACAAAGCTGATCAGACAGACCAGCAAAAAGTGTATAGCAAAACTTCGTCTGTCGCAGACTAGATACCTTGGCACTCCAATAACTAACATGACTCAGTCTTGCGAGTTTTTATGCCTGACAACTTCCTGAAACTCCCGTGAATTATATTGCGAAAGGCAAATGTAACTGTTTGATGGACAATCCAATTGAGATGTTTCACGAACAAAATATCGTTTATGAACCTAATCTGAACAATCGATCCTAATCCAAGAGAACGCTCGCCAACACATGGACAGGGCAGCGCACAATGGGTGAATTTGATACCGAGCGCTTGTCGGGTCGCCCCTTCGTCAGTCTCATTACCAATACAGAGTCAAATCAGGTATTCCGGTACAAACATCTCCAGCGACTATCACCACATCACCGCGAAACCGTTCTGAGTACGATTACCCATTCGTACTAACTGCAATCTTGGTTTTGGATGGATTATAGTAACATTTTGTCAGATGAAACCTATTTCTCAATTGTAGTATGCCAATAAACAGTTTGTTCATAAAAATTCTTATGATTTTTAAACCTTATTTCTGAATTGAATTGACGGAATTACTTTATTGTACAAATACCTTTCAAATCATTTGTATAAAAGTCCTTTCTATACATACAGAAAAATCAGCCTCTGTTAGTGTAATATTCAAGCGAGTATGTTGTAATCTGGATCCTCTACACTTAGGCCATTGAAAATGAGAAAAAAAAGTAATCAAATTTGCCGGAAATGGGTCTGATAGTAAGTTTATTTGAAATAGTAAAGCGTGCGTTTGCCTTTTTGATTATGCAAGATAACATACTTTTTTAAACGGCTAGTTTGCCTACCCTAAAAGGAATTTGTCTCAAAAATCGTAACAATCTGAAGAGTGATAAAAATCGGCACAAATGCAAACATTATAAAGTATGTTATGCCTGGTATTCTTAAAACATGATTCTTTCTAGTTATGGACATTGAAATTGAAACAAGCATAGCTGCATGATAAGTTATTTACTATTCGGTGTTCATTAACTGTTATATTTGATATCAATATGCATATTTTATATTCAATTGAAACAAAAATTCTATATTTGATTTGATCCATGTCTAAATAAAAAATACAAAACATTGATATGTTGCATTCATATACAAAGCCTCATAAAAATATATCAAAAACTGTCATTCTATAAAACATGCAATTAATCCACAGCTTGCTGTATTTAAATACAAAAATGTTTCTCAAAATTACCACGCTTAAACTTCAAATATATTTTTATGAGACTTCATATACTCCACTGAATATTTGGCATATAACACAAATGATTAAATCGTTCAAAAATTACTATTATAAGATCACCATCTGATAGGTTATGATGAAATATGGCATACGAATGCATTAAAGACAGAGCTTTGGCCTCCTTTATAAAATGGCATGGAACCACTAATAGTGGCACAACAATTGAAAATTTTCCATACAATACAAAAACTTGTTACAACTTTAAAAAACCTATGTTTATATCAGTGATAAAAAATATACATCAACTCAAAAATTACATAACAAAAATAGAATTTAAAAAGAAAAATTAAAAAAATATAGTACACAAAATCTAAAAAATACATCTACTTTAAAACGTGCATCTTAAAATCACAATTTCCGCTGTATGACTGTACGAGAAACGAGTATTAAGAAAACATTACAAAAATCTGATCACAATTATTGTCATGTTGTATAAAATTGTTGCCAGGGGTTTGTAAGCACCACTTAAGTAATGAAACATAAATTACATGTACGAAACTACCATCATACAGTTACATTGTAAATATTAAAAGGTAATATGTGAACTTCAGTAACATTGAAGGTATTCTTACACTTTTAAAAATGATCGCTTCGACGAAAGTGAACGATTTTTGTAAAACTTAGGGGCCCATCAAGGTATGTATAATAGTGGATTGTATATTATCACACAAAGACAAGGCAGACTGAACAAAATATATCTATTGCTTTCAGACTAAACTTTCTGGACAATACTCTAAAATCGTCTATTAATTATTGCAACACATAAATGGATTAACAATAGTTCAAAATGTGTAATCTAAAAAATTGGAAAATCGTTCACTTCGAGAAGAAACGAATTATCTCTGAATGTGTAAATACATTTATTAGATACTGTGCACGTTCCCCTTAGTGCATTATCAGATCTCATTGCTACCAGGATAATTCTAAAGGTAAGGTCTCATTTAAAAAAACCATTATGTTCAATAAATGAAACATTATAAAGCTTAAACATTTGTCTATTTTCCTACAAAGTCCCCACTACTGTCGTTGGAACTGAATTTCCGGCTAAATGTGCTTTTTCAACTTGGGGAGTAGGTGAAACTTAAAAAACTCGGAAGAGAAACAATATTGAACGGGGATAAGCAGTCTACAAAGCCTACGTCGTCCGTCAAACGGTCACTCTTCTGCAACAGTTTGGATGCGAGATATACACATATTGTGCGGACTTACGGCACCCAGTGACTAGCACCTCTTCGATAAGATAAAGCTAAGGTTCATGGACATGCTGCCGAAGTGACTACAAAAATGCATCACTCTATATGTAGGAATTCAGAGTGACAAGCCGGTAAGCTGGCCAAAAGAACACTAGTTGTGCCTTTCTTTCTGACGAGAAACCTGAAGTTTATCACTGCTTGTGGTCGGAACAATCTTGTACAGTTTAATGCTTCCAAAACGCAGTACGTACAGTGCCTTGACTAACAAGAAATGACCTAGCGCTCATCCAGTTTCGATGGATGGTCGAGTTTTACCAAAGATCCATTCATTTCACTGGTCGGAGTCCAGAATACCGAGGACTTGATCTGGCACGAACACATCTCGTCAATAGAGGTAGCTGTTGGGAAAAAGCTAGGCTATTGTTTAGGGCTAAGAAGTACGTTTCTCCACATCACCTCCCTACTCTGCACAAGGACACATGTACGGGGTTCTGCTGTGACTACATCATCACTGATCGATAACTCTTCTCTAACGGACAGTCTCGGGACCCTTTCGCACCGACGACGGGCCGTCGGCGATCTAGCTCTCTTCTACTGCTATGCCAACGGGCTTTGCTCCTCAGAGCTCTCCTCCATGTTACCGCCGCGCGATGTGCCCGCCTGACTTCGGCCTCGCATCCTAACCGTGTCGAACATCGTAAATCCAGAAATGGCCAGTACGACGGCTACTTTGTCCTTAGGGTATCGAGATTGTGGAACAATCTATATGAGAAGACTTTTTCCAGTTCTGCCAAATTTAGGCAGTTCAAAAATCGGATTAACAAAAATTCTTTAAGCTCCTCATAGCAGTCGCGGTGCTCTGGCATTTAGACGTCAGTCTGCGCGGTTGTTTCAATGTAACAAAAATACAATGTATATAGAAACAAAAAGATAAGCGGACCAGAAGGGATTTCATGGCTTCTCAGTCACACCTGAAGAAATGTATAATTATTGGTATTATTACCTTTTCTGGCAACATCCCAGTACCTTCCAAACACTGCTATTGGGAAACCAGAATGGACGCCAACAACCCTTTGGTTCCAAAAGCTTTGTCGAGAAACAAGTTTGAAAGAATTCATATAAGATTAGGCCTTTGATCAAACACCTGTACAAAATTTCACTTGAACGTATGTCTCCATTAGGGAAATTCATATCTGTAGATGAGGCAATGGAACCTTATTATGGGAGGAATCATATGAAGCAATTCATCAAAGGCAAGCCCATACGCTTTGGCTTTAAATTCTGGTGATTATGTACCCTTGACGGATATCTGGTGAAATTTGATTTTTATACAGGTGCTGGAGACAAAACAAAATGAAAATCACTTGGCTCAAGTGCAACTGAAAAATTGTGCCTACATTTTCTAGAACTATTTGTTGTTTCTCTCAAAGAGTTAAAAAAAGAGAATAGGGGTTGTCATTGCACAATTCGTAACTCAACATCCAACATAACATTGACACGTTGACATGACTTTAGCCAAGTCACTGTTATATCAAATGTACAAGACAAAACATTATATCAGTCGAAACGTTCATGTAAACGATGGTCTAAAAAGGACAAATCTGTAAACCAGGTTGATATTTATATAATAAAGGAATGGAAGGTGTGGATCGGTTTGACCAAATTAGAAGCTTGTATAGATCTATGATCAGGTCGAAAAAATGGCCGTTGATTCGCTTTTGTTTAGACGGATCTATTGTCAATATGTGATACCTATATTCAGTCCCAAATACTGGTCCAAAACCAAAACTATCCTGTAAGGTTTTATCAGAAGTCCGGTACGGTGGTAAAGAGCACTGGATTGATCGACAAGAGTCGCAGCGTCATTTTGGAAAATGTAGAAAATTTTCCTGCATAAAATGTAGGTGTACATCCAGATAAATATTTCCGCCAATATCACCGGAAGTAATGTGCAGGCTATTATGGACATATTAGTGTATAATCGCTTCTTTAAATACTGCCTTGGCCAGAAGTATTGAGCACCCCGAAAATATTTCACGTACGCTATAATGATAGACGAAAAGAAAAACTAATGGTTATACAAATATTTGTAGGTATCAAAACCGGTTTGTAAATAATTTCTTATCTCCTTACTTTCGTTAAAACACGTAGTTTTTTGGAGACTAGTCAGTTTTACCTTTTTAGTGCGTGTTCATCAGTTTGATGCTATCGCTCATTGTGAACAGTCAAGTGATTTAGTGCAATATTGATGATTTTATTTCGAGAATCTGAGTTCAACTCTTGTAATATGGCAAAAACGAATGAACTGAGCATTGAAAAACGTGCGAAAATACAGGTTCTCCATGAACAAGGGAAGTCCCAAGTAGACATTGCAAAAACAGTGAAGTGCTCGCGTCGATGTGTACAATACACTATCCAGCGATTCTCTCAGACCAGTTCACATAAAGATAGGCCTAGATCTGGCCGCAAACGGATCACTACAGATCGCGAAGACTGAATATTGACGAGAGAATCTTTGAAAAATCGGAAAAAAACTTCTTTGGTCCTCGCTGCCGAACTATCAGAGCAAATTAATAGACCGATTTCTACTCGAACTGTTCGCCGAAGGCTTCAAGAAGTTGGTCTAAATGGCCGCAAAGCTAGAAAGAAGCCATGGCTCTCAGACAAAAACAAAAAGGCTCGATATAAATGGGCTTTAAAATACAAAAGCTTCACTGAAGAGGATTGGTCAAATATTGTATGGTCAGACGAATCAAACTTTGAGGTACGTTGGTTAATTTGATGCAGTAACGAGGTGTAACAATAATTTTTGAAACAAAATGACAAGAAGAAAATATTCAACTAAGCAACTACTTAATGACATTTCTTCATTTTTCAGATTTTTGGTACACCTGGTGTGACATTTGTTCGTCGTCGAGTAGGAGAAGAATTCAATCAGGAGTGTGTGGTGCCTACTTTGAAACATGGTGGCGGTAGCGTAATGGTCTGGGGCTGCATGAGTGCTTCAGGAGTGGGAGAAATGTTCGTGTGTGAGGGTCGCATGGATGCCACAAAGTACATAAACGTACTCGAAAATGCTCTTTTGCCGTCGTTTACTGCACTTTATGGTGATACCAACATGAATGGCGTCAAATTTCAGCAGGACAATGCGCCTTGCCATAAAGCTGCACGGACAATGGCTTGGTTCAGAGAAAACTGCATCGAGCTTCTGGATTGGCCAGCCCAGTCACCAGACTTGAACCCGATTGAACATTTGTGGGGCTTATTGAAGCGCAAGATCAGGCGTGATACATTCAAGAATAAAGAAGACCTGAAGCGCCGTCTACGTGAGGAATGGAACGCTTTAACTTACGAAGAATGTAATAAACTTGTACGATCTTTACCTAAAAGAATTTCTGCCGTGATTAAGGCGAAGGGTGGTACCACAAAATATTGATTTTCTTTCAATACTAAGCCATATAAAGCTAGAAAAAATTGTGTGAATTTCTCCCAACTTAATGGTCCCCTAGAATTTAAAGATATCGAGCGTGCTCAATACTTTTGGCCAAGGCTGTATATATCGGATATACCATTGTTCTGACTTTTTCTTATTCTATTGTAGCCCGTTAAAAAACTACCTTGAGAAAATTATAATTTTGGATGAAAAAGTGGCCAATTAATGATAACATATTGAAATATTTGGTGAAAAGATGGGAACAAATAATTCTGGTCATTACTGGGTTAAGTCGAAAAATATACCAAATGTTTAATCTTCACGAAGTTGTATCGAATGGTTTTTGTACTATGTATGGGGGATCTTTTGGGATTACCTTCGTACAGACTCCAAGTACACCTACCATATCTAGTTTAGACACAAACAATTAAGCAACATTCAACATCATGCCTCTTCACACTTTTTTATATCTAGGAATGTACCCACTTTGCTGGCTGGGCTAACAGAGCCGTTATAGGTATTTAAATTAAGAAGATAATTATAAAGATTCCAGTTAAATAAAGTACTTCAATTCATTCGACTTGGACAAAGCACAAAAAATATTAACATGAAGTAGTGAAAAAAATTGAATCTCGCCCAAAGAATCCGCGACACTGATCATGGAACTTTTATCGATCGTCAATGATAATTTTCAAACATCAAACATTTTAAGCTGACGATACTATAGTGGTGTGTTGGAGTTATAATGTCTTCATCATTAGAATAATCGATAGATGTATCAGATAATCCCATATTTTTGTACAGCATACTTAAACTGCAAATTAAGTAATGAGACGCCAGGATTGAAGGGGAGATAGGGGAACATGTGATCCGCCTTCAGTACAAGTTTGAACTCGCTCGAGTCATTTGGTTGTCCGTAACGAATGTTTTTTAAAACTTTTTCCTATTGTATTTTAAAAATGAGTGATCGGGATCTTGTGCATTCAGATCGTCGGTTGACAGAATGATCGAGGAAGAATTAAATTAGACTCACTCCACCGTTCATCAGGTCAAGAACAACAGGGTGTTGCATCACGATAATGCTCGCACATCAATGTCAATAAACGAGTTTTTGGTCAGTAAAAACATTCCTGTATCTCCTCGGTCTCCTTATTCGCCTGACTTGAGTCCTTGTGACTTTTTTCTCTTTCCGAAGTTGAAAAATTACCTAGTGGAAACTGATTTTGGGACAGCCGAAAACATTCAGACGGCTGTAACCGACCAGCTGAAGGCTATACCAGTACTGCCATGAAGAACAGTCTCCAGTGCTGTGTGGCTTCAGAAGGAAGTTGTTTTACTCAAATATAATTGTAATTATATTTGGATGAAGAATTAAAAAAACAGTCTCATCACTTAATTTACAGACCTCGTACATTGGTGAAATAACACTTGGAGGAGTGACGTGTGGTGAAAAAGTATTGCTCAATTATAGGCGAGATGAAATTGTGTATCACGTGACGTGATACCGATATTGAAAAAGAATACGACATTAACTATACTACTACAACAACCCATTCATTTGGATACATTGAGACAGTGTTTTCATATGAATCCTATTAAAATGTTTTTCACAGCAATATTTCGAAAAACTCCCATCTATGAATTGTAAAAATACAAAGAACCACTGGGTCATCACACATTTAACAAAAGTGAGGTACGATTACACGCGATTTTTTCTAGGAAACAGTTTTCGGTCATCATGATTAACATATTCAATATGCCCAAACCTGAGCTGCATTTAGACTTTCAAATATAATTTCCATTGACACAGACATGTTGTCGAGTAGGATCGCAGTAATTCCCTTAAAAGTAAAAAAGACTCCTTTGCCCTTTTAAGGAAAAGTGTTTATTCTTAAACGTGACCATTAACCTTCCAAGAAAAGATCACCCCTCATCCCCAACCTCTCTCGTAATTATTCATTAGATTCCCTGCTCTCAGAATTTCTTAAAGACAGAAAATGAAATTCCATAATCTGCAGCAATACTGGCAAGTAAAGACGATGGTCGAAAGGTCTGTGGTAAGTGGTTGGCAGCGCTATGGTACCTATGCTTATTTTCGCGCGGACATGGCTTCTAACTGGTGGAATATACTCGTATTCAACAGTGAGTAAGACACTGGGTCACACTACAATTTACTTGTGATATCCCAAAGACTTACATACATCTAAAATTTGTACAAAAGACCTTTTCTCATCGCCACAAAATGTGATCATGTATGATTTTTGATGTGGATATGACGCCTGAACGTATTGTCGGACCATAATCTCGCATGCCACGCTATGTTCGTGACTTTTTTAAGAGGCGTTTATGGCCAAAAACCTTCCTACCACAAAATGTGATCATGTACGATTTTTGATGTGGATATGACGCCTGAACGTATTGTTGGACCATAATCTCGCAAGCCACGCTATGTTCGTGACTTTTTTAAGAGGCGTTTATGGCCAAAAACCTTCCATTAGAATTAGATCCTCCCTTTGCAAGTGTGTTCATTACCATGTACTAGCGCTAGGCTGGACAATAGCACACAATAGCTGCCAGAGCAAGTAGATATTTATCTGTTAGGTCCTTGAAAAATCATGATAATTTCATGTTGGTCTCAGTCACTTTCTGCTCTAGAAGCCCTAATATCACTGGATTATGCTTTTTAGACATTATGTTGGACAACAATGGACTGATCAATCTGTTAAATTAGATACACGGCCAACTAGAAAACAGACCAAAAATTATTTCCTATAATCGCGTGTCGTATCCTCCGCTACCTACGGGCAAAAGGCCTCCTAACAAATATATCAACAACGATACAAACTTGGTGGGGTACACCGATACATGGTAGAGGCGTGGTAGCATGTTGTGCGTGGTTTACATTTATTCATAAGCATGTTATACCATAACGAAAGCTTCTTTTCCACAGAACAAGAACGGATACTGATCAATCATCGTTTGGACGATGTCCTCCAAATAGGGTCGCATCTGCTCGAAGCGACCCATATCGCTGAACTCGATGGGCAGCAATGTAGGCCACCAGCATATCGCCAGGTTTTTGCTGTCCATGCTGTTCAACTTTGAGTTTTCTGTTACTTTGACAAAGTGCTGGAACATGAACTTCAATATCTGGAAATTGATGGGAGGTAGTTTGTCCAACATGCTCCGTAGAGCTAGCAAGCGGCAACTACGATCGGTCTTGACCTCGACGTTGCCGGTCGTAGTGACCATAGGTTTGATCCTGGTGCCAGCAATCTCCTCCATTTCTGACATCACATCGGCGTCAAACAATGGCGGGAGTCTCTTGGAAACAAAATCCTTCAGAGCTGTCGCTACTGCGTTTACTGGGATGTCAAGTTCGTGGATATCCACGTTCGTGTCTTCTTCGAACTTGTGGAATAAGAGATCTACGTGTGCTCGGTTTCCAGGCACACGGTAGATACCTTCCGAGTCCAAGCCTTCGCTTTCTATAAACTTGACACATTTCTCCATAAAGATGGGAACGAAATTCTTGTCAGATTGGATATAATCGGCTAGTTTGGATGGAACTCCGGGAGGCGGCATGCTTTTTTGTTTGCATTTCATCTGCTTCTTCTTATCTCTTTCTTCTGCCACTTTTCTCAATTTTTCTTCCTTCAGTCTTCGTTTTTCCAGCTTGGAGTCATCTTTGGCTTTTTGCTTCTCCCTTTTCCTCAAAATCTTCTCAACATCAGACTCTTTAATCTTAGGCAAGACACCAAACATTGTCGAGTTGTCTCTTGGCGAGGACACATCAACACTGGATTCATCATCATTCATCAATCCTTGGCCCAAATACAAATCCAACGAGTTCAGCTGCACATTGAAGTGATGGGAGTTTTGCAAATCCGGCAATCTCTTCTTCAAACTCAAAGATCTCTTTTGGGAGAACTTATGGCGGATATCAGCCACACTTGCTGGTGCGAACTGTTCTGCATCGCTGACCTCTGACGAGTCAGAGTTGGACTCAGTCGCTTTATCAGCTTCCACGTCCAAGGCAGGTCCGTGGCTGGACGGCAAGGTGAAGGACCCCAACTGAGGTACTCTGGGAGGCTGCACAGGTATAGCAGTCCTCTTTTTCCTTTGTCTCTTATGGGTTCCGCCCTTCCTACTCACTTTGGAATATATCTCGCTAGCTCTTTGCCTTCGCTCTAAGCTACTCCATTCACTGTCCGTATCTGAATAGGATGGCTGCCCTTTTTCTCTGCGCTGTCTGACTTTAGATTTTCCTGTTAGAGCGTCTTGCACCATTGTGTACATGTACTCAGGATCGTGGTCAGTGTACACGTTGTGCACCAAGTCCTTAACCTGGGCATATTCACAACCTAAATCGACGGGTTCGGGAGTGGCAAGTGGGGCATTTCCAAAATTACCCGATGTGACATCACTAACGTTCATTCGAGCTATAGCTTCAGTGACAGCTGAGTAATTCTTCATGTTCAACTTCCCTGGTTGCTTCAATGTCTGGGACACGCCTTTCAATCGTGTTTTCGGTGCTGGAGCGTGTCTCCTACCAGTGGTAAAAGCATGTTGGTGGTAGTTATTCCAAGTGCTTCCAGGTATTGACATTGGCGGGTCTCCGTAAGTCATGTCGTCTAAACTAGTCTGAGACGTGGACATCATTGATTTCTTTGAGTATCTGGTGTTGAGGATATTATCTGGAGGTGCTGGTTCCGGAGGTGTAGCAGGAGGTGGATATACGTGAAATCCTGAATGCATGCTACGCTTTTTCTCACTACCTTCACTTCCGTACATGTATATGCTAGAAAACTTTTCGCTGTGGTCGCTAGAACTCAATCTTTCGTCTGGTCCACTTAGCTCAAAGTTCTCACTTTCGCTACCATCATTCAATTTCAAATAATAGCTCTCATGCCTGGGTGGTGGCAATGGATGACTGTGTCTTTGACTCCTTGATCTCTCCAATGTTCCTTCTCCACTGTCTAAGCCAGATGGTTCCTCCATATGGAAAGCCTGTTCGATTTCAGGCTTTTTCTCCCATACCTCTTTGAAAAACGGCGTGAAAAATGCAGTTTTATGTTGCATAGATGACGTCGACGTCATGTAGTGGGCCTGCAATCTGTCCGCAATCGCATTGCCTTCAGTAATCAACATTTGACTCAGATCGTCGTTGAAAAATGCCGAAGCTCCCCCACCATCTGTTACAGCTAGTATTTGAATTGGCAAGTTAGGTATATTCATAGAAAAAGCATTCAAAGTAGCTAAAGATGCCTTTCTTTTGGTAGAGTATACCAGAATAAATCCATGGACTAACTCATCTCTGAAAGCATTGGCTCCGTGGAAAGAAGAGATGATTACTTCAACTTTGCGCTTGGAATCCCCTAAGAAAGTTTCTAAGATAATACTATGAGATGAGGACAAGAAGCAAAATTGATGAGATAATAAAGGTCCTAGAACGTTCTCTACCGAATACGGATCTCCACAAAACATGCACATTATGATCCTAATGTCTGGCTCAACACATTCAATCACAGATTGGTTGATATTCAAAAAGCCTGAACGGTGGTGTATACTCTGCACCAATTGGTTTAAAGCATCAGCAACTAGTTGATCTTCAGATACTTGATCTACATTGACATTCATGAAAGGGCACTGCAAACTATCGGCTAAGTTTTGACCATCTTCCTTCAATCTCAACACTTCTTTCTCGTCTACCGAGGAATCTTGCAGGAACATCAACACGATCGGCAAGCCTTGGAACGGCAATTTATCATCTTGCTCTAAATTAGACAACAATTTCTTCTCCAAACTTTCCCTAATATACTCGAAGGACTCTGCATTGGAATAAACGCAGAAACTGCCATGCGGGATAAAGTCAGATGTCCTAAAGGAATTGTGAGGAAGGCTAACATCTCCATTGATGATTCTATAATCCATGCTATAGAACTGACCATCAATTTCGTACTCATCATCGTCACATTGGGCCCTTATTTTCGATGCTAAGTTCTCAGCTAGGTTATTTAAACCTAGTATGAGGAGGTTCAACTGATTATTGTCAGAACTCATAAGCCAATGGTTATTGTGATTCCACGATGTTGGCCTGTGAGCCTTAGATACCAAGATTCGTTCTATTAAAGCATCCATACAGTTTGGAAAGGCTGGACAATGTTCTCTAATAGGATAATGAATGAAGCCAAGGTGTTGGAACAAGGTTAGTTTTCGGTCTTGGTCAAGCCTGTCCAAAATCTTGTACCGAAAATCATCTTGTAGTACGTCGGTTATTTCTTTGATATCGTCTTGAGTTATAGTACCCGTAGGTGCGATACTCTTAAAGTGATAGAACAGATCCGCATGTTCTAGAAGTAACTCTTGAAAATTGTGTTTAGCCGTTTCGATTAGCTCCCTTTGGTGAGCATCATAGATCTGTTGACAGTCTTGCTCTGATAACGTCTCAAAGCATTCTCTTCCCATAAACAGCACTCTCACTTCAGACAGATGTTTTCCTGGTGTGACATAACCAGTATCTTCAAGAAGCTGCTTGAATTGTTTCTTGTACTCTAAGCGTTTTTGTTCTTGTTGTAGAACGTTAATATGGTTCTTGAATACTGTTTCGGCCTCACTAGTGTCTAAAATATCAAAAGGTATTCGAGTCTCTTGGTTATCTTCGCCCAGACATTCGGTCCATGGTAGGTCTTCTGGGCGCTCATAGAAATACTGAGAAAAATTAGGATGGTTTTTGATATACTGTTGAATAGACGTCCAATCCGTATCTGTGAGCGCGTTGAATCCTGGGATTAGATCATGCAAAACATCAGGCAGCATTTCCATATATTTTGCTACTTGCTTAGCTAACTGCTCATCCTTAAGTCTCTTTATATGTCTCCTAAACAACCGTTGGGTACCATCTAGGCCAAATAACTGAACGAAATGTATCCACTCTTTGTGGGAGTTCAATTTTTTAACAGTTTGCGACCACATGGCGTGGCAATCAGTCACATGTATCCTGATCAGTCTCATGAAAGCTTCACTGGCAGCATCCATAATTTCTTTCTTGGCGAACGCCGCCTCAGCGTAGGACGGCACCTTGGACCTAACTTTCGTCTTCTCGACCATTTGCGCCAGCACCATGAAGCATATGTCGATGTTGACGTTGTCATGGGCAGATGACTCTACCATGCTGATGCTATTCTTGTATTCGTTCCTCTGAATGAGTCGGTGCGCCTCTTTGATGTAGGCTTCGTTCGCGTCGTCGTTTTTCGTGGTGACAAACACTATGGGCTTCTTCGTTTTGATCAGATTGTTCAAAATGGCCGCTACGAATTCTACCTGTTTTTCTACGCTCCTGCTGGGCACGACGCTGACGTCGAACAAACATACGAAACCGTCGATGTTAAGCTTACCTTCAGGCAGCACTCGCTGCTCATACTCCTTTTCTATACCTAGTTGGTTTTTACATATGTACATCAGTTTTTCTGCGGACGTTATTTTCGTTGCTGCACACCGTTTCACGTATGGCTCCATCTTGCCTGTAAATAGAAAAAATGCTTGAAAATTTACAAGCAAGATAGTGAACAATGATAGATTGAACAAGACTAGCCACGTGAGAGATGTGAATGAATAGTAAGTACATTACATACCTAGCTTAAGAAATAATCCATTATTGGTCCAGCACTTTCATATTCTCGACACCATGGCACCAAAGGATGTACTAAGTACTATGCAAGATCAATAATGGATTTCTCAATCAAGGCAGGTGTAGAATTTTTCACTAATATCTCAATACGGCATCACATTACACTACACTATATCAATTTTATAAAATAATATATGTTTATTTATTAATATCATGTATGTAAACATATACGTGAATCAAAGATCATGATGTTTTCTTCTGAATTAAACTAACAAACTCAAATTTTGCATAGAATATCAATCAGTCCACCACAGCTTCGCACAATGGCGCGAATCCGAGAGGAACAATTTTCGATGGCCTTGCAGCAAACTATTAGATCCAGAATTTTAGCAATGCTCAAAAATGATGAACAAACTTGCTTGAGGAAACACAAGAAAAAGTCTAACTCTGAGTGATGTAACCCTACCCTCAAAGTGTTCATCCAGAGTATCCATTATGGAGTTTGCAGGCGATTATCCAAATTTAAGCAGCAGAGCCATTGAAACCTCTTGAATCTATACCACTGTTCGTAACCGCAGCATATTTCATACTAAATATTGCATAGATGGGCATTTCAAATAGGAAAAAACGTTAATACTTTTCACACAGCTTGTTCTAATCTATCAGGTAACCAAATAAATTCGTGCGGTTGCTGTATTGCCATGAATGTTGTTGATCGATAGCGATTGTTTGTTACCTGTTGTCACTTTAGTATGAATCCTTCTTTTCTCACACACATAAAAAGTTGCTGAAAATTGTTACATACCTAGTTTGAATCATTGAAAATGGTGACGAATAAAACAGTAATTCGAAGTTGTTTACTGTATGAGTACAAGCTTGGTACAAAAGCTGCCGCGGCGGCGCGAAAAATGTGTACCGCATTCGGAGATGATGCCGTTAGTGATCGAACAGTACAGAAGTGATCCAAAAAATTTTCTTCGGGAGATCTGTTTGAGCGATGAACCGCACTCAGGGAGACCAAAAATCACGAACAACGAAGATCGAGGTTGTGGACGCAAATTCCAGGACAACGTCCCAAGAACTTGCAGAAATGTTCAGAGTGAGTCCTAAAACTATTCGTTTACATCTTCATCAGCTAGGAAAGTCGTGGAAGTTAAGCAAATGGGTCCCACACGAACTGACAAATGATAACAAATTAAGTCGTCTTACCATTTGTTCAGCAAACATTTCACGCTAATGAATCATTTCTTAATCGGTTGTTAACCTGCGACGAAAAACGGATCTTGTATTCGAATTCTAAGCGTTCGTATCATTGGTTGTCGCCTACTGATTCGGTACCACACACGCCCAAGGCTTCCTTGCACCTAAACAAGGTTTTGTTGTGTGTTTGTTGGACAGCAACTGGAATTTTCCATTATGAATTTTTGGAAAGGGGTCTCACCATCACTGCTAACTTGTATTGTGAACAATTTCAACGAGTACAAGCAGCACTCATCCAGAAACAGCCTTCTTTGATCAATAGGAAGAAAGTGATATTCTTGCAGGATAACGCCAAGCCTCATACCGCAAAAGTGACCCCAGAAAAAATTTCTGAAATCGGCTGGGCAACGATACCGCACCCGCCATATTCTTCCGACATTTCACCCAGTGATTATCACCTTTTTTTGTCTCTTGACCACTGTATGAGGCACCGACAGTTTACAACTCGAGATGGTGTAATAAATGCAGTCCGCCAATTTTTTTACTCCAAATCCAGGGAGTTCTACAATACCGGCATACAAAAATTGGTTCCACGTTGGCAAAAGGTCATTCAATGTGATGGTAATTACTTCAACGAATAAATAGTTACTTATTGTTTCTCAATTAAAATTTATATGTTTCTACTGAAAACCGCACGAACTTATTTCGTTACCTGATATTTTAACATAGCCTCGTCGCTTGTGGAAAACCATTTATAATTGAAAATTATTTTAAAAATAAAGCTTGGTATATATAATTATTAAGTTGTTCCAAAATGTAAAATGATGAGTATCAAATTACATTGAAAGTAGATTAGAGACATTATTGGAATATGATATGGTCAATGTTAAAATAATTCATTTTCAATTGTACGATTCTTTATAGACTGTTATGTTTTGACATATTCATTTTTTTTTTTTTAGTGGCGATACTTCAGAATGTTCTACTGAGTGGGAGCTTAATGGCTCTTACCTATTTTGAACGGCTGGAATGAGGCATCATCAATGAACTCAGTCTGTTCGATGACGCTAAACTGGTACTCTGCCCCATCTTCTGAAGTTTTGATCACATCGCCCCAATAGAGAAAATGATCGTTATTGACCACTCGGCCGCTGAAATCAGTCTGGCTAAGAACGGAGATGTGATCCACATTGTAGTCTTCCGCATGGGGTCGCATGAAGCGATTGCAGAAGCATGATTTTCCAACGCCAGCGTGGCCTTTGTCCTTCTCGACGCCTGACAGCCCCACTATGGAAACATTGATGCTTCTGATAGTGTCGCCTTTTCGAGCCATGGTGATATAAGATTAAGTTCTGAAATAAAATAAAATTAATTGATATTGAGCATATTCAGATAACTCGAAGTGGTACAATTCTGCAGCAGTTTTCTGTCAAATTCCAACATAAAACTGCTGCATCCCTGTTACCTAAATAAACGCACTCATAAAGATATTCGCCAAGATGCTCACGCTCATGCTGCATGTGGACGTTCTCATATAATTTCCATCCAATTTCCAATTCGCCTTTTCAAACATAAGAGAGCATCTGGACCATCTTCTGCATGTGATCAACTTTATCCTTAATACAGGATATTTTCCAATAAGTTGGAAACAAGGATACTGCATTTTTCTACATAAATCTGGTAAGAGCATTACACTCCTGCCAATTACTCTTTTAAATATAAAAGTGGCTAAACGTATTACCCTCGGTCGTTTAAGCCCTTGGTTAGAAAAGGCAATCCCACATTACCAACACGGATCTCACATCAACGCTTGCCTACATAAAGCTAAAGCAGAAATTGCAATGTTGGACCCCATAATTGGATGGAAATCAAATGTCGACGTTTATGTTAACGTACGAGTTTTGTTCCCAAGGATAAGTCGGACAGGCTTGAACTCACTCTAAGTCTGCTTGAAGAAAGCCTAACAGGTTGTTTCCCATCGAAACAACTTTGGTAAATGCTCAGCAAGGATCCCTACCATATTAGGATTGTAAATTTAGCCCTTCATCAGCCATGGTATCAAAGGAGAGGACAACACAATGTCTTGCAATGCTCTACAAGGACTGAATGTGGAATTTCTCCGGCCTTAGCACCTAAAGAATCCCAAAATAAACTGACCATTTAATGAAAAAAATAGTATCAGAAAAACAAGTAAATATGCTAAAAATGAGTCAATATCTCTTGTAATTATTCCTGTTCATATTCTCCGAATTGATTGAAAATAAAATCGCGTAACCCGTGGCAACAGTCCGTAAGATAAGACTGCTGACACCTAAAGACGATTATTAACAGGTATACAGTTATAATCATAAAGACTCATGCTACTTGTACGCCTTTTCCTCAAATAAGCTGGTACTCGCACAAATAAACTTGAGTTAATTTCACTCACGCAAAACAATTATCGGAACATGATAAGACGACGTTTTAATACCACACACACACACACTTCATCTTTATATTCTTAATCCAGATAAAACCATTAATGTATTCTGCCAGAAGATAGCCAGCCTAATGCTATATTCCCGCGTGCAAAAAAAATATCCGAGATACAATGAGATACCGTAGCGTCATCTATTAGAATTTGTCGCAGCTGTTTGCTATATAACTATATCCTATATATACTTTTAAAAGCTTAGTATCCCATAGATAGCACTGTAGCGAAAAGTATATTATATACAAGGTGGCTACAGCGCCATCTATGAGACACTAACTTTTTCAAAGTAACATATATATACGTAGTCATGCCATAAGTTCTGTCCCTCGTTTTCAAACAAGTGTAGACCTGTTAATACTTGTCCGATTGTTTACATTGTGGTGTCAGTTGATTAAGCGCTTTTCGGGTAATTACATATACCTCAGTTTGTATTGATCTCTCGAAGCATAACGATGGAGTGGGGCAAGGCAGAGAACCGTATTGCAGTGATAGCTTTACATAAGTGTAATCACAGTGCTAGTCAGATTTTTGAACTCTTACGCGGCCTTCAAATATCGCGTAAATTTGTGTCTAGGACCATTCAGCGGTACAATGAGACGTCCTCTGTTGATGACAGGCCAAGAAGCGGATGACCTCGTCAAGTAAGGACTCCAGCAGCCATCAAAGCCGTAAAAGCCAGGATTCAAAGGAATCCACTCCGGAAGCAGAAGATCCTATCCAGGGAAATGAAGATTCCTGTCCGGACGATGTCGCGCATCATTAAACAAGACCTAGGGCTAGGGGCTTACCGGAGACGTACGGGCCAGCGACTTACGGCCACCTTGCGACACATCAGGGCGACAAGATCCAAGAAGCTCTTGGAGAGGTACGCAGCTGGGGGATTCCGAAAGATTTTGTTCACGGATGAGAAAATCTTCACCATAGAAGAAAAATTCAACCGACAAAATGACAAAGTGTATGCAAGGAGTTCACAGGAAGCTTCGGAGATCATTCCGAGAGTTGAGAGAGGCCACCACCCTGCGTCAGTCATGGTTTGGTGGGGGGTGTCCTACGAAGGGGTCACTCAGCTCCATTTCTGTAAACAGGGCGTGAAAACAAAAGCGGCAAACTATCAGAGCGACATACTGGATCCTATCGTCAAGCCTTTAAGTGGTACATTGTATGCCAACCAACACTGGGTCTACCAGCAGGATTCCGCCCCCGCTCACAAGGCTAAGAGTACGCAGCGCTGGCTGGAAAGCAATGTGCCAGAGTTCATTGCTGCGGAAGATTGGCCCTCAGGGAGTCCGGACCTCAATCCTTTAGACTACAAGTTGTGGGACCTGCTAGAGCAGTTGGCCTGCTCCAAAGCCCACCGTAATATCGAGTCCCTGAAAGCGGATTTGATCCGATCAGCGGCAGCTATTCCTTTGGAAGCTGTGCGTGCAGTGATAGATGAGTGGCCCGCGAGATTGAAGCAGTGTGTGAAGGCCAAGGGGGGACATTTTGAATAAAACTGTTTGATTATGAATTCTAAAAATGTTGTCGAATAAATAATATTTTTCATATAAATATATCTTATCTTGTTTCATTTTTATCATGAGATTATCATGGGACAGAACTTATGGCACGACTACGTAGTACGAGTACATAGAGAATCAACTGCATAAATTCTCATAGATGACGCTACGGTATCTCATGTTATCCTGGATGAGTTTTGGACAAACGAGTGTCTACGGCAGCCCTAAGCGGTTGTCGCCGCCATGGTGCGTATGCGTATTTTCGCACAAGCACTGCTTTCATTTCGGTTGGGTATCTTGCGGTAAAATATTTTAATCAATGTTATCAAATAACTCGAAGACCATTGAACAAGGTGTTCGTGTAAAACAGACACACTTTAAATAACATCATGACATAAATCATCGCCATAAAATCGCATGAATCAGTTGTTAGGGCTGAAACTCGGGTGCGCCTTATTTGCCTTGTCACTTGAGGTGACAGGAGAGTTGTCACATGTTCGAAAATGCAACATATTTCGATCTAAGACCTCCTTGTTCTTATTAGCTCTGGTTATAAGTCATTAATTTGAGACTTGATGCAGGAAGTGTTTTCCATAGACATAAGAACCAAAACATGTTCTCCCCATATATTTCTTGAGGAAGTACTGTAATGAGAAAGCTTTGAAATTAAGGACTATGAGAGGCAATAGGACTCAGATCTAACAAGGCTGCCTTCTTCATTAAGAAGAATACCTGACAACGCTCCTGTCAAGCAGATGTATGGAGGAGGCCTCGAGTGAAATAAAGACTTTAGACAACTCCTTCAAACTTCGAACAAAGAGTAGTTATACCAAGACAGAATAAATTAGAGAGAGATAAGAAAAGTAACCCAAAACATGGCGTCCACAAAACAGCTGATGGCGTCTTAACACGTGATGTTCTTATTTGGTTGCCAGATTGATAGTAATCCTTTTTGGATGAATTCATTATCCATTACTTGTAAAAAAAGCATTTTTGTTCACATTTACTTTTGCTTGGAGATTCCATAAAGTTATTAAACACATTTTTCGCGAGTACTCTTCGCGTTATTTAAACATAAGTTACTCTCAAAACCTGTAAGTTATCACATAACTATTTCACACGACAAGTCTGCTGTGTATCATCAAAATACGTAAGATTTGACTATAGACTATTTCACGAGTATCCAAGACGCTTTGACGTCTACTGAGGAAAACAGCTGATCAGCCAGTGACATTTTCGTGTTAGTCTGCAACGTAGGCAATAATAGATCGGGTATAAATCTAGTAAAACTTGTTTGTGGCGTTTTGTTTTTTGAATGCAAATGGACTTTTCTAAATAATAGACATAACTGATTTAAAAAGTTGATCCCCATCACTTAAAATCAAACTGTTTCATCTTTCACTTAGAATCATCCATCAAAGTTGAGCATCATGCACATAGAAATCTGAATTGTATACTAAACTCAAGTAGTTCAGAAATATAAGCTAGAAAAAAAGAATATCTAAGATAACTGCATGTGTTTTACTAAAGATTTTGCCAGTGAGATTTCGATAGAAGCTGACGTTATCTACTATCTATTTGAGAGGTACAAAAATGTAAGAAAACTGTTTAAGTCATAATTCAACCATACATGAAAAGGATTTAAAAAACATAATTCGGTTTCCAAGACCTCATACCCAAAACATCTCATTTTTCAAATCAATTATACAAAAAATAGATTGTCAATGTTTGAACAAGTAATGAACAAAAAAATACATCAATCATGTATTTGATCAGTGATAATGCTAAATAAATGTAAATAACTCATGTAATAAGCAAAACATTAATAATTGCATGGGGACTAATAAGCTACAATTAAATGATGTGTCTAAATGGAATGCATATTAAAAAAACAACATAAAAATGGCTTTTAAAACATATTGAACGCTAGTCTAAGAAACTCGGGGATATAAGTATTTTATTTATTTCGATGCATTTCGCGTCAGACAAACCTAATATAATTTAATGCAGAACACATGAAAGCGCTAAATAACAGGTTAAAAGTAGGTATGTAGTGTCAGTCCTGATAACTGTCAATGCACCTTTGGGATACTTCAGTGCAAGTCACCAGTGACCGACTTGGCAGTCAATATATGCTTATTGTGAATTTAGTATCATATCTCTGAAAGAGGTGAATCTGATTCTTCCTACTTTGGATCCAAATGATATGAGTTACAAGCAGTAATTAATGTTAAGAAAAGATTTTTACTACATTAACAGTTTTTGCTCCAACACACCATCACAGACTCAAATCTAGTGTGAACTGTTTTGATATTAATGTTAGTTGTCACTAGCTATAATCTAACATTTCGAACTAGCAGTATGAAACAACTACATACATGTCAGGCTAATATTGACAATTGAGATGAGATACAGTTGAAGCCAAATAGGTTATACTTGAATGATGTCTTACTGGCTTCCAATTTGTACATAAGTAGAAACACTACAGTGATACAGCTAATGCATCTTTCTGTGAATGATGCCACTCTTGAGATATGATAAACTGTCCAGGCTGCTTAGATATAATTTCAATTACACAAAGAAAGTAGTTAATGTTGTATTCCAGTAAGAATAATTAACTAACTTTAGATGAATAAATTAATTTTCACATCAACTCAACACAAATCTGCAAAATAGCTGCATCAACTATGTCATATCAGCACTGAATTTCTCTATATTACATAAAATATATTTTCAATCAAAGACAGACTTTAGTTCTTGAGCACAAGTTCGTTAAGTCATGATTTGTGCAACAAACAGGGCTAAAACAGGTGCGGAACCTCAAGTTACCAGTAACACTTTGCAAGACTCTCAAAAACATTTCACACTTTGTTTTAAGTACCACCTCCAAACCAATTACAAAATACTCAAAATATCTATGTCAATGTTATGTTAATATTGTCTTTGAATGATATAATCACAACTCAGATAAAAAATTACCATCACAAACATCAGTGTTTGAGTCACAGACTAACTGCTTGTTATAAAGGTCAGACTGTGACATTTTCAGCATAGTCCGTAACATTAAGATTTTTTGCCAGTCTATTTAAATATAGAAAGGTTCTGTTTTTATCATTTTAAAGAATAAAGTCTCTTTTAGACAATATATTCAATTGCCTTTATCATAACAAATACATACAGTGCAGTTACAAATGGCAAAGTCTACCTGTTTCTTGTAGAGTTTTTGCCAAAACCACTACTTTTGTAAATACTGTACACAGTTCAAGTTAATAGGAGTTTTGATGTTTGTATAAGTGTTTGATTACTACATTATCAGCTCAAAGTTGACTAACCTATTCTACAAGGCTAGAATATGTTAATAAATGCTGTGACATTGTGTGCTGAAGCAATGAATATAGCTCTTGGCACTTGGGCCTAGCCCCTCACACCTTATGTTGTTTAACAGTTACTGCCCATTGAAGATCAACCTGGCATAATTTAATATTAGTTCTACATCCATTAAGCCCTCATATCAAATTATATGTTTATTTTTGTCAGTATGTAGCTTTATCTGATGATATAAAAAACTTAACTGAATTTTTTTTTTAATTTGCTATCAAGACAAAACCAAGCAGAGCTCAAATGACAAAATCCATCAAGCCATTTGGTCTGTAGCCCATCACACAGAAATTTCAAGCTTGGAAATTTTCAACTAAAATCTGCCATTTTATAAAATTTTGATATACCCAGTGTCACTTGTAATGCTAAGACAAATACAAGAACCAAAGACATGTAATATATCAAACCCCATCAAGCACTTTAAGCTGTAGCCCATGAAATGTGAATTTTATGTTTGAAGTTTTGTATTAAAATCTGCCATTTTGTTTTTATAAAATTTTAATATAGCCCATGTCCCTTGCACTGCTAAGATGAGTCCAACTCCACCTCATATGTCAAAATCAATCAAGCATTTTGTCCCATACGCCATACCCCCAACAACTTTTTGGATGCATAGACACATAGATGTCAACACACAAAAACCATTACCCTAATTTTAAGGCAGTCTGGTAAAAATGTGTGTTCATGATAAGCTTGAATTACTTAGTTCCTGTGCTACTCAGTTTAATCCACTTTACAAAGCAGTAGAATGATTTGGTTCAAACTGCAAGTTGCCTTTTCCTTAAATACTATTTAGACACCTATAACAATTTCAGTGATTATTTATGTAACTAAAATCAATTATGTAGGTATTTTTGTTATATGAGCTTATGTATTCTAAATAGTCCAAAGTATTCCATGCTACCAATGATGTGGAAAGTTTCAAATTGCTGTTAATATAAAATCTCATTATGGAAATCCTTTCAAAGACACATGTGGAGTAGATCTGAACAGCTGGGGACCTGGGTTAAATTAGATTTATAACAGATGTTCCAAAATTTTCAAGTTATATGGCAGTAAAAAGCAATAGAGAGACTAAAAGAGCATAAATACCAACAGTGAAATGAAATACTGTTTTGTAGATAATTAACAATAGGTGATGATGCAAATTTTTGTTATCACCCCTATTACCATCTTACCTGGGTGCATAAGTATGTAGAAATAGAATCTCTTTTGAGGAGGACAATAAAACAGACGAAAACGTATTTTAAAATCGGGAAATGTGAAATCCCGGAACAGTATCAGATTTCTCCTCGAGAAAAGCATGTACGTGTGTCAAGCATATTAAAAAAGCGTTCACCTTTAACAACATAGGGTAGTGCAATCTCATACAAAAATTACTTACATGATTAAAATTGTCTGACAGGTGGGCTCAAAGGAAGTGCATAGTGTTACTATTACATCATCAACTTCCACATATCATTAGTTTAAATGGTAAATTATGGTTTTGTATTCGCCAGGACATTCTTCGTGAATACTGGAAATGAACACTAGATATAAAGCCGCACTGAGGGAATTGCTCTTTTGTATGGCGATAGCTGCAATTATAGAGTTATACTAGTGGTACTAGGTCGTTTCTGGTAGCGAAGTTTGAGTAGAATATGTATAAAAACCACCCACCGCCTCAGCAAGAAGCCATTACAAATTTACGGCCACCTTACGGCTTTGTCACACGAAACGTCAAAAAAGTACACAAAAGCACCACCAAAGCGTCAAGCAACGTCAAAGAAATAATGACAATTGCTATCATAGGAGCAGAGTGACATGGAAGAACAGCTTGAAGAAGAAAAGTATTTTTAGTAGCCATTTACTCCATGCAGCTTGATGAATGACAGGTCGCGATAATTGTTTCGGCTTAGAATCTTAGAACATCAATGACCAATGACTGCGTGTTAGAAATGTAAAGTCATGTTTAATATAAGTAGGATCTACTAACCACATACTGACTTACTGAAATTCATTAATGTATTCTGTCTAAAGATAGCCAAACATAAATCTGAATTCGTGCCAAAAAGGGATGTGAAACATCCTAGCACCATCTACGAGACAGTTGCAGAACAAGGCCGGGCCATAAACCTACGTGCGTGCGAATAGAACCGACGATCGAGTGCTTATGTTTGTATACACTGAAAACCAAACACCACTGACGTCGTAATGTGCACGAGAGAGAAGCGCGATAAGCGTGCGAAATGAATGTTAGAAAGAGTGCGCCGATGGTTCCGTGAACTCGTACTCGAGATGCTAGGCAACGAGGTGCATCTATCTCTTTATAATGTACATAACAGTTATCGCGCTTCTCTCTCTCGCACACATTATGACGTCAGCAAAAAATGAATCTCATCGTATGGTTGACAGCCTTCTAGTGGAATACGTTAATCAATGTTATAAGGAAATGGAGTTTCATCACACGCCACACTCGTATCCAACATACAACAAATGCGCAGTCAGGACTGTACAATCAATTAATCATCGAGTTCAAATGGAAACATTTAAATTCAAAAATATTAATATAGCTAGGTATACCAAAAATATAACGAATAAAACTTTGGATGGTGGATGCAAAATGTACGTTTGTTGATCATAGTACGTCTCTTCCGACTATTTTTCAACTGTGCAATATGTCAAGCATAGAACCGATCAATTTGTGAAAGTCAGAAAGTCCCACAATTTTTTGTTTGAGGTTGACAAAAGGAAAAAATTCATTTTTACTTGGGAAAATGTAATTTTCGATTCATTCGCCCAGATTTTCTACATGATTAAAAATTCGCAGCTTCCCAATATGCCTATAGATGAATTTCCAACAGTTGACCCCGATGAAGATCTCACGCAGGTAAGTGTTTATATTAAAACAATAAAATGGAAAATCAAACAACTTTTTTGTATGTAGATATTACCTATTCAACAAAAACGTACCATCACGTTTGTAAATCATTTTATAATGAAAACCGTATCATTTCTGAATCAGTTTGCCCAATCTTGTGAATCACGCTTTATGGAATTGGAACACAAAATCCAGAAAATTGAAGCTTCACTACTGATCCTGGAATCTCAAGTAAGTATTTAGTGTAATAAAGTTCCTTATATCAATTAGTATATGTTCAAGAGTCTGTATTTCTAGTTGTCATCAATACCTGGTTTAGAAGGTCAAATATCTTCTTCCACTGAACATGCAGAGATAAAACAAAATGAAAATATTTCTTCAACAGAGGTTTCTGATGCAGAAAAACCTGAAGACAAAGTAGAATTTGATTCAGCAAATGTTACAACTGATCCGGCTAAAACCGAACCTGAAGGCAGCAAAGCCAAAGATGATCCAAGATATTCAAAATTTTTTAAAATGTTACATGTTGGAGTACCAGAGCCAGCTGTCAAGTTAAAGATGAAAAATGAGGGTGTGAATCCAGGAATACTTGAGTAAGTTATTCATTATTCTTAATTTTATAATTTCCATTACCAAACCAGACCTATACCAAACAAGTCTCAATCAATTGCAGTTATAAAATTGTGAGCTACAAATTGTAAAAAATAAATAAATCCACAGGCCTACCTTCTTCCTACAGGAGCATATCTTGAATGACAATTGGGGCTTTAGTTAGAAGTATTTTTTGAGAGAGAATCTTGTTTTATGGAATTTGAAAATAAAAGACACCTTGTATGTTTACATAAACAATAGTAGCCTCAAGAACAAACAAAAGTTATGAAACATTTGGGTCAAACAACATAGCAATTATTTTCTGATGAATGCACATGATCACTATTGGAATGTTTGCCATTGTTTTCATCATAACCAAAATATGCTCTGCTTTTGATCAAGTGATATAAGTACTAGTTTATGGGGTTCATTATTTTGTGTTTGCTTTTAACAATGTAGATCTCTGGTTAAACTAAAGCTAATAGGTATAGCAAATTTCAATATTGATAACAGAGAAAAATGGAAGGAAAGAATGAAATTATATCTTTCAAGTCAGTCACTTAATTACCAGAGGTTCATTTCATGCTACAAGATAGTAAAATCTCCTTTGAATATCTACTTATAAAAGTGTAGATCCAAAAGCTAACAACTCAAAATACCATTCAATGTAATAGTATCCCTCTAACCTTTTAAAGCTTTATTATTAAAAGGTATTTCTTTTACAGTAAACCAGATCAGGTTATTCCGGAATAAGTGCATCCACAGTCTGACTAGATATCTAAGTGTAAATTAATCTTATTATAAACAAAATCATAAAATTGATATTTTTATGTTTTTATAATTATATAATTCAATAAAACACGTTTTTATAAGTTTATCTATTTATTTTACTTAACGTTAACAACTTAGAACTGAATCATCTGTCCCTTCCTCTTTTTGTCACCACCAAGTTCAAAGTGCTTGCAACGTTTCAAAGGAATCTGCTTCCTGTATTTGCAGTCTGTACATTCCATCCTCAATACAATCTTTTTAGTAGTTTTTGCCTGTAAAAAAACAGCAATCAGAATATAACTAATAATAAATATAAATGTTGAAAAAGTTCTTCTAAGGACAAATTTATTAAAAAAAAAAATGCAGAACAGTGCATAGATGATACATCTAATTTTGATGTACTAATAGTTTGGTACATAAGGTATTCAGAAGGTTGATGAGTTTGTATTAAACAAACACCCTATACATTGACTGTCTGCACTCTTGCATACAGCAATGCGATACAGGTGTTTTGTTGACTAATACCCATGAATGAGTTTAGATTGTTTTGCATCAGAGGTGTTTGAGTATAGCAAAGTTATTAAAATAACGAAGTTGCAATTTTCTGTGAAAAAAAACAATGAGGTCCTGCTGTATAGTTACATGCTGTGAAAATATAGCAAAATGCTTGTGTTATGCCCATTCTATTTTAAAGTTTACAAATGTTATGATGAGCAGTGCCTAAATCAATTTTCATGCAGGATATTAAGCGAGCAAAAGGTAAGTGCAATCATTTACCTTCTTTCTGAAGATAGGCTTTGTTTGACCACCAAAACCTTGTTGTTTTCTGTCGTAACGCCTTCTACCCTGGGAAGCATGACGTTCCTTTGACTTCTTGTATTGAGTTACCTTGTGTGGTTTATGAACTTTACATTTTTTACAAAATGTACGACGTTGTTTCGGTACGTTAACCTGGAAAAGATTATTATAATCTATAATTCGTTTGAAAAAGAAGTATTTTGGATCCAAAAACAGACTGTAATATAACCTCAAATCTTAAAAGATTTGTTTGTCAACGTAAGGCGTAAATATCGGTTGTAAAGACTTTAGCATATTTGCTATATTATTTATTTATCGGAATTTAAGGAATGTGAATTATATCTTCCAGGATGTTTGAAGATTTGCATTTTTATAAAATACCTACCATTTTTAATATGTCAAAAACAAAACCACTAGGAAAAAGAATGACAGCTGTCATAAAAAGAGAGAAGTAGCACTATGGCGGTGAAGGTTAGGTGAACAGCCAATAGAAAATGCTCGAGGTGGTCACAAGGCGATGCGCATGACAAAACGTTACCTCTCCAGGCTGATTAAAAATCATAGTCCAGGAATTGTATATAAATTGTTAACAGAATTCTAGCTAAAAAAACAAACATGGGCAAGCCACCGTTATGAAATAAATGAAGATCATTTGCCACTAGGCGCAAATTCTATACCTCATAAATAAACCATACGTATCCGTAGTTTGTCAGTGTTGGATGAAATCTTCTCTATTCGTCTTCACGTTAATACTGAAGTCAGAAATCGAGTAGCCGAAGGTTGGTGGATGATGAATGATAAGTTAAAACGTTCAAAAGTACAACTAGAAGATTGTATCCAGTGACACATCAACATCGAAATCGCCAAAATAAAAAAATGGCAAACCTTTTATATCGACGGAATAATATCCCATAATAGTTAATGTTTCGCATCCTAAAAGTGTGAGAAAATAATCTTTTTTTCTCTCATGTTGATGGTCTGATACGAAATATGATCACGATCAATTGGTTTACAAATCAAAACTCAAATCCTATTGGATAATACCTTCGACTGAGAATACAGAGGTTTTAAATAAATTCCTTATGAATGTATACGAATTTTAAATATGTTTTTTCGCAACACACCAGCCAAAAATTCAGTATAAACTTCAGAATCCCTGAAAAATGGATGAATAACAATCCATTTCAGCTATGGATGGATGGAACTTGTTCTATGTGCGATTTTTGATTACAAAAGTACCCAAAAATCTAATAATACTTGAAAATCTTTGTTATAACAGTATTACAAGTCCGCGAAATTAATTCTTTGTTTGATTTTCTTTATCAAATAATTGGCACAGAAAGTATATTTTTGTGTATGTGTATATATAGTATATTAAATATATTTAGTGGCTGAATTTATTTTATTAAGATGGAGATAATAGTACTAAACTAAATATGGGATCTGCCTGGACCATTGTTATAAAAATAGAGGAAAATATTGGATCGTCCTGTTGTACAATTTTGAAGCTTCAAATGTCAAACTTCTCATGCTAGTATACTCATTAATATGCATAACATCAATAATGGACCACCAAATGCGTCGTCCTAATTTCCAGTATACTCCAGTTGTCCCGATAATAGACTCCTTATTCTTTTTGGTTACACCTTGTTAAGGGTTGCTTATTGATAAGTTACCTGTATTCTTCAGAGAGAATAACGACTTTACCACCCCCAATAAAATATGTTAAACGCTGTAGCATATTTGATATGTTCATTTTCTCTGTAGCAGTGAGAGTCGGAAATGAAAAACTGTACAACTACTTTTGGATCTTGAAATTATTCAAGAAAATACCAATCGATACTAACATACGTAGATTGGAGCTGCTTCACTGGAAGTCTAGCTTCTACCTACTTTCCGATTATTTATTTTCTACTAAATTGAGGTGTTTTCTGAACAACATATTTAGAGGAATATCAATTTTGCCTTGCCTTGTCTTAATGTTTTCACTTTTTTCTACGAGCGAGAAGTGACAAAAATGCCATCCATATTTCTAACGTTAAATACCGGGCCAAAACTCTAGCGAGTTGTAATAACCTTAGTCCTTAGAATGAGAGCCTACTTCTGGCATCGAGGTTAGATTTCCATCAGATGTAAAGAAAATTTAAAACGTATTCTTTGACGTTGACAGTTTGGCATTAGTATCTGGATACCAAATCCCAGGGGCGGAAAAAAATCCGTTGAGTTGATCTTGATCTTCCAAATCATGCCTTAACAGTATTTCGTCCAATGCGCATTAGTGCGACAGGATTTGGCCAGTGAACATAGTGATTTAGTTATGTTCAAAAATACCTGTCTTTCGAACTCAGGACTAGGCGTGTCTGCTTTATTTTAATGACTTCTGGGTTCGATTAAAGCTGAATGTTATTTTTGATATATTTTTTTAGAAATTTAATTTTTTATACATCAAATAGCGCACCTAATATTAGTTTGAAACAAACATTTTAATCATTACGAAAAAAAATGAGGTACCATGCACATATCATAAGAAGCTTATTCTTCGCAATCGCATTTTCCTTTGAAAGAGTGGGAATCAAACGTTTCCTTTTCCTCATACATTCAACGTTCGTATTGTAGAGCAATGGTGAAAATGTGCTAAAGACAATCGTTGACGGTGAGATAAATTTTATCGAGATCTGTAAATTCCACAACTTCAGCAGCAAACGAAGTTGTTTCTTGTCTTGCCATTTCCACAATAACATTTCTCACCCAACGATAAACAGTAATTGCAGATCGTTGGGTATTTGTCTGTCAGGTGATATTTTTTTTTTAGTAAAAACAATTTTCCGTGAAAATGTGTACCCCAGGAGAAAAAATTGCTGATATTACAAGATACTTCTTCATTACGGTTGGCAAAATAGCTGATGAAACGTTATTATGAAGAACATGTTATCAGACTTTTAACTAAAAATTCATTTTTGAATCGGAAAATTCTGCTTCCAGTGTTATTCATTCTCAAATATCACAATTTCGTTCTAAAAGATCACGCGGGGTATACAAAATAGTATAAAATAGAGTATAACTGTAAAACTGTAGTTTTTAATAGATGACGAGTGTCATTCAGCATTGAGCAACGGCCATGTATAAGCCAAAGAAAAATAAAAATCTTCCAACAGTGACTGTAAACTAGTTATACAAAACTTGCTCTACGCTTAGTGTCCCACTCTCTCGAAATGATTACTATCCAAGATGCATAAATAGATCATGCATCGCTCAAAAAAATTGACCCATAGCAATACTAGGTGCGATATTTGTATAACATGCATGAGGAATTGTGGTTTAACAAAACTTATAAAATTAAATTATACAAAAAATAACATGCATCGGCTGTGTTAGAACTCTTTAACATACACCACGTCACGTGTTCGAAAAACCATTATTTTTTAACATAATTGGATCACTTCATTGACCAATTTCTCTTGCACTAAAGCTCATTGGAATCAATCAACCAATAAGTTTTATTTGCAAAAATAACGAGAGATAAAAATTAGAGATGGAATGCCATTCATTAATTTGACAAAAACATTAATTGAAATACATCAATAGTGAATTTTGCACCATAATAATAATAAAACACACACAAATATACAGCCGAGAATCGGCGGCATGTAGCGGCCACAGTGGTGACCCGACGGACAATTCAAACTGGCATACAGTTCCAGCAGACAGCCTGCTAGTTTCACTTTCGCAGTGGTCGGTTCTGGTAATAGATATAGATAGTACTTTATGCTGTCTTATTTAGATACACCGCATACTCTGATTGTTAGCCCTGTTCGTACAGCTGCCGCCAACCTGTCAGTGATCGTGTCCAATATCCCGCCACACAAATTCCGTTTATTCTGCTACGCTATATCGACAGAATTTACAAGGCCGGATCTCAGATACTGTCACCGACCACTGTACGAACAAACCGATAGTTGGGTTGGTCAACTTGCGTTCGTTGTCCACCGATACCAAGCTTACACCATGCTCAAGAGATCCCAAATAGCACGAATTGTCCATGGTTGGCCGTCTATCTAGTTTAGATACAATTAAAACTCATTACACCCTATTTCACGAGTATCCATCACGCTTTGACGTCTACTGAGGTGAACAGCTGGTCAGCTAGTGACATTTTTGTGTTAATCTGCAACGTTAGCTATCATGAATCGGGTGTAAAAATTTGTTTGTAGCGTTTTGTTTTTTGTATAGAAATTAACTTTTCTAAATAAAAGAGCTTTTAGCAAGTACAAAATGAATCTGTTGTGAACAAAAAAGCAAAACAAAATATGGCTCTGCCTACCTGGGATTGACGGATCCGACAGAATTAATCCTTTGCCGATATGGGGAATTTTGAAATATTACTAGATAACCAGCTGACATTCTAACGTGATGGATACTCGTGAAATAGGGTATAAAAGTGCCCTGTAATGTTTTCTGATAGGTAGTCATCAACTCTGTAAGGAGTTGGTTTCAATGAGTTTTTACATTTGATTGACTGAAATGCTGACCTATCCACAGGATTTTTTTTTACAAAATCCGTGTTCTGGTTTTGAAGACTCCTACTTGTAAGATGACACACACACGACGCACCATGCGTCTGGCCCTGAAACCTTAGGGAGGCTCATAATCAAGTCTATGGGGCCCCAGACCAGATAAAATATATGCTTCCAGAATCATGTCAATCCAGCTGTTATAATTGCAATTTTGTTTAGGAGGTAGATAGTACCTAACCCATTGCCCGTTGGCACTTTACTAAGCTTAACATCGTTAATTCCGCTACAGCTCTATGCTTTACGAGTTAAATATTGTTGAAATATAATATGCGTTCAAAAATTTATTTTAGAACTGCGTCAACAACTCCTACCCACCCACTCCCGGAATTAGTGATAGAGAGTTTACCAGGAACAGCCACAGTTTTCTGATGAGTTCCATATTAAATGTAGATCGATGAACTGTGGGCAGTGGATAGGTAGGCAGAAAATGAAGCTTTCCCCATGTCCGTGGAAACGTGCATACAAGATTATTATATTAAAGTCACCGTGTGCTCTGTGCGTATCATCGTGCATACATCGTATCATGTAATACTTTACCGCTTTATATGGCATCTAAATCTAATCCAGTGGCGTACAGAGAAAAATATACAACATATAAATGTGACTCACAAAAACATTCAAAGGCAATATACCTAAGCCTGAAATTGAAAAATATGAAATATAGAATGGAATGAATCTAGTCAAGTAAAAATGATCGAGAAATCCATCCAAATAAATGGATTTCAAAAATATCAGAGCGACAAAAGTTATGCGGATACAACTGAAGATACCCATATACACAGTTTGACATGTTTTGAAATCAGTGGGAACCCGAAAAACAGTTGTTGACTCTCGAAACGTAGAAAAGCAATGCAATCTGGAGTTCGGAAAACGCACATTGTAGAGGATATCCATTTTTCATTTTTTCTCCTAAACTGATTTTTAAAGATTAGGATTTTTTATGAATGACGGCCACAGCGATATTGCTAAAACAATCAATATCGCTGTGGCCGTCATTGAGAGAGTATAGCTAGACACTATTACAAAAATTTCAACAAGTAGATCCGAAAACAAAAATGCCATAGTGTTATAACTCTCATAAAGTAGCGTTAAAATCATCATCATGATCAAAGGGTACCTTCGGATAGTTACATACAAATCAAAAGGAGAAGTTTGCCAAGATGAATATGCAATTTGACGTCAAGAAAATATTGTCTGGATTACCACATTTTTACACTACATTGGTACCTAAAATTACGTATTTTCGTCTTTTGAACGGTGAACGACACTTGCCCTGTTTGCTCTATATCAAATACGCCACTGACCAATGACCTTCACAGTGACGCTACCCATTTGGCAACACCGCACTGAATTTTGTCCCCTTCAGAATACCCATGCCTACGTTTATGACAGACTCGTATACGATCGTGTACCATTCTATTTTGTCACCGAAGACACAAATGTAAATGAAAAATCCCAACAAGAAAAACTACAATTATTATTAATTTGAAAAATAATAAATATAGAAACAAAAGGATAGAAAAATGAGACATATTTTCAAGATGAAAAGACCCTCTATTTTTCATCGCCTTTCTCTCTCGGTCTGGTACAAGTATTCAGTGAGTGAGAAAAACAAGGATAGAGTGACGATATACGCCTTTTGAGCAGCTTTCGGTTCCTAGGTCTCTAGCGCCTACGTGATACCGATGATACGTAGGTAATCAGCGTTATCATAGGATTGCCGCCATTATGATGTTTATTCTTATTCTAACACGGAAAAATAAAGATTTGATATCTTGAATAGCGGATAGGTATCACATTATGGGACGAAGAAGGTTTTTTCCTAGTCTGAGATCTAATGAACAATTTCCCAATATACTTATAAAATATCGTCTTTGCATAGGTATTTCCAATTTGGGTAAAATTCTAAGTTGGCTACGCCATTTTTCTCTGTCACAGTAGGTACCTGCCTAGGCAATATTTAAAAAGATGGCAAATGCGAGATATTTACTCGTTCGATTGAACCTTTAGCATATTTTTATAAACTAAGTTATAGGGATAATTTTGATCGTTTCAAATGAAACTGGAATTTATTAGAATCTCTCAAGTTCACGTAACATCAGGAACTTCCAGGATAAAACTGTATAGGTACTATGCAAAAGTTAATATAAAGCACAATGATGACAAATACACGTTTATGGCCCATAAAATGCCTAGATTTGAAGTTGACGAACAGAGGGTCGTTTAAACCAAAATGGATGTTATCTTCTGAAAAATAACAAAAATATGCATATCACTATCATTTATTATCAAGGTTGTTAATAAACACGCAGCCTTTTTTGTAAATGCACAAATATCCCTATTTTTCCGTTTTTTATTGAGGGGAATAGAGATTTAAGGAGGGAAAATTCAAATAGCGCACCTAGCGGAGGCATACAAAACGTGCGCTTGTTAATCTCGAACCAAAATCAAAACGTGGTCACTGACTCTCGAACCCCTCATTGGGTATAAAATGATAATTAATTCTAACTAAACCGCAACCGATATTCTAACAAAGAGAGTCTTAAAAAATTAAGAAAGAATTGACTAATCGCTTTTTGTGGTCTTTTAGCATAAAAACAGCCGACTGTCAAAAGCCGGCTGTTCGGCTGTAAACGGTTGCGGTCGGTTTGAGCGGCGCCATCTTAATTTTTGAACAAAGCTGGTGAGGAGCCGGTCAGTAGTGCGTCGACTTTTCATCGTTTCAAGTGGCATCAGTCCTTAGAAAAACATAAACAAAATGAGTGCAAAAGAAAATAACGAAGTCGCAGTTGAGAAACTGGAAAACGACAAAAACGCAGACGGCAAATGTGAAATAAAAGGCACCAAACGAGCGGCAGAGGTGAGTTTATAACTTTGGGATTTGTCATATTTTTAAAAGTATTCCATATTTTGCTTTCTTGTTTGCGTGAAGCGCGTTATGTGACAATGCTGATTGATCAACTTAATTATATTTCATATGAATTTGTCATTCTCTTTTTTAGGATCAGAGAATGTTCTAGTTTTTCAGACAAGTGCTTGTTACCATGTGAGATATTTTTGCTTTTCACGCCGGTTGCCTTTTAACTTTGATGACAAGATGTTGTTCGCCATTACGGCAAGCGTTTTAATGGTTTAACGCATTGAGTTTCGTGAAATGCCAGTTGCAAATTCTGGTTTTCACGTTTGTAAACAACCTCGTGTATTTATTTTCCATTTCCAAGCCTCATTTCATCCCGCCATATATCAAAGACGCCCGCTTGGAGGCTAGCATAGCTGCTAAATTCAACATGGCGAAATCAATATCCCGATACGACGCGCCTCGCGCGAGGCTAGGAGGCTTTTTTATTTCATTTTCTTGTCAATTATTATGTTTATAAATGCAGTTCTGAGTTGCATTCTTCTTTTTACGCAAATGTGCATCATAATAATCAGGATATTGAAGAAATTATTCGTCTTTGCAAAATTATATTGTTATATTAAGTTTTTTTATGATCGTACTCTCGCCGATTCCAAGAGAGAGACGCTATCTCAACTTCTGGATTGGCTTTATTTTGATTCAGCAAATGTTCATTCCCAATAATTATTGTTGTTGCAAATACAACGTTTCATCACGCAAAGATGCAACATCGCGTAATCTTTAGAATATTAAGTTCATTCACTTCTCGATAATGTTTCCAAATGTTATTGTTATCTTAATAATTTCAGATGATAAATTTACCGAATCGTTATTTCAAATCTAAGTTATTGAACCGTACAATATTATTTCCCGCATATCATGTACATTTGTATTAAATGTTTTAACATGCATTTTGCGTTTACCGAGTGCTGATATTTTCTAATAAATCAGTATTTGCCGTTAAAATTATGTCACCTTTGTTGATGCATACAACTTTCATCTGCATTTCTCATATATGATACTACATAATTTCTAGAATATTGTGAAATGGCGGTAAAATTTACGGCCGGCTTCCCCAGCAACGCAGGTAGGATATCGAGCAGGAGCAGATGTCTTCCTTGCCCTTGTAGGGTTGTTGGCGCGTTTTTGAATTAGGGTCATTATTGTACCATCAGCCTCTAGTCCAATGGTAAACCCTCCGGTAAACCAGGGGCGTACGGTTTTCGTAGGTCAGTCCAATTAGTAACCGACGGAGGATAAATTCCCCCAGTTGCGTGCTTGCGTGCTTCACATTTTCTTTAGTGCTTCCTTAGTATTTCACTTTATATTTTCTGGCATATATGCGACCGTTTGCAAGGAAATAAATGAAATAACGACATACTGCTTATCCTTTCATTTTTTATTTAGGATTAATGAGTGTCAATTTGTTAAAGGTAGTCTAAATTAACATGCGGGGAAATTTTGTCATTTGCACGAGGCGGCACATTTACGCGGGTTCTCATTTGATTGCAAGTAAAGGAACTCTCATTATAATTCTTATAATGGCTGACATTATTAAAATATGATCTTACCACAGTGTTGCACTCTACGCAGTAATATTTGTCCACTCTGTATCTTTACCAATATATCACTGCGAATTCCAAAAACGCGATATCGCCGAGAGATATAGATTCTTGTTCTCTCAATCCTTTGGAAAGTCTTGAATCTGGGATATTAAGATTCCCTCACTGTTCCATGGACAACTAGAAGCATCTGTCAAAAAAGCAATGTTATTTTTCAGTGAAATATACTTAATTTTCTCTTCAATCATAGGTACAACATTCTAAACTGAAAAATAGTACTAAATGTATGTTTCCATTTAGAAGGAACATCAACTGAGAATCCTGGAAATCTTATTAACTCATGGAAACCTACAATTTTGACAATTCAATGTTTCATATAATTACAGAATAGAGCCAATTCCAATTCAAATTATTTGGTATGTACACGAGAAAAAAGTATGCTCCTACCTGCCCTGTGCAACTCTTCATGGTATTTTTATATAAACACACTCATTTTACTATTGCCAATAGTTTCATGTATGTATGTCAATCTATAACTTCAGCAGATCTAATTGGTAAATGCGTACAGCTGGAAACAAAGAACAGGTTTATTAAATGAGTGCCTGAATTTAGGCTGTGTTAATTTTAACGCATATTAAATGAGATTTGAACAAACTATAGTCGCCGTGCGCTGCGCGAGTTTGCATCCCATCCCAAGATCATTTTTTCTTCTGACTATGGATGTTGTGATTGTCCATAGGTGTTAGCCGGTATCTAGCTATCAAACGCGGAGGTACCACCCAACGGATATCTAAGGCCGGGTCAGAATGTGTGCATACTACTGCATGCACACGTTTTCCTTAGCTAGAGTCCGTGTGGCGTGCCCCCCTTCACCTATAGCCTCACGGTACTCATGGGTGTTTAGGCATTAGGCCTTCCTGGTGGGTCAGTGTAAGAAAAAAATCTTCTAATACTCATGGTCTGTAATGAGAAAATGAGTCTGTAATGAGGATCAACGTGCACTTGACATGAGCAAATTGTTTGTCCACACATTAATTCGTATTTTTTGGCGCTAGTTTCTAGAAGTGTGAGTGTTTGCATATAATTATGGTGTATTTCAAGACATGATAATGTTGATGTTACACTGTCACAGTGGTTGGCATTGGTAGGCAAATGAGTCAAAGCATGCGCTAAAACTACGCAATTTTGACGATAAACAATGCAATGTAAACATATAGGCTTGGCTCCAGTCAGTTACTATGTCATCTGACTATAGCAATCTCTTCAGAATAAAATCATGTCAACTAATTGTATTTGTTCCAGGACAAAACGGAGGATGCGAAGAAAGCGAAAAAAGAAGAAAATGGTGCAAATTCAGAAGGTGAAGACCTAGATGAGGAAGAAGAGGTAGAAGAGGAGGAAGATACAGGGGAAGACGAAATTCCAGAAGGTGACGAGGACGAGATCGAAGGAGAAGGTATGTTGATATTGATTCTATATTTGATATTCATGTCGGTAATAACATTCACTGGATGTGTTTATTGGATAGATAATGTAAAACAAGTAAAATTACATAGACCTTTTCTTATTTCCATCAGACTGCAATGAGTTTTTAGATATTATCTGAAGCTCACATTAAAATGTGTAAAGCAGATATAAATAATCCATATTTATACACTGAGAACCAAACTTGGTCTGATGGATTGAGCCCAATGTGTACAAGAGAGAAGTGTGCATAGGTACATATGTTAGAAAGAGATACAAGCTGGCTGGATAGCAGAGCTCATCACTGCGTTGTCTAGCAACGCTGACGCGGCACTCTGCCGCATGGCCAATATGTTACACCAGTTCCTTGAATTAAGATGCATGTTGCAAATATGCGTTAGTTTATTCCCTGAGCCCAAAAAAATGGTTTTATTTTGAGTGTGCACATTTTTGAAGTGTGTCGAATCTGTGTAGGATGGAATCTGGATGGGTGATAACAGCGTTCCATTTTAGGTCGAAATTGAAAGGTCAGGATTACCAAAAATTCTGCAACATTGGTTCGCTTGGCAAGACCGCATCTCATACATTCCAAGCCAAGGTTTCCAACTCCATGATCATTGATGAACGATTTTGGTCAGTACCCATCTAGCGCTCATTGGGGAATGTGTGAATAATTCTAATCAAAGTGAAAACGAAATATTAAATTAAATGTTCTAACAGACCTCTTCCTACACTCTTCAGCCAGCTTCTATCTTTTTGTAACATGTATATATATATTATTCTAAAAAGATTTCCCCATAATAATTTTTCACAATTGCACAATGCTATTTATCTAGAATATGTCATCCAAAAAAAGACATATACATAACTGCCATGATTACCTGCAGCAGTAAATATCTTGACTAGATTGAAGTTGAATTTGTATAAAATTGGAGATAAATGAATATTTTTTGTTGCAGATGATGATGAGGATGTAGAAGGAGAAGAAGGGGTAGAGGAAGACGAGGATGACGCATAATGAAGTGACATAGTCAGCAGCCCTGTGAAATGACTATTCCAATGGACTATCTTAGTGCAAAAGCTCGAGCTACTTTGTGGCAATGAACTGTCGTTCTCGTCTCGTTGTTACTCGCCATTCTTTCAGTTGTTACGCAGTGGACATCATATCATATTCACAACTCCTCACCAAATGTCATCATCCTGTCATCTCCTCCAGATGTTGTTCGGAAACACCCCACAAACTATCTCGTGACTTTTGCCTGTTGCAGCCAAGTACTCTCAGTGACCGTGCGTAAAACAGTGACGGCGGTACCTGAATGCAACCTCTCTAACTTATTACGTATCCCCTTCGATTTGTAAAAAATGTCCAATTTGTGTAAAGATAGATATAAATTTAGTTTAAGTTTGTCACACAGAATAACAAACATCCATTTCTGTTTTTTCTATTGATTTTTTACGTTAAGTAATTGTACAAAATAAAAGTTTTTTAGAATGCAACATTAAAACCACAACCACTTCCAATTTGGAAGCTCTAAAAATATTTGTAAACCAAACAGTTGGTGAATCATTATTGTGTAATGAAAAGCCAATGCCAACAAGGAGTATAAGATGGGCAATAAAGCATTACTTGTAGGCTAAAAAAGAATACAGATAGATCTTACTCTAACCTGTTTTTAAATCCGTGTTTTATTTGTTTGTACGATATACCTTGTAATTATTTTCTATTATATTTTTTTAGGAAATTGCGACTATGAAGCTGGTGCTACTTTCAGCACTTTTTTTTCACTGCCAAATGTGTACTGTTAATTATATAGAAAACTCCCAAGGTTGAGCATCAAATACTCTATATTTTGAACAGTGTAGTATTTTTACATACAAAAATTTCAAACCCAATAACATTTTACTGATCTGTAACTGATCAGGTAAACATCTTTGCTAAAATGAATGTCATCAATGGAGCTGGTGGTTTGAATTGTGTGGAAATAATACACAGTGTGAGAACAACAATCTAATGTTACCTTGTGTTTCTTTTTCCCTGGTAAGAAGTTCAATTCATTAATCAATTACAACCTAGGTAGTGTAAATGGGTTGAACTTACAAGTGGGAAAGGGCAACATAAAGTTTGACTATAGATCAAATATGACAATTTTGGGATTGGTACCATGAATACTTGAATAAATTGCAAGATTTTTTGAATTTATTTAAAATATCGTTCTTAATCATTAAGAAGCGCTTGCCAAGAAAACAGGTATTTTCAAAATCGTCGAAATTTATCACGGAGTTTTGTATATGGTTGAATCATTTGGTGCCATTTTCATTCCAATGTAATTTTTTATGAATGTAAAAATTGGATGGTTCGCCTCGACTTAAATGTTTTTAGCACAGATGACATTAATGAAAATACTTAACAAAATGATCTTGTAGACAATTCTTGATTTTGTAATTGTGCTGTATGATTTTTTGAGTGATTATAAATGATGGATACAAATTGTTTCGTAATATTTGTGTTTTATTTCACGTTGACTTTGTGGTACAACACTACAAATAGTATTTCTCAGGTGTATATACATTTTTTTATTACAAAGGTTTAAATCTTTCAATATACGTGGCTGAAACATAGTTGTTTTACCGTGTGCATTCGATTAGATAAAGTGCCCTAAACCAGTACCTTTACAGTTCATTTATCGAAGAAAGAAGCTAAACATATTCACGCATACCTCTCGTGATCGGACTCCAAACGCCGGCGGCCAGCGAGGCTGCATACACTGCCGTATCGTCTTCCACTCCACCTTGTTTAGCACTGGTCCTATATATGTTTGACTAATTGTTATGCCCATTTCTTGCAATATATTAACGTGCTGATAACGCACCGAACACGCCGTGGTTATGCTTTAGTTCAATGCCTTTCTTGGATAAACATACTAGTCTCATTCTCTGATATTCAATTATTGCCAAGTATAAACAGTAGGTTATAGGCATCAACCACGCTGCAGTGGACCGCCCTTACGGGTTACGACACGAAGCTTGGTCGTCGGCTATCATAGTGGAAAAAGTTTTAGTCCAGTGCCGTGATTTTCATTCGCAAACAAGTCTTTATACCTATATATTTTTAAACCTAGCATCCTATATTTTTCATTATGAAATTAGTTCATTCAGAAGTATGGTTGGAATTCCATAGGAGAAACGAGTGTGCAACTGGACCCCTTTCAGTTGCAAGAATCTACTATCCACTATTCTCTTGAAATCCGTGTTCAAGTTTGAAAAACTAATGGACGGATAGTGTACGTTTGCAATTTTTGTCGCTAAGGAATTGAAAACTTTGTCTATGTATCTATCTTAACCCTGCAATACTAACCTTCAATTGAAGTAGCGTGAATACTAACCATTCGTATATTTTACGACTGTGAAAAGGGCAGCAAAAAAAAGGTTTTTCTAGAAGAATTTATGACAGACTTGTATTGCATATGTTTATTTGGAGTTTCAAAAGAGTGTTAAATGATAAATTATTTAGCGGCATCGCATGTTACACAACAACGGGCACGATGTTCTGCGCAAAATGCGCGTCGGCAATGGGTGCAGTATAGTGACGTCATTTGGCGTTTTTTTGAGGGGCAGATATAACAAGTGGTGCGTCTCAGAGCAGGAGGTTCTGTTTGATCGTTCGGAAGTGGCAATCCAATTATATCACTAATTAAGAGCTTGAGTGAGCGTTGTAAAGTTGGCACTCTTAAGCGTTGTTCTAACCATAGTCTTACCAATTCTTCATGCAGTTGATTCATAAAGGCCTTCCTAGTTATTGTCTGTTTACCCCGTTTTTGCAAATGATGGTTATATATTATCCATGCATTAATAGTTGCCATATTGAGCATTCCGAAGAACATGCACAAGGGCCATCTGCGAGTTTTTCTCGAACAACTTCTATTTCCACACATTTGATCAAATGCGTCTACCCCTCCTTTTGTCTGGTTGTAATGCAAGATAATCTCGGGTTTTTGGGTATTTTGACAAATTCTGGATCCCTCGTGCATGGTAGACAAGACTAAAACGCTTTTATTCTTTTTAGTTTTGTAGGATAATAAAGTCTTTTGCTGGTCAAAACAGAATAAAGAGCTTCCTACTTCTCTGTTTTGTAGGTTGAGCATTTCAGGAGGAATTTCGCGTTTGTTTTGTCTCAACGTTCCAAGAATCGTTAGGTTATATGGTGGTTTTAATAACTGGTCAGCCAGACTAACAGAAGTAAATTATCCATCGTGATGTTGCGGTTACTTCCATGTACATCTTTAGTCAATTTCTTGACGTAGTACTCTGCTAGTGGTACACCGTGAGTGCTGGTGTGTTTTCCAAGGTAAGGCTCTGCATTTAGCATATATTTGGTCCCCACATCACATATCATCACAATCTTTATTCCATATTTGGAAGGCTTGCTCGGAATGTACATTTTTAATGGACAGCGGCCTCTGAAGCCCAATAATTGCTCATCGATTGTGATGTAATTTCCCGGTTTATAGGAACTGTTGCATTTTGTAATAAATTGATCCCAAATCTCTCTAATAGGCGCGAACTTATCGACAGTTCTTCTTTCGTTACGTGTCGCTTTATCATCAAATCGCAGATTATTGATTAGAAATTCAAACCTCTCACAACTCATCGTTGCCCTATAATAAGAACCCGATTTCCTCGAGTCAAACATTTCCCTAGTGCTCAAGTGATTGTCTTTTTGGGCACCAGCAAATATAAGCAACCCAATGAGGGCATTCAATTCCTGTCTGGTCGTGGTAGAAACAGTAGATTTAGCCACCTTGTAGTTTCCACATCTTATTGCAATGTGAGCATTTGTGTGCTCCAAAATTTTTCCAAAAATAGATTCGTCGAATAAACAGTGGAATGCACCTGAAGGACTATCGGCATCGCGTGCCGCCCCAGATGGACCTTGCATCACGTGAACGATGTTTCGTTGGGGAACGCGCTTACGTATGTTGGACACTGTACACCATAGGTGACCGTTTTTGTCCCGCATCCCCTTGTTGAGAATAGTTTCATGTGGTTTATCTCCCAAGTTATGTAGATCTTCATTATCGCTAATATCCTGATTACTTCCCCCTCTTTCTGTTTGAGAGAAGTTTTCTATATTGGGTCTCTGTGTTTCAATCTCCTGGTCATTTGATACAGTTTGTTCATCTTCCAAATTTTGTGCAGCAAGCTGGTCTACTTGGCCATCTCCTTGATCACACTCTACTGGAAAATGTTCCTGTGTTTTCTTCGACCCTCTATTAATTCTTCTCCGCTTTCTATAGTTACATTCATCGGAGTCAGTGCTTTCTCTATCAGATGTTTCGGGCTCATATTCTGATTCAGAAAGACTGAAATCTTCTTCCAAGTTATCCTCAGTTTCTGATCCGCTAGAAAGCCTCCAAAAATCTTCGAGTTCATCATCAGATTTTGGTTTTAGGTCTTCTAGTTCCTTCTGAGGTAAAGACCACTTCTTGGCCATGCTGTAGTCAACTGAATTCTAAAATAATTCAAAAAATCTTCGTATATGCCCTAAAAAAATTATAACGTAAATACTAACCTTTCGTAAAAAATACGACGAGGGTTCGATTACACACACGTGCGTTAGGTGAATTACTATGACACTAGTCTGTGCTGGTACAGTACATCAACTGAGGAAGCTACACGTGCGGTCAAAATCTTACGTTGGATACATGGTTGCCAATTCTCAAAAAAGAAAAATGCTTTCGTATATTTTACGAATGGTTAGTATTATAGGGTTAAATATATTCTTTATGTTGATTGACCTTTATGGACGCGCGGTTTCATAGACTGCTCGTACTTTGTAATTTTGCTGTTTGTCCACTCCCGCCCCTTAAAATGTTGAATTGTTGATTAGCGGATTATAGGAAAATTAATAAGCTTGATCAAAGACATATTTATACTAAGTGGCATGTAAAATGCAACACCCAGCATTATTTATTGAATTTTGATAAAAACTTGTAAACATATTTGCTATCCTGGAAGTATACGCTGATAAAACGTTGAAGGCATTCGGTAAAGGCTTTTTTATCATATCAGGATCCGAACCATATGAACAAGTTTACGTAATATTCAGTGATTTTTCTATGTTGATTACATTTGTTTCATTGCATTATCATGTCTAGAGTTCGCAGACGTGCTGATTTTACTCAACTCGGCGAGTTCGAGGTACTGGACGTCAATGACAGACTACAGAGGGACAGGATCGTTATTTGAGGCAACTAGCACTTACGAGATCGATTTTCCACAACAAGGGCAGTTGCGAAATAGTCGTTTAATGCTGTCGGAAGAACAATAATAATGAGGACAGTTTATCGCCGAATAAGGTCGTTCGGACTGTTTTCATACCGTCCCCATCTTGTACTACCTCTGACTCCACAGCATAGTCGGCAACGATTGGTGTGGAGTAGGGAGAGACTTGGATGGAATATGGAATGGAACTCAGTCATGTTAAGAGATGAGTCCAGATTCTGTTTGGGCACACAATGATAGCCGTACAAGTGTAAGGAGGAGACGTGGTGAAAATATTCCATCGAACGGCATATTCATCGCACTGTGGGTGTTATGGTATGGGGTGCCATTGCTTACGGCAGCAGGTCACGATTAGTGTTCATTCAAGGTAGCATGACTGCCCAGCGCTATATCCACGAAGTTTTACCACATCTGTTTCTCTTTTTGGAAACATTTCAAGATCCACTTTTTCAGCAGGACTATGCACGACCTCATGTCGCATGTATTAGTTTAGACTTTTTGAAAGCGTCCGGATTAAATCTGCTTCAGCGGCCCCCATCGAACATATATGGGACATGAAGCAGGTTGCAAAATTCACCGCACCCTCCACAAACATTGGAGGCTCTACAAAACCAAATTCAGATGGCCTAGGATACAATAGACCTAGAAGACATCAATTACCTAATCCAATCAATTCCGCGACGACTTGACGGATTTGTAGCGAACAGAGGAACTTCAACTCGTTATTAACATTAAGGTGGGATATCTCGACTATTTTGCGAAATTTCGAGTTAAAATTTTAATCTCTTTCTATTCATATGTAGACCTAACATCACTTATAAAAGTATGCTCAAAATTACAGCACTCCTAGTCGGTGTTGCATTTTCTATGTCATTAGATAGTAGTAAAATTATGAAAACTATAGCGATCTATCAGACCACGCATCCATGGCATTGCGACAAAAAAGTCCACAGTTAAAGGTTGAAAATAAAATTAGGGTCCGTTTTTGACAGTTAATTTTCAACTCAGGGGTATGCAAGGTTTGTGCAAATTACATTTTTCGGTAATAATTTTCAATATTGCTGTTTTAATCAATAACAAAATAAACATCCAGAAAGTTTGTTTTTGTATATTTTTCAATTTCCGCGTTATTTTTTGTTCTAATTAATAGCTATTTGAAAATGTTCAAAATACAATTTAATTTCTCTTTTATGTATAAGACTCATTCCTTCCTATGCATTGACGTATTATTTGTAAATCTATTTAGAATCTCAGGAAAATTTTAGGTGTGAGAACTGTACGCCTTAAAATTTTCGATTCTAAGTCTCTTTTAACCGAGTTCCAAAATCGCCAGAAACTAGAGATATATCGAAAAACTATATTTGATATTTTTTTAAAATCTCGACCTGTCCAAATAATTTTTTTTGACTATACACACATGTCAGAAACTCGTTAAAGTTTGGGGATGTTTTGGAATTTTTCGTTTTTTGCTCATAACTTCGCCGCATTCGTTTTATCCATGGCATATTGTAATTTGTGTATTTTAAAAAACTTTCAACAATATTTTCCGGGTTGTATGGATGGACCATCGACTAAACAACAGGCCGACAGAAAAGAGTTGCATGATTTTTCATAATGTACGTCAGAAGACATCGATTTAAAAATTTCGTCAATTACTCTGAACTTTTTTGCCAATTCGCGCGGGAATTAAACAACCCCGTTGCGGGATTGTAACACTAAATACACTGTTTTGAATCCTAGAGCCGGTGCTTGCCCCCCTTTAGTTTTGATCTCTTATAGCCTTGTAGGACTTTCATTTACCTAATGATCAATAGGATGCTTGAAGTAAACGAAACACCTCCCGTAAATATTAATAACTAGATTTCCTCGGTTTTATAGGCGGAACGTATCGGTGGTGCTACTAATAAAATAACCAAATGTTCCAAGCATGCCAATTGGCTGTCAAATTGCTAATGCCGTTGAACAGGGGAGGATCTAGAAAATATTTGATGGCGGTCCATATGATGAATTTATAATTGCCCGCTCAAAAAAGTGCTGCGAGCTCAGGATTCGTTTCAGGGATTTGTACGTCTCGGTTACAAAGCACACCTCACAAAACATATTAAAAATGGGTCCCAGTCGATTTATCTAAAAATTGAGTATATTTCTCGCTTTTCTGAACAAAAGTTCTCATGGGACCAAAGCAATCCTATGATTAGTTTATGAGAAATAGGGGATGCAGTTGCCCGATTTAAAAAAATTGGTGAATGTGCCGATTGTAGGCCCCAGACCAAATACTCGGAAACCGATGGAAGTGTTTCATTTGAAAACCTTTTAGGGAGACCAATTTATATATAATAATTTATAAATTATATATTACCACGAAGCCGTTTATAACAAATGGAACAACATGAAAATATATTAAAATAAAATATATATATATATATATAACTAAGTGCATCGTGATTGTTTTGTTGGCATTTGTGATACTAAAGAAAGCCGTAAAAAATCATTTAGTCTTTTCCGACCCCTTCTGGACAGAAAATTCAATTTTCCCCTGTACTTACATGTACCGCTCTCAAGTTACGGCATAGTGATAGAAGTGATTTTTTCATGTAGTACCATCGTTCTGAGTAGGTTTCCTGCTGTATCACATGACCCCCCATTTTTGCCTACAACTCCCAGACTATAATGCACGCTTCTCGCGCTTCTTTCTCTTACACATTACCTCATCAGTGATATTTGGACTTGTCTGTATACTCAGCATGAGCGCGAGAGAGATGCTGCATGGGGGAGGGCGCCAGCTAAATCTCTCTCACACTCAGGCAGAATATACAGGGAAAACCAAATTTGTCTGACGGCTCGAGTTCAATGTGTAGAAGAGAGAAGTGCGAGAAGTGTGTATCAACCCAAGAAAAAAGGGATAGAGCCGGCTGAAGAGCGAAGGTCATCGCCATATTTTCTAGCAACGTTGACGCATAAGGTCGCGTTGCTAATATGTTGATCCAAAAAAATGTTCGCATAGGCCTTTAATAGGTGTTAGGTTACTGCCAAATCCAAGGAGGGCTGCTCGAACATTTAATTTAATATTTTGTTTTAATTTTGATTAGAATTATTCCAATTTTGATGCGACTTAGTGTTTCTAATTTATCTTAGAATTATCTTTGATTTCCACCAATTGTGATAAAATCAACACATCCTGAGTTATTGTTACATTTTGCGACGGCGAGTGGTCGGAAGATGTAACAAATAACATTGCATGCTATACAAATTATTACTGCCTGAGTGTACTATATAGCGCTAGATGGGTACTAACCAAAATCGCTCATCTATGATCATGGAGGTGGAAATTTGTGGCGAACCTGACCTTTCATTTCGACCTAAAATAGGGCGCCGTTAGGACCGATCCGGAATCGATCTTAAACAGATTCGACACAATTCACAATTCAAAAATGTGTTCGCTCAAAATTAAACCATTATTTGGGCGTAGAGAATTATCTAACGCATATTTTCAATATGCATCTTAATTAAAGGAACTGGTGCAACATATTGGCTACGCGGCAGGTTGCCGCATCACCGTTGCAAGGCAATGCGGTGATGAGCTTCGCTATTCAGGCGGCTTCTATCTTTTTCTGACATATATGTGTCTATATACACTTCTCTCTCGTACACGTTGAACTCGCGTCCGTCGGCCAAATTTGGTTTTAGTGTACACATTAAAAAAAGGTTTACAATAACAAAAGCTTAGTTATTTTGTTAATGGATGATTGAAGAATATTTATGAACATTGAAAACAATAAAATTTCCGTTTTTAATATCATGTTTCAGGGTCGAAAATGGCATATTTTGCACTTTCTCAAATATTGGATCGCTTATATCTCGAAAATTATCAACTTTAGAATAGGATTCTAAAGTACCGTTTTTGTAAAAAATGGCATAAGAAACTTAAAAATACTTTGATCTGAGCGAAAAAAACAATTCTTGGAATTATTCATTCTAAAAATTGTTTAAACAATATTTGACGCAATTATGAGCCTGACAATATGTGGATTCTTTCAAGTGGGAATAAAATTATGCAAAAAATCTATAAATATTTTTTGAGCAGTTGCTGAGATACTACTTTGACTAAGAAGAACTCACCCTCTATTACCCAGCACAATATCCAGCATTAAATTGTTTATAACCGTGTTTCTCGTGGCTTGCGTTTTTTTTTCGGATACCCGATTTTTGCTAGTTTTATAGCGAAAACCGGATCGTATCTGAATAAATGAGGGCGTGATACGTGGATTTATTGTATGTGAATGATTTCCGCGTTGTGGGGTGTATTGAACGGAACAGGTAGGGATACCAAAAGACTTCCAGATGCATAATGGAGATATACAAAATAACGCCAAACTGTTGTAAAGATAGCAGGGTTTTTCGAACTTGGTACCAGGTTCATTCACTTGACATTTGTTATATCTTTTCGTTCTTGTACTTACTGAAGTTTTTTTAGAACAATTTTTCGTTATCAATTTGCCTATTATTTATATTTGCTGGTCTATGATATAAGGAAAACTTTTCCCAAAAAAACCCTCACGACGAGGACATCAACATTTTTGATCTATTTGTCTCTGCGTGTAGTGGCGGCTCTAGGATCTCTGGGGTCCAAAAGACAAAGTTTCTACAGTGCCCCCGCTGGTGGTACTAGGGCGGAGGGTCTGCTTACTGAAGCATCATGATTTTAGGAACATAAAAACAAAATTTATTCACTCTGGGGCCCCATCAACCAAGTTGCGGGTTCTCTTTAGGACCCAAGGTCAGATGCACAGTGAATAGTGTCTGTTATCTTAAGGCTGCTTCTGCTCGTGTGTGACTGATTTAGCAGGCTCCTATTATTGAATTTAACCCCATAAACAAAAAAATAACTACAACTGCAACTGATCTTTTTCAAATGCATTACATTTTTTTAAATAAAAATTTCAAGATGTGCTAGTATGTTCAAGTTTCATGAATTTTTCTGTTTTTGTATTACATATCACATAAACACAAACTTGAAAGGTGATGGTACAGTTAACATAACATTATAACATTTTCTAAATTTAATAATCAAGGATAAAATGAGCAAACACTTGGGTGTTTATAATGGAAGTGATGTTTGTAGGTACCTATAATAGTTGTAGTCACCGTTCTTGGCGGTTACGTCATCAATGCCATATGAAATGAGTAAACAGATCGATTCTTCAGCGCATCTACTACTTACATAAGTGGGTAAGAGGGGACCGCTGTTTTCATCCTCTTCTTGAAAATACTCTAATAAATTTAGCACGAGCTGTCGGCCTTCTCCATTGATCGTACTGCCGCGCATTGTACAATTTTATATTGAAGATTGATAACAGGACAACTCAGATTGTAGGCTGATGTCAGGTAAGTTGTAACTCTGACAAATATGATTGAAGGACACTCATACGTAACGACAAAGTTTTCGAGACGGAGACACACAACTAATGCATGTTTATGTATGAGAGAAATGAATGTAGGAAAGAAATTTCTATAGTTTTACTTTGAACCGCCAAAAAACGTGAAAAGAACTATACCTACCTACTCATCCATTTATTGAATGTCAACAATTAGGAACTGTAATGATTTAGAGAGGAACCTTATCCGCCATAATAACCATAAACTATGAATTTCATATTTCTAAATACGTAAATATATGTATCTACCTGTATCACTCCCGCCATATCCTGTAACATCAGCAAGTGGACAGCGCTTTTTCCTAGTCTGTTTCTGTCGATTTTTTGCTAATAGTGCATCCCCCATATAAGTGCGTGGTCCTTAGTGTTCTTGTGGCAGTACCAAAGTACCATCGCGTAGTACTTCCAAAATCACAAAAAGGATACAAAATCCAAAAGATAAACACGGACGGATTATACACGATGGTTACGAGCAGTGTTGCCAGATTCTGTCCCTCGGTAGATTTATGCGAAATGTTTCGGTAATTCCGGTAGACATGAAATCAAAAAGTAAAAACTTGCTGGTCATTGAAAATTGAAGAGGGCCGCACCTTGTTTGAGCTATTGAGCTCCACTCGTTTATGAAAACTGCGGAAGAGTGGAACGCGAGTTGCAGCAAATGCTGAAATCCAGCTGTTTAAAAATTTGAGGACCCCGCTGGACTGCACCAAATCAAAATTCTGGAGCGGGGAGGAATGCTGTATTCTTGTGTTTCGGTGAATTACATCATAAATATACTATTTAAGGATTTGAGCAATTATTCGGTAGATTGCGCATCAAAATCGGCAGAGTTATTACGTAAAAAAATCTATATAATATCAAAAAAAGAACCGATAAAATGTCAATGTCAATGTTGACCAAGTAGGCTAGTAGTACGCAAAAAGAAAAAGAAAAAAAGACGACAATATCACTTTTCAAGTTATAGTCTAATATTAGCAAATTTTCTTGAAATAATTGTTAAGTCTGGTTTTATTGATGCAAGTTTTTCAAGGAGATATTTAAAACATGGATGCATAACATGGGTCGGTACACACATTTGTGTGGGAGTGAGAAAACGTGTTTCTTGGAATTCAATCGAAAATGTTATCAGGAACCATAAAACTCTTCAAATAAGATTTTTAGGTATTTATGCGACCTACAGAATGAGACACACACGTAAAAAGATCCGACTAATAGTAAAAAAGTTATGACCGAAAACCGAAGGAAAATGCAGGTTTTGGCTAATACGACAATAATTTCACGCAGCTACTTGAAATTCTTTAAATCCGTAGACTTCACACTTCTGAATAAGCATAACAAAATTGTCGATTGGTTAAGTAGCTTTTGAGAATTTCCAATTGCTTATCCCAAAACACCAGTCTTCGTTCAAATGGCGTTTTATAACAAAATACACGATGTTACCTTGCCGTCATGAATCACAAACTATTCCAAAAGATAATTGTTATTTTTATGCGAAAAACGAAGGGTTACGCCTTTTTCTTCTAAACATATCAAACATACCGTATTTGTGAATAATTGAACAGATTCGCTACGATATTCGAAAAACATACGTTATTATACGCATTTTAGAACAAAGCGGATGTGTCTATCACCTTTTATTGCGAAGAATACAATTTTTTTTCAAAATTTCTTCATATTCTTGTGTATACATATTTTTACACGGTCACAGTTAAAAGCCTTAAAGTTTATAAAAAAAATATTTCATACTGAAATGCGCTGAACTGTTAGCACGCAAACTGAAGACAATTATTATGTTTCATACTGTCTTAGACTAGTTAGTGTGTGTAGTATGTGCTAAAATGGCTGCATTATTGATGACTGCATACTTTGTCAAATAAGTAATCCAGCTTCTTTACGAAGAAATATAATTCTCTGGACGTTTTTTCTAAAATTATTAATATAGTATACGTCCGTTTTCGAAATCTCGTACGATTAAAATGACTCCAAGTTCGAAATGTTGGAAAATAAACTCGAGGAAAGTAGAGTAAGTAGACAAATATCAACCAATTGTAGCGAACTGAATGTCTGAAAAATTAGGCAAAATGCTCGATATATTAGTCCCTAATACGTTATTTAAAGTTTCAGCATTGTATCTTGTACAGTTTTGAAGAGTATTGTAATTGTTTATAACAGATTTGATATGCCTCCAACGTTCGCTTGACATTTGTCAGTGTCAAGTATAGTGGTAAAAAGACTTCATACTAACATACGAACTAAGACAGTTTCAAACATAATTGTGTCTTCCGTTTGCGTGCTAACTTTATAAAGCATTTCAGTATGAAATATTTTTTTTATAAACTTTAACGCTCATCTGTGACCGTGTAAAAATTCAGCTCTAATTATGTACAAGAGTATGGAGAAATCTCGAAAAAAAATTGTTTTTTCGCAACAAAAGGTGATAGATACATCCGCTTTGTTTTAAAATGTGTACAATAATGTATATGTATTTCTAATATCGTAGCGAATCTGTTCAATTACTCACAAATACGAAATGTTTAATTTTGTTTAGAAGAAAAAAAAAAACGCAACCCCTCGTTTTTCGCATAAAAGTAACAATTATCCTTCGGAGTGGTTTGTGATTCATGTCGGCAAGGTAAACTCGCGAATTTTGCTATTAAATGCCCTTTGAATGAACCCTGTATATTGCTCAATAAATTAGTAGTGATGGCCGGAAAACAGGTGTTTTGGGATAACCAATTAGAAACTCTCAAAAAGTACTTGACCAATTGACTCTATTTTTGTTGTGGTTATTTAGAAGTATGAAGCCTACGGATTTGAAGAATTTCAAATAGCTGCGTGAAATTATCGTCATCTTAGTCACAAGTGCCAACACTTTGCCTCGGTTTTCTGCTATAACTTTTTTACTGTTAGTCGGATCTTTTTACCTGTAGTCTCATTCTGTAGGTCTGATAACTAAAAATCGTATTTGAAGAGTTTTTTGGTTCCTGACAAAACTTTCAGTTGAATCTCAAAAGACACGTTTTCTCATTCTTTGTTGTCGAATAAAAAGTTTTCCCACAAAAATTGGTGTACCCATTTTATGCGTCCATGTTTTAAAAACCCCCTTGAACAATTTGCATCAACAAAACCAGACTTTACAATTATTTCGCAAACCAAGGGTATTTTCGTTTATTATGGATCTACCGAAAAATCGATAGACCTGGTAACACTGGTTCCGAGAAGTGGGGGAGGGGGTGACCAGCCGGGGAAACATCCGCAAAAAGTAGGCTTGCTAGCGCCCTCCTTTGGCCAGTGGCATCACCACGTCCTGAGCAAACTTTCTTCTCGAACTCACCGATGTTGCCAAGTTCACAGGCTTTTCAGATCGGCTAAGGCAATGTGTGGTGCAACGAGGATGAAAAAATATCGTCGTTGGTGTAGTGGATTTCTGTATGATATACATACTCTATCTACCGGGTGTAACAAAAGTAACAGAACAGCTCTGAGTTTTTCTACGTTGATGTGTTTTGAAAAAGGTCAAGGTCAGGTCTTTACTAACTTTGAACAAGCCGTTTAACGATAACTTCGAGGTTCACCTTCAAGGTGGTTTGAATGATTGTTTTTTAAATGCAATGCCTTCTATTTGACACTAGCAATTGAGAGAACGGGATTTGTATTAAAATCTAAGATCAAAGTTACCTTTAGAGGTCACATGTGGAGACTAAGGAAGTCCTAGAAGTTTAGCTGAATTGACAAAAAAAATCAAGGTCAGACCTTATTTAGTACTCTACAATACGGTTTTCAATATTGACCTTGATCCTCACCTTTTTTTCTACACCGAAACAGTTGCGCAGGCAGAAGCCTAAATGCTAGGGCACCACGGCTACTATGAGGATCCCAAAGAAACCTTGTTAATCCAACTTTCGCTCTGACCGAGGATAGTAGGATTGGAAAAATCCTCCTTTTGTAAATTGTTCCATAATCTCGACACCCTAGGGACAAAGGAGCGGTCGTATCGACCAGTTCTGGGTCTACGAAGTTCGACACGGTTTGGATGAGAGGCTGAAGTCAGGCAGGTCTGTCTTGCAGGCACATTGCGCGGCGGCATCATGGAGGAGAGCTCTGAGCAGCAAATCCCATTGGTGTAGCGGTAGAAGAAAGCTAGATCCCCAGCGAATAGCCTAGCACTATTGACGAGATGTGTACGTGCCAGATCAAGCCCTCAGTGATCTGGACTCAGACCAGCCGAAATGAACGGCTCTTTGGCAGAACTCAATCCATCAAAAACGCTATAACATAATAGTACATGGGAACGTAAGAATTGGGTTCCCAGTTGAAGAAGTTAACCTTGAAAACCCAAAGTCACCACTGAAATCCTTATTTTAAATTACTGTTAACCTGTCAATGTAGACTTTTTATCAATAATTCTGCTACACTAAACTGAATTTACTTTTGCCTCACACATTTGACGTAGAATTTTCCGTTCTTTCGAATGCTGATGCTTTCAAAAAGAGGACTTTCAATTTTGAAAACATCGACCTTGAAATAACCTTGAAGCCGAGGTTCAAGGTCAGGTCAAAACTCGCAATTAAACTACCTATACCTGATCTCGACCTTTTTCAAAAACGTCTTACCTGAAGAAATACAGACCCATTCCACGTGCAATTAGATCAAATGCTATTTGAAATAAAAGAAGAACTGATCTTAAAAATCTTTATTGCAAATTTGTTCTATGAAAAAACATAGTACATACATTTATTTGTTGATCACAGAATCTTTTATTTGTAAAACATTTTGCATAAAAAATAACAATAGAAATATTTATAACAGTAAGGTATAAAAATGCTTACAATTTTATTAACAACATGTAAAAAATGAGTGAGAGTAAAATATTCTAAACATCATGATTCTTGGTTTAGCTAAAAGGAACTACCATGAGTACTACTGATAGTCCTGTTGACTCCCCAATCAATAAGTCTAGTTCTAGTCCTTCAATTTATGTATATGTTTCACATACACTACACGTTTTTCTCTGATACAGAGCACACATATTACTGTATTTATGTATTTGACTTGAATTTGTAGAGTATTCGGAATTGATGACTGTTTTTTACTAATATGACGTGGGTCTGTTAACGGTTCTTTTCATGTTTTTAGTGGTTATGTTATACGAAATAAGTAAGCAGATTGACTACCTGTACCATGTGCGGAGCCTGCGCTAAGAGAAAATGGAAATTCCACACTGCTTAAGCAATAACGCAGCTGCTACTTGCTTTTATATATGTACACAACAAATAAATTGAGATATAGGGAGCCGTTGCTTTCATTCACTTCCTGAAAATAAATCTATTTCAATAAAGATTGTCGACATTATAGTTGTATCTTGAGGATTGCTATGTTTTATATCGAAGATGAACAAAAGTAAACTCAGATCGCAAGCCCAGGACAAGCAAGTTATCATACTGACAGTGACAACAGTCGCAACGAAACTACATAAAACTATATATCGTACGAAACTCCGGAGGGTGATTCGATAGGTCGTTTCAAGAAAAAAGTTACTATAAACCACGAAGACAAGAGATAGGAGGTTAAGATACGTAAGGGATACATGTATTTGTATGAAGCCAATCCTGTTACCAAGGATGGTGTGGCTCTCGGAAATGCCGTCATAACCTTCCGCAATCTTTGAGTGCATTTCACTCACAGTTTGGAATGCTTTGCAGGTTTATTAATTTGTGGTTTATTAATATTATCCAATATTTCTACTTGCAGCTCGTTCGAACTGTCAAAATTTAAGTCGTTTGCAGTCATGATGACTGCAACAGAGAGAGATATTCCATATGCGTAGAATCTGAAATTCATTTACTGTGCAGCGATATGCCTTATGCGCAGCACCAGAAGTCCATTTGCTGCGCAGTGTACCAACTCACTTCATCGTCGACATTTTTTGCTTCACCACCACTCTATGAGTTTAAGCTCATATCTCTGGTCTTCATGCTGTGAACATATGTATATGTCCTGAGTTGCTTCGTTTTTGAGATGTGGGGCGTTGAAGTTTTGATGACTTTTTTTATGCTTTATATTTTTGTTGATTATGCAACTGAAACTAATGCATTTTTGTCTGTCGTGTTTTCTTCATATCTAGCTTCGTTATCGAAAAAAAAAATCAATAACTCATTCTAAAAACTTTCCATTGAGACCATACTTGAATATTTATTTTCAAACAGGATATGAAGATAAAACGACTGACCAAAAAGTTGTATTAGTAGATGCTTAATCTAAAAAAATATAAAAACTACAAAGGGCATTGGTGTACGTTTTCTCTCAATAATATGCCTGTGGTGCCCACTGAGGCGCCACCAGACCTGATAATTTCATTCTAGTTTTAGCACTAAATACGGGCCATATTACTTCAAGTAATTGCATCAATCTTCAACCGAATCGGTTGCTCAGTTATGTAAATACCGTTCATTTTTTTCAAACTTCAATATCTTGTATTCCAGAATCGAAGCAACTCCGGACATATGCATAAGAACTTTTTCTAAAACGACCTAACTAATCACCGTCTCAAGTTTTCTTCAGTATTTAGGAAACACACTGTATATGGAGAACATTATACCAGGTTTGTTCGGAAAATACGTATGAAAAATTCGTCGTGTCAAGGGGTGGCCCGACGGTCCCCTCTCTCTATGCAATCCCCTGTATGCTCAGTTCGAGCGGAAGCGCTCTGCGAATAAGTAGGATTTACGTGTGCTTGTTGAAAATAACCCTTTTTTTTTACCTGCCGTCGGCATGGACCACTCTGATCGAGGAACAGCGCATCCATATCAAGTGTATTGCACAGCTAGGCAAGGATGAAGACTTATAAACGATTCAAACTGTAATAGAGTTGAATCAGTAACAGTAAATGATTTTGTAAGGTAGTGCTATAATCGAACAGGTTTTCTACCAAAAATGTATAAAAAAAGTTGACGAATTTCACCATCAGTTAAATTTAGATATTTATTTATAAGTTACCCTAAAAGAGCATGTTTTGGCAATGGCTTACGGTATTTATTCTCCAAAGTTATATTTAACTTTTTCCCCCTTTATGCCTCTAACTTGCAAAACAATAAAAAACAGTTCGAGACAAATTAGACTTTTTGAAATATATGTAAGTAACGATTTATAGGACCCATGTATTTAAAAAAAAATCTGTCGGACCAGTAAAAACAACATGTTGTTGCTTAAGAAGCACAAAGTAATAGAAATCGCTATTATTTTAATCTCACTTTTCCTCAATCTTATTGCTATTGTTGTTTGATCAATATTTGATCGATCTTACGCCCTCAACATTGCTGATTCAGTCAGCTCTATATGCAACAGTTTACGTGGTATGTGTGCTACGTTGGAGATTGATATTGTTCGTTCCCCAGACTGATGTTTTCTAGCCTGTTCAAGCTCTCTTGCATGTTCTCTTGTTCTGAGGGGATGTTGATGTCGCGAAAGTCGATATCACTGCTAACCGAAGGTAGGTAAATTCTTCGGAATATCTCTCCGGAATCCATGTTGCAGATATCTTTTTCTGCTTGGTTCGCCTCCTAGAAATTTAAAACAATCATTATATAAAGCAGAAAATCATATTCTACTCTCTATCTCGTTGGAGGTCATTTTTTATAATTTCGGTAGACCGTAAATACGGGAGCTGAAGGTGACTTGGTGCTATTTCCGGTGCTCTGCCCGATTCTGTGAATAGTTCACACGCTGAATTTCGGGTTTGAAGGGTGGTGAGTTGGTTTTTATTACAAATCGGCCCCCTTGGTGTTTTTTTTGTCGGATCCTTTTCTCACCCTTTTGGGGATTTAACCGTGCAGATAATTACACTCAACCATCGAGCTGGTAAGTGACCATTTTTTCCAAGCAGCATGTTCATTGCCTCAACAAGATTTCTAATTCTGTAGAGGGGGACCGCCTACAGGGTTAGTCTAAGGCGAGTTTGAGTGGGACTCGCGTCAGGGAGGAGCAGTTCCCCCATTTTTGAAGAACCCTCATTGTTAGAGGTAATTATGATTTTTTCTTTAATTTGCTAGGCCTGTCTTAATCTCGTACAAACTGAAAAATTCGACCGCTTCGCTCAAAAATTAATTAAAACAATTTTGTTTTTGCCAGTTTATGCGTTCTTATGTAGCATTAGGGTTATACTTTAACCAGTTAATTACCCATTGGTTAGGTCAATATGGAATTCGTCAAAAATTATTAATTCACCAACCAATTTAGTGGTAAAAAGAGAGAAATGTTTTGAATTTCTCATTGGAAACATTTATATATTGTTTTGTATTTGTATTTTTATATGGCGGTAGCTTCTGATATTGGTTGTATACTAAGTGACATATAAATCCGAACACCCAGTTTAAATGGTTTTATTTTCATAAAATTTTGTATAAGTACTTAATGAAGCATAATAAGTAAATGATAAAAATTTCAAAATGATTGCACTGCTTTAAAGCCCTTTGACCTTTAATAATGTGTGGATGCACCCTGATGTGCTACGCATTCTCCAACGCGCCTAGGCATGCTTCTGATCAGGTGGTCAATGTCCTCCTGTGGTATCTCATTCCAGGCAACCACCAACTCCTCTCGAAGTGCTTCTAGAGTCTGAGGAGGACGTTGCAAATTGAGCAATCGCCTACCCATCATATCCCACACGTGCTCAATTGGGGATAAGTCGGGAGATCTTGGTGGCCATGGTAACAATGTGACATCATTATGTTGAAAGAAGTCTATTGTGACTCTTGCAACATGTGGTCGGGCATTATCTTGTTGGAAAGTTGGATCTGCCAGGGTGTCAAGATAGAGTAAGTTACCTCTGATGAAGATTAAAGATGACCTGGAACCATAAGCTATAGCACCCCAAACCATAACTCCAACAGTGTGATGAAAATGTCTTTCAACAAAAAACTGTGGTTCCTACTTTCACCACATCGCCTTCTAACCCTGGCACGACCATCGTGCATGCCTAATCAAAATCGAGACTCGTCACTAAAGACAATACTGTTCCATTCCTGATCCCAGAGTGACCGTTGTCTGCACCACTCAAGGCGATTACGTCGGTGTTCTCGAGTTAAAGGGAGGACCCAGTGTGGCCGGTATGAAAACAAGCCAAAACTTCTCATTCGTCGGTAAACACTTCGCATGCCAATAGCTCTTCCGTGTTCTGCAAACCATTCATTTGCAATGGACCTGGTATTGGAGAAACGGTCCCTTAAGGCCAATAATCTTAGGCGGCGATCTTCACGGTCTGTTGTTCTACGGCGGCGTCCAGTGCCCCTTGCTCTTTGCGTACGGCCTTCTCGAAGCCATGCCTGACAACACCTAACCACAGTGTCTACACGTCTTTGCACTCTAACTGCAATTGCCCGAAAAGAAAGTCCAGCTTCCCGAAGTCCCACTATACGGCCCCTATCAAACTCACTAACTTGACGAAATCGTACAGGTCTCCGTACTCTAGGCATCGTAACCGATCGTAAAGGATGTCAAGAACCAAAATCCGCCAACGTTGATTCTTTACTGCGGCTGAAATATTCATTTTTAGAGCGTTAGTGAATTAAAAAAAAGCAGTATAAAAACCGGAATGTCCAACTGATAAGTCTGAAAATTTTTTCACTTGTTATTTACAGTAAGATAAATACATTCACCAACTTTTATTAAAATAAAACCATTTAAACTGGGTGTTCGGATTTATATGTCACTTAGTATATATTTACTGAAATTTGAGTTAGCCATGCTCACGAGGTAAAATAATCATGTGGTTCTCAAGTAACATTTAATTGCTTTATTTAAAAGCTGAGAGAAGACATGAAATATTTTACTTCCGGATCCTTATGTTGTTTTTTTCATGTATCTGATTAATTTAATTTAGTTCAAGTTATATTAATTTAAAAATTTGGGTGTTGCTAGTGCAATCACGATTATCCTTGTATGTACACCGTGATTGAACAACAACTTTGTTTTGATTTTAAATTTTTTAATGAATGTAACCCAAGACTAAATGGTTCCATGCCAAAGTTTAATCTTTAATTCTTGGAAACAAATTAAAAGGAGGGTTTAGTAATCAATTCGTGATTTCGAGTTTTTTTCTTAACAAGTATTTTTTTCTACTTAGGGTTCTACCCTCCAGTTTTACCATCCAGTGCTACCTTTGGGTTCTAACCTCCGATTTTAGGGTAACATCTGGGACTTCCAACCCTCGGTTGCAGTTCGGGGATAGACAAAGTTTTTTTATTTTAGTTTTAGTTTGAAATTTTTGAGTCTATTGGTAACCATTTAGCTAGTCAGAAAACACAAAATAATTTTCTTAGCCTGTCCTCCAGGATCCCTCTCTTTAAATTCTTTTTATTTTTTTTTGTTCAATAAATGTCTGTGTACATTGTGAGTTTGTGTCTCCTCGGCTCCATTGTTATCTCATTTCCTAGTTTTCGAAACTAGGTGGCGCCCAAACCGCAACCGCGTTGCATCCAAAAACCAAGGTACAAAGAACCTCACCCTGAGGTCTCATGTCACCTACCGGAACAGTTTTCGGAGGGATAACACAATTTCAGAAGTACAGGTTCATAAAATCATCTGTTTGATATGTGAAGATACAGAAGGCAATACGTTGTGGAATGACTGTATTACTGACATATTTACCATCTCACATGTTGCCCGACTCTCAATAAATTACATTTAAAACTTTTTCACTTACATCTTGCAGCGGCTGCTGTACATTGGCTGCAGAAGGAATATTCCAGGACTGCTCCATTTGCTGTGGAACGTTTGCGATGTTTTGGGTCCACGTAACAGTCATGTTCACATTACCTGTGGTCACTGCCGCTTGGAACTATAACAAACGAGTAAAAGGTTATCTATCAAAAGAGAAATTTCACCAAGAGCTGTCTGTAAACGCAAATTGTAGAGACACATGTTTAGGGAGAAGGATAAAATATTTCTGAAGACCTGGAGTTTGTAGTTGAGCGTCAATACACAAGATAATTTCAACTTTATACATACAGATCATACAGCGCTTCTTAACGGTCCATACTTTTTGGAATTGCGAGCTATTTTTCTTTAGTGCTGTCAGAATGCCAAACTATTGCAATCCTGCTTAACATAAAGCGTACAATGCAGTCATTCTTGCCCGATTATGAGATATTCTAACCGGGTATGTGTCTACACATTGCAAGCAATATTTACAGATACAGTCGAGAGGTAGCTGATACATCCAAGTCAGCTCAGACATTTTTTCCCATTTAGATGCTCCATTGTAGTACATATCTCACATGGCTTCCGTTTTTTTTTCTTTGATCCGGCGCAGTTACATAAAGGGTGTTCATTTGAGAACGTCCCACCACGCATTTATCGAAAACCACTGATTAAAAGAAAAAACGCCGAGACACAGATTTGTCAAGGGGGACAACTTTTTAATCAAAAACTACTTCAGTCCCTTTCACCCTCTGCCCCCCAGGGTCATCCTCTTAAAAATTTTAATTGACGAGGGGTATCGAGTAATAGCTTGCTTCGAAGGTCTTTCGGAATCCTTTATTTTGACGTTTGATTTTTTAAAATCGGTCGGTTCGTTTTCAAGAAAATTAGAAAAATATTCAATTTGTTCAGATAGAAAACAAAAACAGACGAAAATATCACTTTTTATTTCAATAAGTGTTCAAAATGTTATTGGCCGAACAATGATATAGTCGATGTTCAAATTCCTGACTGACATTTTCAAAAACATGTGGGATATCATGACAGCTTTCTATGATGCGTTTAAGAAGTTCATCCAAACTTTCAGGTTGGGGAGTAAACACAATAGATTTCAAATCGCCCCATAGAAAAAAGTCTATTAGCGTCAAATCAGGAGATCTAGCGGGCCGTTCTATAGGCGCTCTTCGCCCTAACCATTTATTTGGAAACTAGTCGTCTAGCCAATGCCGAACCGGAAGAACATAGTGAAGAGGAGCGCCGTCTTGCTGGAAATATATTCCAGCCTCATCAAGTAAAGGGTTTCCGTCCTCTTCGATTTGGTTTTCAATGGTTTCAGTGATAAGCGGATTGATGGTATTTTCCAACATGTGTGTAAACCATTTTGGAAGTAAAATCTGAATCAATAAATTAATGTCCACTATCCCGAGATTGTCGCAAAGGTAACTGACAGCAAATTAAATTCTTTATTTCCCTTAGCAACAAATAACTAAACAGATATAACATTATATACAGTTCGCCCAGGATATATGTATTGATGCAAAGAATGCGGAAAAAAATTCGGGTTGTTATTAGGTTGTTGCCACTTCTAATATTCCGAATTGCTGTTTATGTTGCTAGTTTCCGGTTTAAACAGGCAACATTTTGAGCACTTATTGAAATAAAAAGTGATATTTTCGTGTTTTTGTTTTCTATCTGAACAAATTAAGATGTATATATAAAGATTTATCTAATTTTCTCGAAAACAAATTTTAAAAATCATACGTCAAAATAAAGGACCTTTGAAACAAGCTATTGCTCGATACCGGTTGCAATCAAAAAGTTTTAAGGAAATGACCCTGGGGGGCGAGGGTGAAAGGGAGTGGAGTATTTTTTGGTTAAAAAGTTGTCACCCTTGACAGATCTTTTGACGTGTGTAGGCGTTTTTTTCTTTTAATCAGTGGTTTTCGATAAATCCGTGGTGGATACAAATTTTGTTATTTATTCTTCTCAGGTGTCATGAGAAGGTGTTAATAACAAAAGAATACACAATGATTCAATTATTGTTTACTAAGAGTGGGTTTGAAAAGTGATGGCATTAGAAAAATTCCTAATGTTTCTCTTATCGTGGCTCACGTTGATCAGATTAAGGTGTTGGGATGCAGGATATACCGGGTGTTTCAAATTGAACCCTCATCATTGGGATCTCGGAAACGGCAAGAGATACGAGGTCGGTTAAATGAGGGCGAAATGGCGTATTTATGGAAAAAATAAGGTCAAAGAAATTGATAGTGAAATTCCAAAACCTATGCATTAATATATCCTCATATTTGAATTACGCACTTATACACATTTTATACTCGTACATCCCCTAAATGGCTAGACGTTAAACCATAACAAATAATATGCTATTAAAATGGTATATGCCAATAAAAATGTTTCTATTATTGTTTATATACGACTAAAGACATCCTCATGAAAAAAATAACGTGAAGGATTTTTGAGTGCCTTTCTTTTTGACTAGAATTGTGTATGCAACGGTACAAAAAGAGTCGACAAATTTTGGCAGTGCTAGCATGAACGCATCACGTGTTTTAGGGTGAAAAATATAGAAAAACAGATAAGTTGTTTTGCGGCGTACATTGAATAATAAACTATACATATTGCTTGTGTAATCTACAGTAAAAATATCTCAACTTTACAGTGCTATAAAATTGGACCGTTCGATCGTAATCTATAAGCATTGCATAAGTTATGCATTTTATAAACGAAATATATATATATATATATATATATATAATAGTTTTTAGATATACTTCTGTTTCATGCATGACAATAAAATCGAGATATGAACACCTACGTCAGGTTGAAGCGTGTTTCCTTGGTAGTTAGGCGACGTTTTTGCAAGCTGGTACGATTCTGGAGATGGTGTAGATCCTATAGGGAAGTTGTACGGGATGCTTGAAGCTACGGATGCCGGACTCAAGGCATCTCCATATGGACTACCAGGGAAGTTCATTGGCGCCGGCTCTGGAGTCAAGTTTGCTAAATCGATAAATTAAAAATGTTGAATTGGAACTTTATCAGTCAATATAATACGATGCATGACAATTCAGTTTTAGACATTTTTCAACAGAAGAGAATAGGTTACAGGCAAAATGTTATCATCATTATCACTTCACTCGGGTATGCGGAAACGGAACTTAATTGTCACATCTCGTAATAACGCATAGCAAGAATACATGGTGTCCTGAAAGTTGAGACTTTCCAGAGTCAACTACGTCTGCAATACCAAAGCTATGTTCAACGGCTTTTTCACAATATAAATAAACATAAATATGCAGCTCTTATCTACGGCGACATTCTGAGCACACTTGCGGTGTATCAATAGGATCTTCAAGATGCTCATATCTACGTTTTTGCTCTAGGAATGTGCCAATTCCGTTTTTTTCAGATGCGGTTTGTTTAGAAACTAGGTTAATCTAGACACCACGCGATGTCTGATTTAGATACTATCTCACAGTCAGATAGTCTTAGTACATCAAAATCATACGTTTTGACGTAGACAGGGACTGTGGGAGGGGAGGGAGGCACGGTCGTACTGGTTCATTTATTGCATTTTGGAACCTAATATCTCGGTTATCTTAAAGGTTTGGTATATATATATATATATATATATGTTACTAAAACGCATGCTTATTATTGCTTGCCTCTGTAAAGTCCCAACTTTGAGGACACTCTGTATATTTAGTTGGAACATCCCACAAAAAGCATATGCTCAAAACCTTGTACGGTAACATTTTCTTATTAAACAATCCTGAAAAAATCGACTGTCAGATGATTATATTTTTTTTTGTATCAGAGGCTTTGTAATACCCACACTCTACGATTTAGTAGTACAATACTGGTACAGAGTTTTATAAGGATGGAATACAACATAATATTAACGTTAAGGCTTAAGTGGGATTTGTTTCACTAATTCACGTTTTATTAGCGACAAGTGATAGTTGCAGATGGTTGGGAGAACATTTTTTGCCATTACTTATACAGGGTGGCCGATATGTGACTGCATATGCACTGATATGCACTGACTGGTTTGTATCTTGAATATTTGTGAAATGAAGTAAAATACGTCCATTTTTTTTTCATCTTTTTATTGAAACTTAGAACTGTATGAAAAATTTGGTTTGTTTTCATAAACCTCATTTTTCAAAAATACCCATAAAAAAGTCAGGAGCCGTTAAATCCGGTGACCTTGGTGACAAGTTGACATCACCAAATCGAGAAATTAAACGCCCCGGAAATATTGTTCGCAAAAGATTCACTGTTTCCCTAGCAGTGTGACAAGTTGTTTCGTCCTGCTGGAAACACATGTTTTACAGGTTAAATTGTTGGACTTGAGGAGCCAGAAAATTTTGCACCATATCTCGGTAGCGTTCGCCAGTGACAGTTAGACCTGCAGCGTCTTCAAAGAAGTAAGGTCCAATGATACCTTCATATCAAACTGTGACTCGACGAGGATGTAGTGGATGGATGACACGAGGGTTCTCAAATGCTCAGATATGACAATTGTGATTATTAACAAATTCGTTCATATCGAAGTGGGCGTCATCGCTCATTATCAGATGACGGTAAAAATCGTTATTTTGGGTATTAAGCAGCAATATTGCATGACTGTATGGTCGGCGACTTTCATGGTCACTAGGCTGTAATCCTTGGGTTAACTGAATTTTTTATGGGTGCAAATGCAAGACATTTTCAAAACAGTGCATAATGATGTGCGACGAATACACAGTTCTTGAGAACGATGTCTGGTAGACGTCTCAGGGCGCTCCACTACACTTTCACAAACTCTCTCGATATTTTGCGGAGTACGAACAGTTCGAACACGGCCCGACCTTGGCAAGTCTTTAACTTCACCCGTTTGTTCAAATTTCCGCATCAACTGACGAATGGTGTTGACACTGGGCACATTATTTCGACCGAAATCTTCTCGTAGCTTCCCAATCGTTGCAGCAATCGACTCAGCATTTTAAGTAAAACGTTTTAACAATACGGACGCGTTGTGAGATCGCGTAGCGCTCCATGATGAATTGGACATATTGCTTTAAACAACTACTACGGCGCCACCTACTGAAATTCGTATATCAAAAATGGCGCACAATTTAAATCAGTCAGTTATATATTGGCCACCCTGCAGCTACTCCAACAGCTGATAAATGTATAAAAATATGTTTTCCGGACCACTTACAATTGTCGCTAATAAAACATGTGGATTATTAAACCAAAACCTACATTGTGCTCAAAAAATAGATGTTTGTAAGTTTGAATGGGTGGTCAACATCCGGATACACAAAATCACTTCCATAATTCAACGCATATGTGACACTACATATACATATAACCCAGGAATAGATTACACATATATCTCATAATAAAAATTCTATTAACCAACGTGAAATTGACACCGAAAATTGTAAGAGTTTAAATTAACATACTCGTTTCATTATTCGTTTTCTTTAAACATCTACATACTGATCTAGGAGCACTTGTTCAATAGTATAATTTAGGATTCAAGTCCATTTTATATGAGATTAGATACTACATCCCAAGACAAACCCGACCCAAACAACCAAAATTTTGTAGTGTAATCTGAACAATTCTCTGAAAAAATCTTCACGATGATTTAGGAGGACGTGTACATTCTCATGTAATTGAGATTCGAACTTCCTTACAGGTATCGCTTAATCCTACACTATCTGAATCGGACCAGTTTTTCGTACCGAACCCAAATATAATATTGGATTTTCTAGTTACCCTTTTATAATAGAAAATTTGTCTATTTAAAAATGGTTTATCAGTTGCATACCTCTTGGTTCTGTTTTGACAAATTCTATTGGGAATCCACCAGGAAATTGATCTGAAAATCAAAACAATTGAATCTAATATACGAATATTTTTAACCTTACTCAAAAAAATACTATCAAATAACTGATGATTAGAAAGGGAGTATGAATGTTATCAGTAGAGTGCAAGTGTATAATTCAACATATGGGAAAGCATGTAAGATAAGGTGCAAAGCAGTTTAAGGATATTATTATTTGATGTTTACGTACCAGGATTCTTCGTCCACGCGACCCACTTGTTCAATACATGCTTTTTACAATGCTTTATGCAGCAAAACAATCATATAAGATACAAAATTTTCTCAGGGTATCAAAGACATGGGTACGTTGTGGTCGAAGCGCCTAATGCTTTTTTAAAAATAACAATTAGACTCTATCTAAAGGGTTAAAAGCTATTCAAGCAAGCAAACAAGCACACCCGCAAGAACACACTAAATACCTTTTAATGAATCCCAATGCCAGTCGGAAAGCTGAAATATATTTAAACCTTTCGAATTTTGTGTGAAAGATGGTCTTAATGAAAACACCTCTGAGTAAAAAAACTTGTATATTCCAGCAATATAAAAGCGGATACAAATGTAAAAGCATCACAAATCTAACAATCTATTAAATTTTAAACTCTCCATTATCAACACACTTTAAATATTCTAACAGGTGATACCAATATGCCAAGAAAAAACTAAGAAACAAAACGACAGTTACTAGGTATTTGACTAGACATTTTTCTCAACACTAGAAAACAATTCCCATTTAACAAATAGTTAACATACAAAAAAGGAACAAACAATATTCTAACAACCAACCGACTCACGAAACCAGGAAAAAAGAGCCATAGAGCCAAAGAACTCATTACAAGAGGTGAGATGATACAGATAAAATGTATACGTGTATATTCCCTTTTATATGTTTTTATGATCCCCTGCACGATCCTCCACCAAACAACAAATTACATTCATTCAACATGCAGTTGTTTTAAATCCATTGATTTGATTGACGATGCTAATAGTGACATTGACCATATTCTGCGAACAGAAGAGTTGAATTGAACGAATGACGGCTGTCTCATACGGCGTATAGTCTATTCAAATCTCATTTACTCCGTGTCAAAACAAACATGATCACTCGATCAGCAATTGATTTCATTTTGACGGGGCGTAAATGAGATTTGAATACACTATATAGCGAATATTGTCGCGGAATATTCGCCATTCAAATTTTGTTCTACTTAACGAATAACGATCCCTGATTTCTTGTAACACTACCCGTTATATGATTTCGAGTATTTCTTGTTATTCGATGAATACCGATATACAGTAGCGAACAAAAGTTTGGAAACAAATATTAAAATTATTATTATTAAAACAGTGAAGGAACAGATAATATAAAAAGTAAAGTCTACCTTTGACTCCGGTACTAATATCTGAATTTTCTGGAAATAAAAACACGCGTTTTTTTTCATTTCCACAGTTTTTGTAACAACAAAATTTGTCATTTGTAACCTCAAGACTGTAAGCAAACCATATGAGAAAAAAAATAGTTCTTAATAATAAAGAATAGAAAATTAGAGCACTTTTTAAAAATTACTAAGAATGTTTCTAAGCTTTTGTCCGCTACTGTATGTATGGCCGTCAGAATGTGCAAGATTTCTGTGTAAAATTTATGTGAGAAATTCTATATGAAAACTCAAATCTCACTTATGCGATATTTTGGATCAATAATATCTTTTTGTTCAAATTGAAATGCTATGAGCATCGCACAATCAGGTTTGAGAACATCAACAATAACCACCGAACATCGAAATAAGTGGGTATATACCACTGACGATATATACATATATCGTCGGTGGTATATACAATACAAATAAACATACTTCCAAATTCATGAATAATGTCAGTATTTAAAAGTAATTACCGTGAAAAATATAATAGACCGAAAACAAAACCTCAAATTATCTTTCAAAGTCATTTAAGTACGAAAATCTCGGATATATCTCAGATGTAATATTTTCAGAATAGCATTTACTAAAAACTCCATCCCACCACCATAAAAAATGAATTGAGAAAAGAAACTTACTATATTGTTCCAATTGACTTAGAAATTGGTCGGGGTTACCAATTTTTTTTCTCTTTCGCTTTTTATCACTTGGGTCTAAAACAGTGAAGAACAAATTAAAAAAAATAACATCAACCAACATATAATATTTCAACATAACTTCCATTGTGTGATAAAAAATCAAATGTGAATAAATACCCTACTTCACAATGAATAACTCAAATAGTTATTAGGGTCATAAGACAATTATGAATAATATAAGAACAAATAAAGTGGGGATAATATCTCGATAGATCCAACTTTTTATGGAAAGGTTTTATAGTAGCTATACGCCGGTATTCCATGCGTTCCAATTCACACATATATAAACTAAAACAATATTTGACCTATCCACGTTCCACGTCTAAGGATAGAAAAAGTACAGCTAGAACTAATATCAAAACATTCTGAATGTTTATCTAAGCCCATCTTTGACGATTACATTCAAGAAATGCTAGATTGTAACTCATTTTCTTATTCTACAATGAACCATAAACCTGAGTTTACTTGATGATGCATATTGATAGTCAAATTCAACATATATAAGGGGTGTCTCAACAAGAGCGCCGGATTTGAATTAGCCGCCATTGTTTTTGTACAAATGGTATGTTGTTTACTTGATGACAGCTGTCATGTCCAGACCACGCGATTCTATGTCATGGAGCAGTATTCAAACGAGCAACGTTTAATTATTGTGAAAACTACAAAAATGGAGAAAATTACGCGGAAACAGTTCGCAAATTACGTACAGTTTTGGGTTGCAATAATGCGCCAAATGAGTCGACAGTTCGCCGTTTAATTACAAAATTTGAGACAAAATTCACGATGCAGTGCGGAGAAGTGTGGCCGAGAATCCAGGCACTTCCATTCGGCATCGTGGCCAAGAATTGAACCTTACCAGACCGACTTTGCAACGAATTTTGACAAAAGATCTGTGCTTGCATGCGTACAAGGTTCAAGTGACGCAAGAAGTCAAGCCAACGGACCATGCGCAGCGCCGTGAAGTCGTTGATTGGGCGCTGGAGCACCACCAAATTGATGGGGATTTCTCGAAGAAAATCATTTTCTTTGATGAGGCACATTTTCAACTGCACGAGTACGTCAATGGTGTCCGGTATCGAAAAATGTTAACTGAGTTTTCGTAGCCCCAGTTGGATCGAATTGATGTGGAGGATATGTTATTCCAATAAGACGGTGCGACCTGCCACACAGCACGCGAAACAATGGTGTTACTGCGGACCAAGTTTCCAGACCGAGTCATCTCTCGGTTTGGCGATCAAAATTGGCCACCAAGATCGTGCGATCTATCGCCAGTGGGCTTCTCCCTCTGGGGCTATGTGAAGGACGATGTGTATGCTAACAAGCCACAAACAGTTGAATGTTTTAAAAAAGAGATACGGCGCGTTATCGACGAAATAGCGCCACAGTTGTGCGAAAAGGTTATCTAGAATTTTAAGAAAAGACTGACCATGTGGCAGAGGTTTCGTGGTGGCCATTTACCGGATGTCCTATTTCATGGTTAATCGCAACTATTCCTCTTCATGTTGAAATATAAATACTCGCTTAATTAAAGAAATTGTATTTTTCTTGAAAATCAAATCTGACGCTCTTATTGAGAAACCCTTTAGTTTTGAAAACGTATTCCAAATATAATGACAATCCAATAAAGCAAAAACGATTAAATCCATCATTTCCACAATGCAATATAAAAAATGCCGTCATGATTTATCAAGTTTGTTGAGCCATTCGTGCCAGAACTTCAGCCCCAGTCAATAGTTTTCCGCCCTCTACAGGCGCATAGTAACATGACATTTCATCAAATTCACTTTGAGTCGCGTGTGGTGCCATTGCTGTGTAGAGCGCGTAATGTTCAGCCTCGGTAAGGTCTAGATTTAAGTCTATGTCATCAATGGTTACATCTTTCGTAACTATTGTGTCAGCTGCAGCTAGTAAGTTCAGGGTGCTGCTAGGAGGACTATCTTTTAAAGGTATACGAATACTTGTAGCTGATGTGGTGGATATATTGCCTGAACTTTTAGCGAGCAAATTTTCTGGTTGTAAAGACTTGGTGCTGGAGAACAAATTGCTGTTAGTCGATCGAGCAACACTGGTCTCGCGTGACGGACCGGGTGTTTTACACTTACGACCGAACAGTTTAGACAGGAAGCCGCGTTTTTTAGGATTAGGTAGAGTAGATGTGGGCGTAGGCGGTAAGTTTTTATCAAGAGGAGATGCCTCCATTTGCCATTTTGGTCTTTGCATGTTGAATGACTGGCTTCTACCGACTGTAACATTACGCGGCACTTCAGGCTGTTTGTTAATGCTAGTTATTGATCCCCCAATGTACGTTTCTACCTTTTTCGTACGTTTTGGAGGCAATGGAGGAAGTTTCTCTGAGTCATTCTCTCTTTTATTATTCGTAACATTTGTTGTTATATCAATTACAGGACTAGGGAGGGGTGTAGCTATGTCTTCGTATCTAGAAGTATCAATCTCAACAGGATTCTTGAATGCTAGTTGCAGACTAGAATAAGTTTTCGCATCATCAAACGACTCATTGTGGGGCATGTCAGTTAGTACTGGTGGTTTTTCAATGTTTGTTAAGGTTTTGTTCAATAATCTCGCTTTAGCATCCGCGTATATATCGTCCAATTGTGCCACTTCATCGATAATCTCATTAAAAGTATTGTCCTCCACCTTTTTTTTCTTCACCTGCGAATAATCAGGTTCTTTATTTGTCTCTGTAATGTTATTGTTATTAGTTTCCATCTGAAGGGTTTGCTCTACTGGCTTGTCAGTTACTATGTTCAGATTCTTATCGATAGTTTCTTCGGGAAAAACCCCGAGCTGTCGCTTCATGAGCAACTTGGCATCATTGGCTAGAATGGCGTTGAAAAGATTGTAGTTAACCTTCTTCGGCGGTATGTTCCTCCTGTAAGACCAGTAAGGAGGCCTACCTGAGTCTAAGGGTAAAAATTCGAAGTCCACCGGTTCACTGCAGGCACCGTCTGAAGGCCTACGTAATTGAATGCATACCGGAACGGGTTCGGTGACGTCAAGGGTTTTGTACTTTGGCGGTGTAAACCAGATGGCGTACTGGTGGTGTACGTTATTCGGTTGGATGTCAGCGTAGGCTTCCCAGTCGCCGTGTTTCTCGAAGAAACGAACTTGGATGTCGTCTTTGGCCACCTGGAACAACGAAATCAGAGAATAACTCTGCTCAGCAAAAATTTGGAATAAGCTGTCGAGAAGTGTGCCCATCCCAACAACTATAATCGTTAATCAGTTTTATTTTTCGTGGTTGCGTTACCCGGAACAAGCTTCGGTCACGAAAAAGCACCAAGCGCCAGCAACCGGTGAATTTGGAAACGGACCTTTATCGGTACAAAATAATAACAAACAAGGAACTTATAAAGAGACAATAAAATATAAAAAAAGGCGACAAGTAGGTTGACTCCGTAGCTCCGTAATTCAAAAAGCAGTGTAGTAGTAGCCGGCTCTCGTAGTTATTATTACTATCATTATAGTAGTAGAAATGAGCATAAGCTCATGTACAACAGGAAAACCGTATACGGAGTAGCGTAAAATATCCATTTGCATATTAGCATATGCATTTGAATATTAAGCCTATTTTCGCATGGTTGTTGCATATTTCAAAATCTAGATACGTTGCATATTTTTGCTATAATTACAACTTTTTCGGCATGTTATCTCGATAATAAATTAAATTTTATGTTGCAGCTAGACAAGTTTATTGATCGTACGCTTTTTTGCCAGACGATAAGGTTTCCAATGAAAATTTTGGTAGACGAGACGTTCGACTGAATTCGCGCCTATGAGCGAATATTCTTCCAATGGAGGTCCAGCCTAAGCAGTCCAAATTACAGTTTTATTAATTGGTACCGGTAATATTTTGCCAGAGACAATAAAAGCTAGCATAGTACCCAGATTGAAATACTGTCCAGTCACCTCCGTAGATGTGGAGCGGTCTTTTTCGACCTATAATAATATTTTGAGTGATCGAAGGCACCGCACCGTCTTACCGCTGTACATTTGGAAGAATACCTTATTGTTTCTGTTTACAAAAATAACAAAATATTAAATAGTCGTCACTTACAGATCTCATAGATAAGTCATTCAAGTGATTAATTATTAATTATTTGTAAACCGATTTTAAAATAAAAAGTATAAAAATCATTGTTTTATCCTTATTTAATTTTGCATATTTGGATATTTTCATGCATATTTCAGGCTTTTTATGTTGCATATAATCTGGTCTCTAATCATAATATATGTACTTTGAAGCTATTGACTGACGTATCATTAACCACACTTTCTGGTAAAGTGTTCGAAGTGTTGAATATGCGATTGGGGAGGAACCACTGTTGGATTGTCGTTCTAAACGGCTCCTTTTAAAGTTTAAAGCTATGACTACGGAGATTGCTGCGCGACAGTTGGTATAGGTGCTTCAGGTTGGTGTCAATCCAGCCATGACGTAACCTAAAGGTATCTATGAGATCGCCTCGAATTCTCCGGTCGGATAATGTGGTCAAAAGGAATAAATCGAGGCGATCTTCATGGCTGCGTTTGCGAGCTCCAATTGGGATTCGAGTTGCCCCACGCTGTACTGTGTCAAGGGGATTTCTGTCTCGCACAGGGCCAGCAAATTCAAGAATTTGCCTAACAAATGTCTTGTATATCAATGCGCAAGTTTTCACGTCAGATCTTTTGAAGTTATTGACAACCTTTTTAGCGTCAGTTCTCAAATATTACCAAAACTTACTACAGGAGGATGAAACGTCCTGCAATTGAATCAACTCTTCATTTTAGCGACTGGATGCTGGATAGCGACATTTTTACTTTCTATCTAGCTTGGCCCTGCTGGTGGTGCAACGTTAAAAAATGGCGTCACGTAGCGCCGTCATCATTTCGTAAATGATTATGTTCAGCACAAAATAGACCCTGTCGAAATAAGACTGCACGATAGGTGTTATATCTTGGATAGAGGCTAGCTGCTATGCTTTTGTTTGTTGTCCCAGAGACCAAGCCTAGATCATTATGACGAGTTGCCAAAAAGCAGTAACGTCGCCTCTCCCCGATACCTGATTGCAAGACACGGCACGCGGTCTTCCGGCATTTGGGCTTCTGCCTGCGCGGCTGCTTCGATATATAAAAAAAAGTGCCAGTCATGCCAGTACATTTATGAAGACCGGCACGCTCGCCGGTGAACGGAAAAAGCAGACATAGAGACGTGTAACGAAAAGAATTCCTTTTTCGTTCTAAGTTATGAGCGTATAAATATAACATAAAAAAATTGAAATATACTCTCCCTCACCCCTTACAACCCCCAGTTTGTAACCCCCACAATTGTTTTTCTAAAAATAATCGCGAGGCTCTGATAATAAAAAAAAAATAAGAATTTTAAGCAATTTCTATTTTGGTTTTGTTCTCCGCTGATTACCAAGAACTACAAAGCTCCACGCCCTTGTTATAGTAGTAACTTTGCGTAAAAATTTCATAACACTTCAAGTAGTACTTTCCAAATTATAGACCGACAGACAGACCAACGAAAATGAGTTACATTGTTTTTCGTCATGTAACATCCAAACAACATATCTTATTTTCGAAATTTTTCGCGATTACAATACTTCCCCGCCAGTAGTCATGGGAAGGGTAAAACAGTGTAAACTGAACCTTTTTTCTCGTAGCTTCTATTGTGAACACTTTTTGAATAATACTAACCTTTTCACACAACAAGATCATATGCTTTCTACCACCGTCCACGTAAGTGTTGCAATTTGACAGTTTGGTGATGCAGAGGTCTGACATGGCTTTCTTGTCGTAGATGGGCTCGCTGACGACAGGCTTCAAAGCCGTATTGAACTTGTTGTTCTCGTCCGGCAAGAACACTTGAAAACATAGCCTTACACTGTTCAAGTCTATGGAAGTCGGTTGATCCTTATGGCTGTACCCAGCTGCAGAAAAATGGAATATTTTATAAGTTTTCAAAAAAGCATAATTTATTCCACTATGTTAAATAGAATAATCGTTCGAGCTCATACGAGGTCTGTAAATAAGGTGATGGGACTGACAACGTAGCGTTCAATGTGGCAACACTGGAGGCGCTGGGCTTGGAGCCGAGACAGGGGAACATCTGATTCGCCTTCATTACAATTTTGAACTCGCTCGAGTCATTTGGTTGCCGGTAGTGATTTTTTTGTGAAACAGTTTTTTCTATTGTGTTCTAAAATGGATGACAATTTCGGGCAACGGTGTGCTATCAGGTTTTGCTTCAGACATGGGCACAGTGCAACGGAAACTCTTGCTAAGCTTCAGCAGGCCTACGGATATAGTGTGTTGTCAAGATGCCCAGGTTTTTTGGTGGTTTAAGGCATTTTCGGAAGGGAGAGAGACTATTGAAGATAACCACGAAGCGTAAAAAATACATCGACAGAATCCGGGAACTTGCGCGTTCAGATCGTCGGTTGACAGTCAGAATGATCGGCGAAGAGTTAAATTTGACTCACATCAGGGTTCATCAGACCAAGAACAACTGGGTGTTACATCTCGATAATGCTCCTTGTCACACAGCAATGCCAATAAACGAGTTTTTGGCCAGTAAAAACATTCCTGTGGCTCCTAAGCCTCCTTATTCGCCTGACTTGAGTCCTTGTACTTTCTTCTCTTCACGAACTCATTTTGGGAAAACATTAAAACGGCTGAAGGATATTCCAGTACCGGAGTTCCATGAGGAGTCGAAGAACCGTCTCCAACACTGTGTCGCTTCAGAAGTAAGTGATTTTGAGGGTGACAATATAAAATTGTAATTATATTTGAATGAAAAAATCGTCTCATCACTTAATTTACAGACCTCGTATAATGTTTTTCGAGATGGGAGAATCAACCGAAATATTTAGTGTGTTCTGGAGGTAAAAAGGGTGTTTTTTTGTAATGTTGGAACATGGAATTCATTCTCACGCTTTCCTTCACAGATGAAATTAAAACCGATTTGTTTCTAGTTGTTCAGTCACCAACAGCAAGTTTGAAAGACTAATGATTGTAAAAAATCTTTTTATTTTAGAGAAATGGATATTGTTCAGATATCTGGCGACAATATTTATATTATTATTATATTATATATATATATATATATATATATATGTTAATAATATTAATTATTATTAATTTCCTTTGAATTTCCGGAGATGAGCGTGGGCCATATGCGGTTCAGTAGAATAGAGGTAAAGAGCGGAAGCAATAGGGGTAATGATGAGGTGAAGAGAACTGGCCCCTAAGATTTTGAAATCTGATAAACCTCCAACCGACCTTACTGTGAAATTCTTTAGTTGTTGTTTCTTTATCAGAAATCAGAACCAGCTTTTGGAAAACAAGCACAATTTACAAATTAAGTAATTAGCTATTTCAGGCTCATTATTTAGCAGTAATGGGTCAATTGTATGCGCAAGTAGCGTCGAACCAGAGGCAGTTTGCCAAAATACTTCGGATTCCTGGGAGAGATGCAATAAAGAGAATGTGGAAATATTTATTTATAGCGTTCAGTAGCAGTAAACGCCCCAATCAAGCATGTTTTAGGTAAACAACAGGATGATGTATATTAATAGTTGATGGAGTGTGTTTTACAGCAGCAAATAAAAATTGTAGAATAAATAACATAAAATATTATTAAAGCGCTAAATGTTCACAGTTCCAATATATGAATTATTCGCAATACTTCATTGCAGAAACAACAAAGCAAAAATTGAAATAAATAATATTAGATAATGTGATGACTCCCACTCCCCCATACAGCCAGTATTTAGACCTTAAAGCTTTCGTCGCAGTCCAAGCTCCCTTTATCAATAAGAATAAAAAACAGAAAGTCTTAGTTTAACTTTCTTGAATATCACCTAGGGGGCCAAAATCTCAATGGGTTCATAGCACAAACGTTATATGTCAGCCGCAAATAATGTTTTTTGATTTTATCGGATTTATTTGGCACAGGTAAATGAGAAGAAACATGCCATTAAAGTTCTTGGTATCGCCGAGTCTTCATGAGTTTTCTTAATACTTGTAACATAATCATCAATCACAGCATCAATCGTTGATGCGCGCTGAGTAGTGCACCAACCTCACATCTACCGTGAATCCCATTATAATGCGCATTTTTCACGTTTATCGGAATATTATCTAGAATATCCCACAAGATCCATTTCTTGAATCATCAGGAATAGTCAAGCGATCATTTTCGCAAACAAATTTCAATGTCAGATTCGATTTGGGCACCAAACTGAATTGAAACTGTTCTCAATCGTCTGTAATGCTCAAAAATTACCCCAATTAGCATTATATGTGGGAATCTGTTAATACCATACCATTCACATCATTAACAATACTTATATCTATCTATTTATCTAGCTAATTAGCCTTCTCCAGTCGCACAGATATATAAAGACATACCGCCATAGCAGTTTTTTTTAAACCGAAGCAGCCGCTCAGACAGAAGCCTAAATGCCAGGAAATCGGGACTGTTATGAGGACCCCAAAGAAACTTTGTTCATCCGATTTTTAAACTGCCTAAGATTAGTAAAACTGGGAAAAGCTGCCTCTTGTAGATTCCACAATCTCGATACCCTCTGAACGAAGGAACGGTCGTATCGGCCAGTTCTGGAGGTACGAAGTTCGACCCGGTTAGGACGAGGGGCCGAAGTCAGGCGGGTCTGTCTGGCAGGCACATCGTGCCCCGGCATTATGGAGGAGAGCTCTGAGGGTCCCGAGAAAAGTTCTTCTTACCCCTAAACAAATAGCCTAGCTTTATCCCTGCAGACATCTCGGTAATAGCGGCAGCTGCTGATCGGAGTCGTCGATGATCCGGTCTCCGACCAGCCGAAATGAACGCTTCTTTGGAAGAACTCAACCATCCATCAAAACCGGATGAGCGCTAGGACGCTTTTTGTTCATCAAGGTACAGTACTGTATTTTGGAAGCATTAAACTGTACAAGATTGTTGCGACCCCAAGCAGTGATAACCTCCATGTCTCTCGACGAAGAGTAAGTCACTGCTAGTCTACTTTTTTCCAGCTCACCGGCAGAGATTGATCGTACAGGAAAGCCATAACCGATCCCCGAGGAACACCCGCGTCGACGTTTTGGGATGAAGGGCAGAACTCGTCAATTACGACGGTTATGTTGCGGCCAGAGAAAAAACTCCACACATCTGTAAAGCTTATCAGGGAGGCCATAGAATGGAGGTTTGCATAAGAGGGCAGTGTGACACAGCTGACCGAACGCTTTCGTTATATCAAGACCAACTACATGAGCCTCACCATAAGACTGGATGAGTTTACTCCACAATTACGTGACGTAAGCTAGGAGATCCCTTGTGGATCGCTGGTGCCGGAAACCATACTGCCTGTCACTAATCAAGCCGTGACGTTCGAGGTAGTCCAGAAGCTCGCGATTTATGCACCTCTCCATCACCTTACTTGATAACACAAATCAGAGCTATAGGCCTGTAGTTGTAAGCAACGGTCTTTTTTGGGACGGATTGGACATGAGCAAATCTCTAGATTTCTGGGAAGTTGCCGGATAAATATCGGGAAGAGACGCGAAAGAACTGAAGCAAGCTCCGTTGCACACCTCTTCAATGCAACGGCAGGAATCAAGTCCATTGTAGTTCCAAGTAGGTCCAAGTACGTTATGCAGCATTATATACCATTATCATTTTCAAGAAAATTATATACATTGCTGTACATTGGTGTCAAAATTACCTTGCTTGACCTGAGTGAGGCGTGCGCCCCTCCTTAGATATATCCTACCCCACGCTCTTCAATTGCCATAAGATCATTAGATCTGCTTCAATGTTTAATAGCTGCTACCCCCCTCCGAAATTATCATCTTCCTAAATATGAATGCTGCGATCACAGATGCCCCCAGTTAGACAGATTCCTAAATCCGCCCTTGCTTATATGACTGGCCGTACAAATTCCCTCATTTTTGAAGAAGTATAGCTTAAATCATTTGAACATTTTCGATGTGCCAAAATATTGAAATATAGATGAAATCTTACTTTTGAATGGGTCCACCTGTAATCGCTGTCGCTGATCGAGCGCCTGAGCGATATCCTTCTTCTTCACACATTGTATACCTAGGTTAGCGAAGCTTATAGTCATGGTGTCGGGGGGAATTTGTAGCCTACAAATACCATTCGTGCACCCCTCTCTACCAACTAGGTTATGGGGATGTGGCCTGAAATCAAATTAACAACGATTAGAATTGACCCATGTTGCGACTGGAATAAAGGAGAGAAAATAAGACTTTAAACAATATTGTTTTTCTGAGCCAATACACGCGTTGATTTCGGAGTACTTCTAACCTAATTCAGTTACAATGTCAGAGCAGCCCTCAACAATATGGGAAGGAAGCATGATGTATCTTCACGTCTTGCCTATTGTATCAAATTAGATGCATTCTAAATTATCAAAAAATTATTCAAGAAATAGTGGCAGGTGGAATATTGATATATAGTATCGTCCATATACAGCCCAATGAGAATTTAGAAAGAAACTCAAATAAAACGCTTCTAATTAAAAATGAATTTTTGACGTAGTCCTTAAAATCGCCCAATACTCGGGAAAGTCCAAGACGGACTGCTATGTGCATAAAGAATAAAACCCATAATATAAATATAAAAAAAAAATAAATGTTATTTCAAGTATTACTAATTAATCTGTTTATATCAAAATATGAACTATGAAAATTTTGGAGCCAACCAAAAAACTGTTTGAAGTGATCGGAATATTGAAGAACAGGGAAAAACAAATATTCGAAACGATGATTGGTAACTATCTGAAATGTCTTTATTATTATATTTAGCTCATGTTCATACATTCACCGCCACTGAACTGAGTTACCATATCTTTCCAAGTTTTATCAAAATCGTTTTTGAGGTTACGCGGTTAAAAAATCGCAGGCAGACCGACAGACAAAGCGGCCAAAAAAAGGAATACTGATTTCTGTTCTTTATTTAAAAGAGGGAAGTAAAGATCGGTCGTTTTTCGCCAATCGTATTCATGAAATTTTAAAGTTTGTATTTAGGCTATTATAGTGTTTATATCAAGTTCAACTATCTTTGTTTACATCTACAATGAATTGATGAAAAATAAAACAGCAAATATTAAGTAATCTCCATACACGAGATGTTTATTGAATTTTCAGACACTGTTAGCGTCTTTATATATAATTATTAAAATCTTCTTCAAGTACTCTACAAACCACAATTTTTGTTGTGTTTTTAAATATAAGGATAAATATACTTACAAACTAGCATTTATTTGTTTTGATGTGTAGAGCGCACAAAGAAGTGTGTCAAAATAAAAGATTTTTTCTACTTTCCTTTTTTATTTTTCAATATATGTATTGTATTTTCAATTTTAACGAATAAAATTAGCTTTTTTAATATCTACAAATATGAAAAAACACCTACGTCCAAAATTGTGGAAAAAAATAAATAGATTTTTTATTGTATTTGTTAAGATCTGCTGAAAAAAGCTGGCTGACTTCCAGAACAGCGAGTATACTCGTCAGCTATAATGGTATGATAACTACTAGTTTTAGTTTTAATGTTGCTATTCTCCTTTTTACATTCCTGTACTAACAATTATTTACTGGTACGTAATTAAACTTAAGAACAATTCGAATGGTAGAAATAATAATACACATGATTTGTCTTTGCGTTCGTCAGAGTTAGAATACATGTATAAATTATAAAAATGGACGACCTTGATATCATCATTGAATGTCAATTTAAAATAATTGTACAACATCTAAATAGCTGTCGAGTTTACACCGATTACGGCGAAAACATTTGAAGAATTAATTTGCTGGATATCTTTGAATCCAGTTTCCTGTACGAACACAATCGAACATTATACTGAAACCGTGCCAAATGATACATCATCGCGGTACATAAAAATGAAAATGGTTTAATTAAACACGATGTATTTTTAATCCAACACAGTAGCGTAACACATAAGGCTGCCCGAGTTTTTTGGGAGGGGAATAGTATTTCCTCTACTTGCATACTGAAATGAATTTCATAAAAGCTGAAAAGGGAGACGGCTATCTCGGGTACCACAGATGGTTAGACTTGAATGGGCATAACTTTCTATGGAAAATCCATTCAGAAAATACAGAGTGTCCTATTGGGACTTTACAGAGCGTATAAGCCAGGCAATATTAAGCATGTATTTTCAGTAACATATATACCAAAGCCTTAAGATAACCGACTGATCTGGTTCTGAAAAGCAATAAAAAGACAGTACGACCCTGCCATCCTCCCCTCCCACAATCTTCTCCTACGTCAAAACGTATGTGTTGTGCCTGGTTTATAAACAAACAGCATTCGAAAAACCGAAAGTTGCACATTTCTAGAGCAATACTGTAGTTATCGATTTGTTATAAGCATCTTAAAGATCCTATCGATGCTCCGCGAATGTACTCAGAACGTTGCCTTCATCCTCGATGTTTCTTTCCACCAGAGCTGCATATGTTTGTTTATATAGTGCAAAAGCCATCTGTGGTTGAACATAGTTGAAGACCTAGACAGCCCGAAATGTTGCAAATTCAGGAAGAGGTAAGCAAACTCGTGTTTTTGAATCGAACAGTGATAACTTCAAGCAGTGTTATCAGACAAAATATGTGACAGGGTAGTACTTAAAGTTCCTTACCAAATTCATAGTTGAGTATTTTTCTTTTTTACGTTTTTTCAGGACACCTTGTATTCCCGACTAACGACTGGGTGGGCGATTCTCAATTTCTGGAATAGATTTTGTGCCCACTCATAGTGGAAAACAACATGCAACTATGCCTTCATTTCCTGTGTATACGTTACAATCAAAACTGATAACCGGTCAAAACCAATTCTAACTACAATAAATTGTTTTGATCGATACACTTGGTCTACAGCAGTTTTGACTGATTTTTACAGCCAAAGGTAGTTTAAACCTACGTTCTTAGTCAAAAATGATTTTGACTGAGATTATTGGAGGTAAAGTTTTTTGTGAGTGGGCCACGATCCTCCACTGCGACTCACTAGCCTGTTGAGGCTCACAGTTTTTTTCACTTGGGGCAAGTGGTTTTGCCTAAAAATGTATAATTCGGTTTATTGTATGACTACAATTTTAATAATTAAGTAAAATGTTCATTGCCTTTACCTAAAAATTATAATGGCAAGAAAACAATGTAATATTTCATTTGTTTGATAATTAAACGATTTCTGGATGTATAATGTTTATTCAATTCAGTCATAAGTAGTTCTGACTTGTTTAACAACTTTTGACTGATACTATTCAGTCCAAGTCACTATAGCTCAATATTTTTATTATTATTTTAGATTAAGTTAAAAGTGGTTTTGACCAACGTACTTAGTCAAAACTACTTATGAATAACTTTGGCCGGTTATGAATTTGGTATTTGCAGGCAAAGTCAGTTCCCACACCTGGCAAAGTGACTCACTGGTAGTGTTTCTTCAAGCACTCCATCAACGATATAAAAATCACAAATAGGGAATTATACTTATAAGCTTTAAAGTTTCAGTTTCAGGCAGCAGCGGTGGCCGCAGTAGTAGACTCTTCGGTCTCCTGATCAGTCGCCGTGCGCTGTGCGGGTTCGAGTCCCGTCCCAGGAGAAATTTTTCTCTTGGCTATGGATGTTGTGATTGTCCGTAGGTGGTAGACGGTCTCTGACTGTCGAACGCGGAGGTACCACCCGGCGGATCTCGTAGGCGGAGCCAGAATGTGCGCATGTTGCATGCACACGTGTTCCCTCGCCAGAGTTCGTGTGGCGTTCCCCCCTTTCACATGTATCCCCCTATAGCCCCAAGGTACCCAATGGGTGCTCAGGCCTTAGGCCTTCGTGGTAGTTGAAGTATAAAAAAAAAAGTTTACAATTGTTGTCATTTATAACAACTTTATTTCAAAATCATATTAGAATCCATTTTTTAGTTTGATATAGATTTTTCAAAATCATATTATAATCCATTTTTCAGTTTGATATAGATTTTCCTGGAAGAAATAGTTCGCACAAGGGTCCTTTTTGGATCTATCTATAAAATAAGTCAGTACTACTGACAAAAATTAAGTAGCTGATTTTTAAGCGAATGTATATATTTTAAATAATCTATTCAGTTTGCGAGATTAGGAAAAATCCTATATTTGTAACAAGTGCGTCGTACAACTAAGGAACAAAGATAACTTTGCAGCTTGGTTTGCAGGTGTTTAGGACGTTTGTTAAGAAAAAGGACGAAATTGAACAAGTCAAGTTGAACTTGGACAAGTGCCAGTGCCAGGGCAATATACAGTGGATAGGACCTGCTGTAATACATAAAATAGAATTTATTTTAAGAAACATCAGTTTGAACTCTTGGTTGGCGTATGTTTAGGAACTGTAACGTATGAGCATTTCATAATAAATAGGTTTGTAAAGTCGCTTGATAACAACAAAAATTATATATTGTTCAAAATTTAATGAAAATGTTATCTTGACTGAAAGAGGTTCACATTTTTGATATCCAGACGAAACAACTGCGGAAAAGCATCCACTTAATTACATAATTTTGATACAATAATATTTATGTATGAGTGTATAAAAACACGTTAATTAATATTCATGAACAGATATTTTATAAACAAATGGGTCTACTACGCCGAATATACTACAAAGGTTTTATCATTAAGCAGTTCATCTGAATAAAAAAAATTAACTCACTAGTCTGAGAAATGCCCAATGTCAAATCTTGAACTCATTCAAAATGCTTGGCCGAAAGTAGCCACAAAGTTTAAACTTCGGAAGAGATTTTTTGAGTTCTACCCTATTCATAAAGAATGTGTTTGTTCATATCTTAGTCACCACTCGATCGGTATTCAAAAACTACAACACTTTTTCAGTAAACTTGTATAAAAATTTCATACAATAAAGTTCAACATTCTCAGCTGTATACAAATATGCGACCGATTAATGTCGAGAAGCTGTTAGTATGGATTATATACAAAAAAACATTGAATTCATTGAAGAAACCAAAATTTCGACAAAAAATCAAGCTGGATTGAGAAAAAAATGTTCTACAGAAACAGCAATCCAAATGGTGGTGGAAGACTGGAGAATAAGTATAGATTAGAAAGAATGTATTGTATTTTTATACTTCAAAAGTGCATTTGAGGTGTTAAAAATGTCGTCCTCCACTTTCCACACAAGCTTCATTACGACGAACCCAGTTTCTTCATACTCTCGGTCCTCGAAGTTGTCCATTTATTATTTCAGCCGCATTAAATTTTTTTTCCCGAAGTTGTTCTTCAGTTGTTATTGGACCAGCCCCACAAACCATCCCTTTAAGTTCTCCCCAATACCAGAAATCCATCGGATTGAGGTCAGGAGATCTTGCTCGCCATTTTCGTGGATCAGGAGCATTTCGACGGATCCAGCGATTTGGATAATGTTGGGGGTAACTCGAAAGGGTCAATTACCTGATCGTCAAGAATACCCGCCCAAATATTTATTTTAAAATGTTGTGGCAAATGACCTTCACGAATGGTATGAGGATTTTCTTGGGTCCACGTGTGAGTATTATGGAAATTTAATATCCCGTCTCGCGTAAAAGTACATTCGACCGTCGCTAGAATGTTTATTAAAAAATCCGGATTTTCAATGTTTTTGTGCAAAAACCACTGACAGAATGTTAGTCTGCGAAGATAGTCTTCTGGTAACAAGGCCTGCACTCGTTGTACATGGTGGGGATAAAGCAAATGTTCCCGTAGGATTGTATGGACTATGGTATGCGATAGTCCTACGCGGCGGCCTAATTCCCGAGTGTTGATATCTGCATTGTTTTCCACGATATTTAAAATTTGTCCCTCCTGCTCTACAGTAACTTGTCATTCACGAGTGCGAATATTAGTGGGCTGAATACTTCCTGTATCTCGAAGCCTTTGGTACACTTGCACAGATGTCCTTCTGAATTTGAGCTGCAAGATTTGAATTCTGACGAGCTTCGCCGTAAACTAACAACATGTCGGCGAACTCTTCATTCGAGAACATTGTAAATAAACACGACGACGTACGCGAACAAAAACAAAACAACACGCCCGATGCGACAAAACGATAAAGTAATTTATCTATGCAAAACGATAACTAACCACTGTTACAGTTTGCGATCTATTGCCGGTTCGATAAGAGTGATGAAAGACCGACGCGCTGTTGTCATGTGTGTTTTAAATATTTAATTTAATGAAACTTACTTACTGACTACAAATTTTGGCTTAACTTAGAAAAACTTAATGCCATTTAGAATTACCCAATTTAAAAACTTTTTAGATTAGATTATAAAAATTAGTAAGATTGTGGTGATTGTGGTCGATATAAAGCACTTAAAGTTGTAAACTATAATGCCATTTAGACAAAAATCTATTGACTTTTGGACCATGGGTCATATTATATTTTTTGACTCGTCTTGACCCCCCCTATTACCGATCTCAATAATGACGTTATAACGTTTACATCCTGTAGATTGATTATTATTAAGACTATAAAAAACTTGCAAACTAACATACCTCGGACATGTGATGAGACATGATGAAAAATATAACATTCTGCAACTAGTCATTGAATGTCAGATCAATGGTAAAAGAGAAATAGAAAGAAGTTGAACGTCCTGACTGAAAAACCTGCAATAGTGCTTCGGTCGAACAACATAATCACCTTTTAGAGCTGCCGGAAACAAAGTTATAATGGCCAACATGAAGAATAATGTCCGGTAAATGGATACAGTATACAAAGAAGTATTCGACAGGAGCTAAGTGCATAGTGGGGGGAGCTAAATCGCTTGCCGGTCAAGCTGTGGACAAAAAAGAAAAATCATCGGCCTAATAGTAGAAGGTAGCCGTGATTTCTATGGTGAAATCTGTGCCATGTGGGGCAGCTGATGCCTGGTAATTGTGAAAATATTTCGCAGACATATTTCAGATTACAATTGGCGACAACAACGCAATGTAAACATATATGCTTCCTGAGTAACTTAACGAAATAGTGCTTACTTACCTATATGGCGAGTCTTTGGTAACACAGGAAACGAGTACCCAGGCACTGCCCGTATACCCCACCACTCGTATCGTCGGGAAAGTCCTCTTCTCGGCTGAACTATATATGCCGGGGATTGAACCTGCAGACCTCCCTTCACATTCGTACCGAAATCGAAGCGCCTTTGGGGCGGGTTGCTCGACTATTTCTATGTAAGCATCCGTTCTGAAAATAACATCACGTATAGGTTAAACATTCAAAAACTTTATTTTTGCTAAACCACCATATGAACAAAAACTTCAAGGAAACCAGAAATCATCAAATTTTAATAAACATCATAAGAGGCCCGTTGCGCTTAAAACCTTCAGCTGGGTTCCCACTTAATGTTAGTTTCCCAAAGTCAGAGCATCTACAAGCTACTAGTTTTCTTTCACATCTTCTTTTGAGTGGCGAAGCCTAATCTAAATTGGTTTATTTTCGTAACATTGCATTGGAGATCACACAAAAATGAGAAATAAACAATTTATTGCAAGATCACCAGTATACTATGAAGTAAAAACTGTATATATGGATCTTAAAACTAAATCACATTCTTGAGGGCAAATACAAATCTGTAGATACAAATAATTATCTGGGTAACTCTTTTTAAGATTAAAATTCGAAATACCACTTTTCAAGCCTATTCAAGAAATTATGAAGCACAAAAGGGTTATAAAGAAAGACAAAAGGACCTTGAAAATGAGTATTTTATATGTTCAATTTGCTGCAGAGATTGCATGACTGGGCCGGTCGTCAAAAAAGAATAATTTTGGTGAAAAAAGTAAAAGTCGACAATTTCTCATTTTTGCTTAAATAAAATATTGCTGCAAGGAACTGAACAGCTGAATTATTATATACAAAATATGTATCTATTTTCTTATGATAATATTTTACAGGTAGGATTATTACAATGAAGACAGCTGTCATTATCGTTATTTGTGTAATTATTTTCTCATAAGTGGTAATCATGCACTGTCATGTTTAGCGCATTTTTACGAGTACTACACTACTAGACTTTATTAGGATGGATAGCCATTAGACATACATACAGTCTTTATTTGGTTTTAAATTAAATACAGGGAAAACCAAATTTGTTTGACGGCTTGAGTTCAATGTGTACGAGAGAGAACCGCTACACGCCTAGCAACGGTGACGAAGAAGGTCGCCTGCCGCGTTGCCAATATAATACACCAGAAAATGTTCGCACAGGTTTCTACAATAGGTTAGGTTACTATCAAACTCAAGAAGGAGATCTGTTCGAACGTTTTGTTTTCATTTTGATTAGAATTATTTATTTCAATTTTGATGCGACTTAGTGTTTTAATTTATTTTAGAATTACCTTTAATTTCCATCGATGATGATAAAATCAACACATCCTGAGTTATTGTTAACGAATACCATTACGCAACACAAATTATAACTGCCTGCGTCTACGCAGGTGGAAACCACTTGGGTACTGACCAAAATCGCTCATCTATGATCATGGAGGTGGAAACCTTGCCTTGGAATGTACGAGAAGCCGTGTTGCCAGGCAAACCAATGACGCAATGTTGCAGAATATCTGGCGATCCCGACCTGTTACTTCGAACTAAAATGGAGCACCGTTAGGACCTATCCGGAATCGATCCTAAACAGATTCGATACTATTCACAATTCAAAAATGTGTACGCTCAAAATAAAGCCATTATTTGGGCGTACTGAATAAACTAATGCATACTTTCGACACGCATCCTGATTCAAGGAACTGGTGTAACATATTGACAACGCGGCAGATTACCGCGTCAGCCTTGCTAGGCAACAAGGTGATGAGCTTCTCTATCCAGCCAGCTTCTATCAAATTTGGTGCTCAATTTATATTTTCAGACTGGACGTTGATGGCAACTGAAAGTTGCAGCTATAGATTTACCATATTTTTACAAAGTACTTCCTTATTTGATTACCTCGTATTTAATAAAAATGTATTCATCAGACCAGTGCAAGGCAATCATAAGCTATGTGAATCCCCTTAAAATAAACCTGGTAAATGACGTATATTGGATGTGGTCAACAAATTACGTAGTATTTTCAAATAATCGCCACAAATTTAATCCATAATAAACAATAAATACACACTCGTACTATGCGCATACCTCAAACTATCCATCATTAACAATTAAGTTACTGATACTCTGAGGTGGATGGGTATATTAACATACAGTTGCACCTTGGAAGCAAAAGTAATTACGCGGATTTCTCAGATTGGGGAAAATTGAGGCAAGCTGCCAAGTAAAAGCGATTCATGACTTTCGACTGATCTTTATAAAACACAACGCACTATTATAGTCGGTACTGCCTCTTGTTCTAATTTTCCCTGTCATAGGGAAAGCATCCCGCAATTATTTCTGCTCTGGACAGTACATAGCACACAAAGATGTTGTCTACAATTAGAGACACAATTGTTGTGTTGTAGTTTATATCTATTACCTAAGCAAATTCATATTCACATTTATTAATCGAATTAATTTATTGGTAATACATGCTTCATTTTCCCACTTTTCGAATTACACTGTATGGAACATGAATACGTTAATTTAATACTACCTATAAACCTATTGCCAGTATGACCAATTTGTAAGTTGTCATATTTGTATGTAAATCAAATCATATGAACACCAGGAAATTAGTATTGTTGATATTCAACTTTGAAATTGATACTTTTTTCTGAAAATTGTAGTTCTCTAATTGATGCACTTTTGACGTGATCATTTTTAATTAAAAAAACTTCCCAAAATATACTCCAACACTAATAGGATCACAATCGAGGTCAAACACATGGAAAACAATTGACTTTTAAAGTATACAATACTCAAGGCAAATTTCGGCTTAGGTAATAAAAATCGATCAACGAATGATGATCGTGCAGGTGAATTGAACCGTCGTTTATCAATCAGATTTGGAAAAAATGGCGTCAAGTAAATTGACTCTGACACAGGTTAGTCCTTCTGAGAAAAAAGTTAGCAACGGACAGGTATAACAAACAATTAAATGACCTTCCTGCCCTCCTGCACGCGTCGCGATGACCAATCCCATGTAAATGTTGATAATATCCTTCACCAGGCACAGTGCACACAGCCCACAGCTGTGTGGAAGCGATGCCGACTGTGACATACGGCGCTCGTCCTTCGAAGGACCACGTCGTAGGTATTGAGACGCTACTGTTGGAGATAAGTTTTAAGGGTAAATGTACGGCATGATCAGTAAAATAGGTGGTCAGGATCCTCTGAAACGTCAACAACGAAGTTTGGGCGACTTTTTTTCATTTCTAATCCTTTTTTCCCCGCCACTCGACCGGTTTTCAAAAACTACATCTTGATTTTTCGCCCTTGGCATTGCAGTAAGATTGTGTTAAAATTTCATCACAATCCGAGCGGTATTATATAGGATAGGCGGACAGACACACGGACGGGAATGAGTGGTATGGTTTTTTATGATGTTCATGTCATACAACATCCAAAAAACATAATATCTCATTTCGATATTTTTCGCGATTATAATACTTCCCCGCCAGTAGCCGTGGGAAGTAAAAACGAAAGTGACGCATTTTAAATAAATAGCGAACGTCTCGACTTAATGATTAGTTTATGGTGAGTACCTTGAGGCTACCAAAATTCTTCGCGAATGTATTCAGAACGTTTTTCCTGGCGTTTCCACCCCGCGCCGCATAGGCAGCCCCGGGTACCATAAATTGAGGATTGAGGAAGAAGTCAATATTTTTAACCAAATAAACAGGGGGTAAGTTTCTTTATTTTTTTACTTTGCCTTGTTATTTCAGAAGCAGCAGTTTCTGAAAAGAGAATCTCAACTCTGAGAATATCCTTTATATAAGGGTCTCCAAAATTGGATAAACCGATAAAATTGATATCAGCATAATGTGAGAAGTACAGAGTCGACCTATTTAAAAGCATTTTTCCAGCAGACTATTAACTTTTAACTCACTTTTTCTTTCTGGATTTGTGCTGATGTCCATCAGCTTGGTGTCGCACCATCACAGTCCCTCCACCGTTGAACATCGTCCTTCCAGCGTCTACCACAGCAACGGTGTCAGACGGAGTCGACTCCGCAAACTCAGAATCTTGCTTGATCACGTCAACTGCAATACACACACAATTTGTCGGGGTTAGCTCTATAACTGGGGGAAAGAGGAAAAAGACATTGTAATTGACTGTTTGTGAGCCATTTATTTTACATGCGGTGATGCTTAACCTATATGGAATAGGAAAGATGAGAGTATAAAAAGACAGCATAGAGTGCGAATCAAATGTTTTTTAGATTCATATAACCACTTTATAGCTTAAAATAATTCGTATATTTCCGATTTATTTGTTATAGTGCTAGATAGTGATACAGGAAGAATTTCAAAACAAACCGATATATATATATATATATATTAATTAATAAGATTTCAAACTTTACCGAGCTCATTTAATTTAAAAATTTAGTTGTACCTACAGTACCATTTGTACGTTTTTTTTTGGGATATGCCTGAAAAACTTAAACTTGCACTGTCTTTGAAAGCTCATGAAATTCTGTAATTATTTTAGTAATATGTATGCCAAATGTCATACATTTTATTTCAAATAACTTATGATGATTTTCGGAAATAATAAAAAAAATCAAAATCTCTTCACTAAGAGCATTTTATGTCTAACAGTTTCAAACTTTTGGTATAACGTTCTCATCTCAATTATTTGCTAGTTTTACAGCTTTCAGATAACCATCAATTCAGTTCCAAGAAATGAGTAGATTTAAAAAAAATTGTATTGATCAGTAAGCAGAAAATTCTTAAAAAATCTTGAAATGCCGATATCTCGGAATCCGCTCATTTACGACCCCCAGTTGATGGAAATTAATTTATCACAAATGACCTCTAGAATCATCACTTTCAGGGAATAGGTCGAATTTCCAATCACTCTATATACAGGGTGACTTTGAAGTTGAGTCATTAATTTTCAGATAATGATTGTAGAAGGAAGATAAACCAAAATATGTGTGTAAAAATAAAAAAAAATTAAAAAAAAAATTACCTTGTTTTATAAAGTATCCTCCCGACAAGTATTTCAGTGCGGACCTGTATTTGATCGTGCGGTCTTGGAGCACCGGCATGCCCTCCCCTGTGAGGTCTTAAGTCACCTGATTCACGAGCCCTTTGTACTACATTCAGCTTTTTCGTAAACATGTGCCATTTTTTATTTCGTTTGAGCCACGCAATAAACACCACTATTCACTCACGCGTTACCGACTGACACATCGACTGAATACAACTGAATAAAATTGTACATTGTAGTAAAAACATCGTTTCAAATTCTTTCACTTTTTTGTTTCCGATGCGATGAACGGATAAGGCGGATTATATCCGTTGTTGCCAAACACGAGCACATAATATTATTATTGAGACAGGGCGGTACTCAAACTTCTAAAGGGCTATAACTTTGTTAATTTAATTTTACCAGAAAAATGTTGAAGGAAAAAAGCATTTCTTTTGATCAGATCTACTCACTGTTAAAATAAATGATTCAACTTCGAAGTCACCTGTATATATACATATAAATCTTGAAATCTTGCTTCATCACCAATCTTCTAGAAGCTTCTCCTTTGCTAATCATTTCCTATGATCGAACTACTAACTTGAGAATACAGCTGGCTGATATCGTTATTTATGAGATATCTGATATCGTTACTTTTTAACATCAGTGATTTAAAACCGTGACATGATAACTTTTGAATAGCGACATGGGCATATTGATATCCTGAGCAAAATACCTCAATGCAATCGCATGGAGCCAACTACCAAACCTATAAGGCACAATATCGCATACAGGCTATTGTTGTCCGTTTGTCCATCTTAGCGACTAGCGCGCAGACGTATGTCACGCAGCCGTGATCCAATGATGTCGTTCACCGTTGCGTGAGGCACCTAGTTCCCGAAGTCGTGGTTCGTGATCTGTTACTAAATCACAGTACGTGAAATATATGCCATCACTACTTGAGATATTAAATACCAACTACCTCCTTTCCTGTACGATCAATCCGATCGACAGCTTTGCTGATGACACCACTTTACATGCAGCATTCAGAGTGACGAGCCGATCTCTGCCGGTGAGCTGGAGAAAAGAAGACTGGCAGCGACTTCCTCTCTGACAAGAGACCTGCTTGGGGACGCAACAATCTTGTACAGCTTAGTGCTTCTAAAACACAGTACTGTACCTTGACTAACAAGAAGCGCCCTAGCGCTTCCATGGATGGCCGAGTTCTACCAAAGAGCCCTTCATTTCGGCTGATCGGAGTCCACATCACCGAGGACTTGATCTGGCACGAACACACCTCGTCAATAGCGGCAGCTGCTGCCTTAGGCTCAAGTAATGATCACATGTTTGGAGTGCTGCCGCCCCGACTACATTATCCGCAATCGATGGTGGTCAGAGGAGGACTATCCGACTAATAGATGGCGCTTCTCTAACGGACAGTCGCAGGACACTTTCGCACCTGCGGGACGTCGGCGATCTAGATCTCTTCTGCTGCTACGGCAATGGACTTTGCACCTCAGAGCTTTTCTCCATGTTGCCGCCTTGCGATGTGCCTGCAAGGCAGACCCGCCTGACTTCGGCCTCCATTCTAACTTCATACATCCAGAACTGGCCAATATGACCGCTCCTTTGTCCCTAGGGTATCGATAGGATTTTTCCAGTTCTACTAACCTTAGCCAGTTCAAAAATATTTTTCGAAAAAAGCGAATTTACAAAAAAGCTTACATTCTGTATTTTGAAAACGGGACATTCCGTTTACGTATTACTTTTTTTCCAACGACTCGAGGAATCGTTCTCTTAAGTTTGGCCAAGTGCATGACATGTTCTTCCTACTTCTCCGTTAAGATTGATTAATCTTTAGATGTTATTTTCCTATATGGAAGCTAACGATAAAGACGTTTTCACAAAAGATAAAATTGCATCCTTGGCCTAAAAGTAACCAATTTATCAGTAAGCAGAGGGGTCAGGAATCTCTGAAGGTTTTTCCGGGACACGAGAGACAAACAGAGCAACAGACAGCCAGGTGTTTGTGGAATTAAATATTATTTGTTGTTTAGATACAGATTGTGTGTCTTTTCATTCTATGCATTAACTTTCGATGGACAGATATGTTCAACCTATACATTGCCGCACGCGTTTTGTTGTCATAGGCTTGTCTAGTCTCATGAATCATAACTTTCACTAGCACCAAAAAATGTGAATGGTAAATTCTAAATTGCAGTCATCAAAGCGGACACCAAGGTCATCGAACTTTTAGCCAGATATGTTGATAACATTGTTTTGTGTTGCATCAGACGAATGGAAAAAATGTTTCAGTTTACTCTTTTAAGAAAATCAACTTTAAGAGATGTTTTTTATCCCTACGTGGGAGAAAGTAAAGCCTTAATGTAAATCGGCTGCCACTATTTATTCTGGAAAAAATTAAGAACATTTTTTAAACCAGTGAAATTAATGACGAAGTGGAAAAAATAATATCGGTCAATATATCCAGAATTTTTGCATTACTTTGCGGGACGACTGACTCCAAATTGTCAATAATTTTTGTTCGATATTGAGGTTTCAAGGGTCGCAGGTTTTGTGGTTTATAGTGGTAAATGGCGTCGTAAGTTGGAATAAACCCATTCCCAATTTCAATGATAAATACAATAAATCTAATAATTGAAAATTTGGTGTGGGACGTACAAACTCAAAAGTGGAAAAATCATAGGTTTTCTGCCAAAATTATATCGTTATGTATTATGATCAACGCAGTCTTACAAGTTGCCTAAAAATATCGCACAGATATAACAAATAAATCTAAAAATATTATCGTACATCCTTGTCCATAACAATTGACTTTCCTCATTTACGGAGAAGATCGTTATAATGTCATTCTACCGTTTTCATCAGTTTTCAGAAGTTTTCTCGCGAGTTTCATTTCAGTAGTTCCTAGGTACTTTTTTCATGTTACTATCATCTTTACTAGTTGCGTCTTCTCATATTTATTCTTACAAAGAACATTATTGAATTCGCCATTTAGATTAACGATCTACAGTAATTTATTTGTGTTTTTTAGGATATTTGGAGCATATTAATAACTATTCGTAAGTATCCTTCTATTCAATTGGAAAACTTCCAGCTGTATGAGAGATGTATCATTCCAATCCAAACATTGTATCCAGTAGTTGTAATGTGCCCAGACCAATATTTTTCTAAGCATTCCCACAGACAATCTTCAGTATCAGATTTCTTCATTTTTTAAAGTAAGATGTATCACATTTTAAGCTTTTTTCTATATCTAAAATTAGGTCTCCATGTATTTAAGGAAAGCATTAAATCTTTTTTCGCTTGTGAATCCCGAATTACACAGAAAGAATTAAAGAAAGCTAAAGGAAGAAAAACGAATAGGACTACTGATATAATAATAACAACAATTTAGTGAATGGAATAGTTGCATTTTTCGGGAACAATATTTACAACTATTATCGTTCAGCAGGTGCACATTTTATTCAAACATTATTAGAAGATACTTCAAATGCGCATTCTAAAATATTCACTGCCAGAAAATACAATACTATGAAATAAATCACTTACTGACATCACTTAATAAAGTAGGATCAGTCTGTACTTTTCCGGCTTCTCCAACAGCATCTCCTGAAAAAAATATGATTTAAGTTGTAACTGGAGAGATAACATACTGAGAGTGTAATATACAAGAAAAAGCAATTTAGGTACATATTTTACATTGCAAGATTCTAAGCCTGGTTAAACATTTAAAATAATCAACAAAGAAACAACATTTGCAAAGCATATGCAAAATTTGAAGCAATTTCTGCAAAAAGTAGATCGATGTCTGTTATAGAGGGCATTTTAGAAGTATTTTCATTTCATTTCATGCTAAGTTAAGTTGAAAAATGGCTTATATTTAATGAAAGAATTGGTTTATAGATTTTATATCACCTGTATGCAAGCAATTTCACGGCTCGCAGAAATAATTTTGGATTGTTTGAAAAAGTGTAGATGAACTTTCCTGTTTTTTGTGGCGATCACCTTGAATCTTCTGAACTAGAAATCGAGACAGAAATTCCATTCATTTTAATGCATATAGAAACATTTTTATTCTTGGGAAAGTAATCTGCGTGAAATAACATCTCAAATTCCCTCGTATCTCTGTAGTCTACAGAGCTATTGCCAAGTTAATTTGATTTATTCAGAAATAAAAATATATAACCAGACCAGACCAACCGTTGGTAACAAGTAAACTTTTTAAATTTAAGAAAATCGTAATTAATAGCTACAATTTATCTTATAACAAATATCATTACAGTCATATTGGGATAGCCTGATATACAGTAATGGACAAAAGTATTATAGACAAATATGAATATTTACCCAAATACCTTTAGAAAACGAATTAATACTTCATTGCTCCATAAACAAATGCGTTATTAGTAGAAAAACTAAATTCTTTGTTTTTACATTATCTGCAATGAACACAATACAAGTCTGAATATAAGCACCTTTTTATGAGAGATAAAAATATGTAGACAAATTCTTTTCAACATTAGTTTCGTACAGTTTCGTGTTAGAAGAGGATTCGTTTGTGTTCATCAAGTATTGGGGAATCAGTTGAGTGACTTTAAGGCCATGCCGCGTGGTCCAGAAATTTCTTTAGATCTGAAAACTAAGATCAATGAGTTATACAAAGATGGTGAACGTCAAGTCGGCATTGTCAAAAATTTGAAGCTGAAGCGTAAAGCAGTTTGGGCAATATTGAACAAATATAAACAAAAATTTATCTTGGAAGCCTTTAAGAGAAGTGGTCGGCCTAGAAAACTAAATGCGATCAGTTAGGTTAATAAAAGTAATTTCGTCCAAAGATCCGTTTAAAACCCCAAGACAAATAAATGCCGAATTCGAGACAAAAGGAATTGCCAGTATACTACGAAAAGTATAAGTAGAAGATTAAATGATTTGAAGTTATTTGCACGTCGCCTGAGTAAGAAGCCGCTAGTCTCGAGGAAAAACCGTAAGGACCGATTACAATTTGCACAGTTGCATCTTGATTGCAGCATCTGTGACTGGAAGAGGGTATGTTTCAATGACGAATCCAAGTTCAATATGTTTGGATCAGATGGTGTTCATTACGTTAGACGTCCTAGTGGACAAAGATTGAACACTTTGCCCACTGTCAAACATGGAGGCGGGTCTGTTATGGTTTGCGGGTGCTTTTCGGGGATTGGGACCTTTACATAGAATAGATGGCATTATGGATAAGTTTGTATACACAGACATACTAAAGCATGTCATGTTACCCTGTATGGAAGACAATATGCCCTTAAGATCAATCTTCCAGCAAGATAATAACCTGAAGCACACTTCAAATCTCGCAAAGAAATTCTGATTGGTTTTCTATAATTCAATGAACTTTGCTTCTTTTTTTCTATAATTGTTTTGCTTTGTCTATATATTTTTGTCCTCCATAGATCCAGTTTTTTTCAATTATTTTTTTATGGAAGGGAGTCTAATGAATTTATTTATGTTATAAGTGAGTATTATGCTATAACGAATTATGTATACGGGTTGGTGTATTAATAAAACAAGTTAAAAAAGATTCGGCACAATATTAATCTGTCTATCTACTTTTGTCCATTACTGTATATGGATATGGAATGTGCTAAGGAATGATCTTAAAAATTATTTTTGCCTTATTGATAATACTAAGTAAAATTTAAAAAATCTCCAATTTAATCAACATTCCAGTAATCGGTCAGCGTGTGTTAAGGAAATGCTATTTTCTATGGAATTACCATTGGTGCTTATACTAAGTCTGATCCCTCCAAAAATGCTTTTTGAAGGTTTGTCGTGAGATGTTACAGTTAAAAACATATAATTATATCAAATTGGATGATAGTCGCAATCTCAAATACTTCCTTAGTTTTAACCCGTAGGAAGTACCTACAAATAGCGTCGCATAGGTTAGCGCTATATTACGAGTAAACATATCGGAGTTGCAAGGGAAGTGAATTATAGTTTTCCCTACAGTTTTTGGTTGTTTCTGGATTCACACCTGTTGTAAACGATCGAGTTGCCAAATGCTCCAATTTTCTCTAAAACAAAAGAGATAGGTGTCTGTCATGTCGTCTAATTAGCACGAGCGCGTTGTACAACTGTACAAAGGACATATTATGTGCAATGTAATTTCCTGATATTTTTACTCATGCTTCCGCCCATCGATGTGGGAGGTAAAGTTGCAGCAAAAATTATAGTATTCGTCAATATGATCCTCGGATCAAACCAAAAATGAGTATGTAAAATATAAAAATGCATCTAGGTAAAATTTCATTTGAATGTTGTATATTCGTGAAAATTTCATTTTTATATGATTCTCAAATGCGAAAGGTGACACTTTGCAATGTTTCGAGAACAGTGCAAAAACATGCGCTGGAATTGCACACAAGTTTTTCTACAACTGCAGCACTCTATTTTCCTCATCATAGTTGTAAAATTTTCCAGACACACATTATTAGCTATTATTTTTTCGAAATGCTCAATCTGATAGAAATGATCCCTAAAGCGGATCCGTATTCTGTAAATCCGATTATTCCTACTACAACTGAAGTAACGCCAGTTTTAGCTGGACTAACCCGACTAACTAAACCAAAGAACTGGTTAATTTACCTAATAAATAAAATAAAAAATACCACATTTTTTAACACAAGCTTCTATTCAGCTGTTTATAAAATGAACTAAAAATTCAAATTTTTTCGATTGGAAATATTTAAACGATAATGAAACTCCATCTCAAGTTTCAAGCAGTGACCAAGGAAATTTTCAATCGCTATTCAGCGAATGCCGCCATAATGGATCTAGAATGGTGTCGCTTTGCTTATTAAGCTTTTCATCAAACTCTAGGGGTGATATTAATAAACGCCATCTTGGATTTGGAATGGCGTGATTTTACTTATTACGTTTCTCTCATCAAGCCCTTCGATTTCGTACCCATCTGTTAGAGATGACTATAAAAAATGTAAATTACCATTTCGCGGCGGCTGCCATATTGGATTTAGAATCCCGCCACTATGCTTATTGTGTTTCTCACATCAAGCCGTTTCATTTGATACCTATATCATAGGGGTGACTATGATAAATATAAGCGCCATCTTAGAGCGGTTGCCATATTGGATTTGGAAAGACGTCACCTTGCTTATTGCGTTTCTCTCATCAAGCCCTTTTATTTAGTACCCATATCATAGGGGTTACTTTAAAAATGTAAATCGCCATTTTTCGGCGGACGCCATATTGGATTTAGAATGACGTCACTTTGCTTATTGCGATTCTCCCATCAAGTTTTTTTATCTGACAGCCATATCATAGAGGTGACCGTGGAGAATGTAAACCGCCTTTGTTTTGCAGCCACCGCCATATTGTATTTGGAATGAGGTCACTTTGCTTATTGTTTCTCTCGTCAAGCGATTTAATTTGATACCTATCCAATAGGGGTTACTTTGGCAATGATGAAACGCCATTTCGTAGCCATATGGGATTCAGAATGGCGGAAGTTAATTTATTTTGTATTGCCACACAAACCAAACGAGTACAAAATTTCTTCTTAATTGGTTAAGGTTAACTGGTTCAAAATTCAGTTCCAAGATTTGTCATACTCATACGTGCTAACAACAAGGCATGTCAAACAGAAGCTTGTTAAAATAACAACTTCATTCGAAATCAGTAGCTTCGATTTTACAAAATACAAAACACTCATCGCAGTTAATTTAAAAGAGGTGTTCCATCGTTGCTCCGACCGCTGCTAACAAGCAGTTTTTGTTTTTCCTAATAAAAAGACGATCTATCCATTTCGTCGCTTTAGAGTGATGAAACTGTCAACAATCAGTTCTTAGACGACATTAACTCTGCGTGTAGGACTGATGCGAGCAATAATACTCATTTTGTCCGCATGTAGACAATATTATTCCCTTCACCACCTTCGAAAGGTATCTGAAACTTGTTAGATACAATGTCTGGACCATGATTACACTACACTCGTGTGGAGAGAACGGTGCCATTATTTTTGCTTCCGACTGTACACTATTTTTATTCTTTATTTGCTAGCCATAGGTCTGCTTACAGAGCATTCATTTTTACATGCCTAATTATAGCAACAAGCTAATCCAAGCTATTCAAATTCATTCCCTAATAAAAATAATACAGAAGAAAAGCATAGCAAGATTGACTTGAATCCAGAAGCAAAATATGGGTATTGAGTAGGTACCTAATTTAATTTTCAACAAAACTACTAATTAGTGGCTATGGCTCAAAATAGGTGAAAAATCAAAAACCAAACCAACAAAATACTCAAGCAATAAATTGGCATGCTTCCACAAAAAATAAAACAAATTACACACCTAAATTGTTGACATCCATGATTATTTATTTATATTGTCAACTGATAAACAGCGGTTCCCTGATAATGATGAGCTGACGGTTTCTCCGGTTTGTTTATCGTGATCTCGTTTATTTTGAGCATGAATCAGAGTCTATACAATTTTTATCAAGTGCATCCATACCTTATGAAAATCTACTTAGAATTCGTTACGAAAACTTTCAAGGTCATCGTGTTAGCACACTCGATTATTCAATGCTTTTATGCCAACAAACAGACGTTGCATAGCCGACACACAACACAGTCACTTGTTGAATTCCAACTTTCACCGAATACTTTTCTTGTGATTCGACACTTTGAGGACATCAGAGACACGGAGAGAGCGTTTGATCACAAACTCGCACGTAAACATGGACAAACTGAGAGCACGACGGTAGAGCGCTCCGTTTTACCGCACGGTAGCCGCTGGATTATTTTAAGAAATGATGACCAAACGTCGATTCGCGGAACCCGCGCGAATGTTTGCGTTCATTGGTCGAACCGGTGCGATCACGTGCGGAAAGTCAGGCGCGCAAGTTTGAATCGTGCGCTGCCACCACCGATAGTCTAATAAACACTGAAAACTAGTTGGTGGATGGAGCGCGTCCTGGAGAGCGTGCAAGGTTGCCGGGTGGTTCGCTATGTTTTGAAATTCCCTTTGAACGCACAAGAATATCAAAAAGTTATTTTATTTTTGCGCTAAATTATTTTTTATAGTAGGAATAGACGATGCGAACAGTGCCACCACCTCACGTCATTTAAAGGTATCCGATAAAATGAAAATGAATTATCGTCGTATGACGCATCAGAATAGTTGTTTCTTTAAGTAATCCTATATTTCACATTGCAGGTAGTAGAAGCGTCTTATCCCTCCAATGCACTTGTATTTAACATGAAAAATATAGTCATTAGCTGGATAATGCCGAGTGATACCTAGGCTCAGTCGGATTGGGTGTGCTGCTATCACCACCCTAATATTCAAAGCAAAAATATTCATAATTCTCAACCATCTTAAATCCGCCTCTGTAACACTGCAGGGTTATTTTGTTATATGTAAAACCGTGCTTTTTCCATAAAAGTTCATTTAATTTGAATCGACGGAATTTATGATTAGTCATCAGTTGAACAGCCTCAGAAACTCAGAATGTCAAAATATGAAAAACACTCACAATCAAATGGAAAAGCCACGGAACAGTGAAATGCCTTGAGGCAAACTATGTGATCTGGCAACGGGGCAACGGCACGACGAGGCGCCTTGGCGCTTCATTAGTCCAGTCAGTTTGTCAACAGAAAAGCAACAGTTTTAGTTTTAAGGAATCAATGCTTACGGAAGAGTGTGCAGGAGAAGGTATGTGGCAAATAGAATTATTGAATATACGAATAGCAAACATCGAGTAGCAAAGGAAGAGGTAACGATGATCTTACAGAGAGCAGATACAAAAAGTCAGGATCGACACTTTTTAATGACACCAACTTTTCAATTTGCTACATTAAAAAAAATTACATAGGGACTGTTTTTTTTAGATGGGTTCTACAATTTTTTTTAATATCTGTGTAGTGGAAAGTTGGCCCATAAACTGCAATGTATTTTCATTTTCGCCTGAAACATCTTTTGACTGTGTTATGTCTTGATAAATCAGAGACCTGGTTTGAAGTATATATCACTTGCTAGAATCAGATGAAACATACCCAAATCTATCACCACCTATAACATACTGACATATCCAAAGCACTCCAGTTCCATGCTATTCTATATTCATGTGATTAGAGCGTAAAGAGGACGCTTATTGTCCGCAGCGTGAAATTGGAGCCCAAGGCGTGACGCGACGCAGGCTCTAACACTCAAAGGGGCATAAACGCTTATTGCACCTGAGATAGGGAAAAAGCGGGACAATTTAGCAGTGAGGAGATATTAACCAGTAAATATTAGCCACCCGCAGCAACTTAATGTGACCTTGAGATACTACAAACGTGTCCTTTGCACCCACCTGACAAGATGGCTTAAGTCACTTCGGTTTAAATGTTACAGGGGAACGCCTGATAAGTAAAAAAATAATTTCGTGTTGATCCATTCATATTCCCATATCTACGACTAGGTCTCACTTGTTCAAGGCTAAGTATAAATTGATAGAATGGTTCTTACTGTTAAGTACTGAGACAGCGAATATTTATGATCCCTTTTAGTTTTTTTTAACTGCGGGTAATGATGGCAATAGGTTAATTCTACACGAAACTGTGTGCGCTTATGTGAAAGACTATTATATCACCGATGAATAAATAAGGACGGTTCATGTGGTCGCCACATTGCTTCACCGTCCTACGGCGTGAAGGTGTTCGTGGCAAACGCCAGGAATAGCAATACATAGAGTAGGAGATTTCATCGCCCAGAAGAAAGAAAAAACTATGTTTGAAAAAATATATACGTATTTGAATATTATACAGTGAGGCATGGTTTGAAAATATCTATAAGTACCAACCAACCAACGTCATCGACAAAAGGACCACTCGGTCATCCTCAGTATTTTGCGTTTTGGGAAAATTCATCAATACGGATCGTTCCGTGTAGGAGATCACATATTATGTTTATAGTGCTGTAAATTATCATTTTGCAATTTTGGAAATAATCACTTGATGACGGCACGAATGTTCGCACCAGAGCTGAATCCATTATATTTGGCTACGTCACAGATGAAGCGTAATTTCCATGCTACGTGGAACAGGTTGTGTAGAAAGTACCGTATATCGTGTACTGACACGGATTGCTATGCTCATTTCGGAAATGGAGTTAATTAAGGATCTTATTATTCATTTTATACATATTATTTACATACATCTGAATATTGATAGCTTTATAACTATTAGATTTCAACAAACAGACTAGTTAGTGTTATCCACTATTGTCTACTTCAAAATGAGAGAGGATGGGGTGAGCAAAATCCCTGTCATATTTAAACATTTTTCTATAGTGTCGTCAATACATCTAGTATGGTAGTCATATCAGAGTGCGTCAAATAGATTGAGAACAATAACTGTTTAATGTACGGATAAAGCGCAGTTATATCTATTCTCTTTATCGGATAAAAAACTGAAGTGCTTGCCATTTCAAAATTCACTGCCACAGCATCACTAACTGACACAATTTAAACGCAACTACTACCAATGTATATTGAAGCGGCAGGTACAAGGTATGTACCTGTTCCTAATCCAGATCATATCACAGGTGTCTAAATCTACCTACCTAAATCATTAGGGTAGGTACCTGCTAAATACCCATATAAATGATTGAAACTGTTACCCATTTTTGTCAAAACCATAATCAGGTAGGTATTTTCGGACAAGTATTTTCATGGAATTGACAGTCAATTTATCATTGTCCATTACTAATTGAAGGTATTTATGCATGTAGCATGTATTATTATTTTTGATATTATAGTAGTAACATATTTATAACAAATTTTTGCCACCGTTTTCTGACTTCTGTGGTTCTTCTCCCTTCTTGTGCTGATACCCCTTTTTTCTCCAGAATCTTTTCTATTTTCCCAAGGGCCTCACCAGATAATGGCCTGGGGGGGGTCAAGTTCATACGATGAACGAGAAATGTATAAATTGTAGGTAAAGTGAATAGCACATCAAATTTTACACGTGTAGTATGATGATTGTGATAAGAACAGTATAAAGTCCAATGATGTCACGTGCCAAAATCATGTAACCTTTTTTTCACTATTTTGATAACTTACTAGTAATTTGAATTCCTCTTTATTAATGGTAGAGTGTAAATTCCTAGGCCAAACCCTTTTCAATGATTTTCTTTTGGTAAATTTATTTATTATATTTATTATTAAATTTTACACGTATATTGTTCTTTCTCAGTGATTCCGTATTGTGTTGAAAAAAAACTGTGGAATTTCACGGTTATTTGGTTTCCTATCGAACATATCTTCTTCAAAGAAACTCATTGAACCTTCCTTTATAAAGTTGGGTGTTTCGTGTCATTTGTTCAACTTCCAGATTCTGGGAGATTAGGTGCCGAACACCAGTTTGTGGAGTAGTACCCCTTCATATTGTACCTTGCGTTTAGTTGTTTTGGTTTGGGTGGTACCCCGTCCATTTTCTTATGGGTTTTATAATCTTCAGCGTGGGAAGGCATTGCGGAGAACAACCCTCCAGCTTTGTTTGTAGCTGTTTTGCAGCTGATATTGTCGGTCCAGGTTTCTGTCCCCCCATAGAAATTTAATGCAGACTTAAGCCTTCAATTGATTTCAATTCCTCCTCTTCCCTTATATTCCAGAGTACACTAAAGCCTTCCGAATGGCAGTCTAGGAGATATGGTTCTATTCTTTCAAGCAATTTGTTAAGCAAAATCCTTTCATACAATTTAAAGATCACACTGAGCAAAGAAACACCCGTTTAGCTCTCGCACAATTTCTTATCCCCTTTCTTAAATATCGGTACGATTATGCCTATCTCCCACTCTTTCGGTATTTTACCCTCACTCTAACAGTTTCTATACATAGACAATGAGAATAACAGCCCTTATTTCCCAGTGTGTTCACCATCCCAGGTTTTATGTTGTCGTTACCTGCGGCGTTGCCGCTTCTAATCTTTTTAACTGCTAGCATGAGTTCTTCTATAGTCAACGCCAAACAAAGTGGCGTGCACGTCATCAAGGTGGGTGTGTTGAAAAATTTACATTGTTGCCAAACTTTTTGTAAAATAATAAAATTTATTATTTACATATCTAGGTTTATAAGCAATATTAACCTCAAATGAGAACAAAAATAATAGTATAATAAAATTATAGATCTGTACTTGCATAATCATTAAGTATGACAATTATTGATCAGATGACACTATGAAACTACCATATTTAATTGATAGCTTAAAGGTACTGAATAAAAATCCAAATGGGGTCCTCCAAATTTTATGCATGGTATTTATTTTACAGAATTCATACAGAAAAATGCATTCTAAAATTAGGTAAGCTACTGGTGTAAGCTTTTTCTGTACAATAAAGTTAGTCGGAGTTTCTTTCTTCAGCGCTGTCTGAATCTGAATCTTCATCACTCTCAAAGTTGATTATTAAAGGTTCGATGTCTGGTCGATCAAAAATTCGTTCTCTTTCATACCATTTAAAAATTTCTTGCTCAGTATGTCGAACACTATTTTTCCACATGTCTGGGGTAACCGTTTGTAGAGCCTCGTTCCACATATCCAAACAGTCTTTTTCACTGTTACCATCTCTACCAATATGTCTGTTATAGTAACCTTTTGCTATGCCCCAAATTAACTCAATAGGGTTAAATATACAATGGTAAGGAGGCAGACGAAGAACTTTGTGCCCATGTTGTTCCGCCAATTCATCAATCACGTATATTTTAGGTGGTTTGTTTCTAAAAAAGCAGTTATTTTAAGAATAGGCATAAACAAAAGAAATATAAACTGTCGACCAAAATATATATAATTAAGAAGCATTATGTACCGAGCAACAATACTCAATAGCTCTGTTTTAAACATTGTGTTTAAAAATGGTATGTTTTGATTTGTCAACCAGTCTTGGATATTTTTTTTTGTCCATGCATTGTTGGGCACTTTGTTCAATATCATGCTGTGATAAGGGGCGTTATCCAGTATATTGATGGACTCTCCAATTTTTCTAATAACTGATGTTGAAACCATTTCAAAAAATTGTCCTGGTTCATCTCTCCATGGTAATCGCTCAATTTTGTTTTCGAAGAAAATATCGCTTCACTACCCTCAATAAACCCATTTTCATTTCCAGCATGTAATATAATGTATCTAAAATATATTAGTTTTAAATTTTATAGTGCAAATTGTGTAAAAGTACATACCTTTTACCATCTGTTTTAATAGCTTTCACGCTTTTTTGGTTTCCATTTTGCCAAGAGCGACCTATGGTCCCATTTTGAAATATCCAAGTTTCATCGAGGAAGACAAACTGGTATAAGGCCTCAACCTTGGCTTGATTGTATTGCCTTAGAAATTCCACCCTTTTCAAAGCTATACTTGGTAGTTCCATGAGCCCTCGTCGCGGATTGTCCTTAAGACACTTAAATCCAAGATCTCTAAGCAACCGCCTTAAAGACGTGGCACTACCAACAAATAATGCCCTATCTCTTAATCGAGACCATAAAGTTTGTATCGTAACTTGTTCTTCTGAAACCATGTGTAATATGACATTATAATTTAGTTAACAAATTAATGCAAATTTCTGATAAGTTATTATAATAAGATCTTACTTTTGTGATACATATTATAGATCACTTCTCGAATGGCACTTGTATCCAATGTCGCTGTGTTGGTTACACGTTTAATATAACTCCGCTTTTTCTTGGGCGATTCTAAATTTGCATCACTTTGCACATTTGCACCGACTATTTAACTGTTTGGGCATCTTTATATACCAAAATTGCCTTTATCTACTCGTAAAATGAATAATTTTGTTTTGAAACAAACAGTTGTTGATTTACAGTATGCGGGGCCAAAGGATTTATAAAGATTTGAAATGCCACAAATTGATTCAGTGTCAAAATTAATACAAATGTCAGTTCCCAGTTTAAATAAGTTTCAAGGTGACAATGTGTCAACGTTGCGAAATCGGTTTAGTGCGTTTACATGTCGATAAGTGATTGGAGCGTTTGCAAAACATTTTATTTCGCATAATGCGTCTAAATTTATCAGAAAGCAACTTATGTGATATTTTAATAACAATGTTTATATGACTATTAACCATAATAAGAGAGTAATGACCAATTTACAATTTATATATCACATTAATATGAAACTGCAATAGAGCAATTGTTTATGATAGAAACCTAGGCATTAGGTCGGGGAATTTTTATCGTAATGACGTGCACGCCACTTTGTTCGGCGTTGACTATAGTTCATCTTCATTGGCCTCTATACTTGTCGCTCCTGCCTGGTCCATGTCTTAGCCGTTTGTGTTTATATCCCCTCCTGGCAAAGTCTCAAAATATTCCTTCCCTCGTATTTTAATGACTTCTTCTGTGTTAGGTAACCTCCCTGATTTATCTTTGACCTGCATTATATTGCTCTTTTCCTGTCTCTTCAAGGTCTTTAGTAGGTACTCTATAAAACAATTTTTGACTTCCATCCTCTCTCCAAATTCTTGCCATCATCTCTGTTTGGCTTCCCGTACATTGTCGTTTTATTATAATAAAATTTAAGTTATTAAAAGGATAATTCAATTCAGAGTGAAAAGCGTATGAGCAGATCTGCATCCTCGAATTTTTGTAATCCGACGTACGGTTTTCTCCAGAAAAATAAAATCTAGTTCTCTGCATGGTGATATTCTTATATTAACGATATTATCGTCATACAGTGAAACGGCTTTTAGTACCGCTTTATACATATTACATGTATGCCAAATTTTATTGAAATATCTAAAGTGGTATCTACAGAGAATAATAAGTTATTTATTTTTGTAAACTTCGACACACTGTATATCAAAAGTTTTTTTTCATATGAAATTTTGTTCTAAAAATGGACCTAACAATCACCCCCTTAAATATTGACATTCAAGAAACACCTTGTATACAGTATTTCGTAACTACGCCCTGTATGTGGAAAAATAAAGCATATGAAAAACTTAGACAGCCGATACCAACCATACGTCAAAATATACATATTGAATTTTGATTCTGGTAATGCTAAAATGGATCCTTCCTTAACTACTGTGGGCGATGACAGTGTAGAAGAATTTTTTACCCCCAAAGTTGGCGGAGAGGGAGATGGGCAGCAAAGAGGAAGAATTCAGAAAATCCAAAAAAGAGTCCCTATGTCGTCCGCCTTAAAATTCCGGGCAAAAGCTCAGTACAGGGAAACCATGAAAGATACACTGGAAGTCGCACTGACTCAAATTCAAAGCAAAACTAAGCTCGCACCAAAGATTCATAATTGTTTGGTCAAGTCACGATCGATTGCGGAGATAACACCAACCAAGAGTAAAGCAAAGGGAAGGTAAAGACTGCTTCTTTGTTTCACAGCATAACTTTGTAGTACATTCGCAGAGCTATACTTATTGAGTGACAAAAAAAGGTAAGCACCTACATACGTATCTTACCATGAACAACAAGTGATAAAATGGTCAGGTTTTTATGTTAAGTTTTTGTGGTGGCTGCGCGTATTTGGTGATAAAGAAGCATTCAGTTTTCGTACATTTACGGTATCAGTTAAATGTAATCGACCACCTTAAGGTTGATTCTCACTATACATTCCGTTTCCATTCCCTAACCGTTCCGTAAATTATTGAAATTAAATACTCGCCTTCGCTTAAAGCAGGCTTTTGAGTGTGTATGCACATTATCCGTAAGGTACACTGTGTATACGTATATAATAACATTGTACGGAACGTTTACGAAACTGATATGGAATGGAAACGGAATGTATAGTGAGAATCAACCTTTATCAGCACGAAGCCCAGGCGTGTCAATGAGTGTATAAGAAATCGTGGATCCTCAACATATTATTGAACCAGTTTCTGCAGCCAGTTGACGAATCAAGCTGAAAATTTAATCATTTTAACTAGTAGGGGACACTGAACATATATGCCAAAAATTATTACAATCGGATAAACATACGTAGGTGTTGTTCACCTTGTTTGTCACTCAGTATATTTACTCTTATAGAATATTCCGAAATTTGGCCAATACAACACAAAAAGCTAGGTAACAGATTTCTATAAAAATGCTTACCGGACACTACTGATGTGGGGATTTCCACAGGGTCCGTCAGAAAGAACGCATGTTTTTCCAATGGGTACTACATCGAGTGGGCTGGTCCCGTGTCGGTGAGGAAGGGAGTGTTGGGTAGTGGGAGAAGTGCCGTTTCAGTTGGCAAGATGGTTTGGAACGTTGAGCATCGTGTGTTCACTGTACGTCGGTACTTTCAAAATGGCGAGTATGTCGTTCACTTTCGTGTTCCACGTCGTGGGACGGTACCAGACCGTAACACCATTTTGAGATGGGTGGAAGCATTCAACCCCGAAAACGCAGTCAGAGTAAGAGTTGACAAGCTGCAAAGCTCGAATCGTTCCGTCCGTTTGCGTGCCAGTTCCGTAGGGAAGTTTGTCAACAATTGTTGTCAGGGGATTATGCACAACGTGTTAATTTTGCACAGCTCATGATTGAACAGTTGGATAACACTGACATGACGTTGTTTATGAGTGATGAAGCTTATTTTCATTTACATGGATACGTCAATAAACAAAATTGTCGATATTGGTCTCCAGTGAACCCCCAACAGTTGCATGAGCTACTCCTGCATACCCCGAAAGTTACAGTTTGGTGTGCAGTAGACCCAACGATGATTATTGGCCCTTATTTTTTGAGGATGATGGAGAAACTACTGTGAATACAGAGCGTTACCGTTTCCGGAACTTCGACGTCGACGTGTCCGTCTCAGAACAGTGGGGTTCCAAGAAGACTGGGCAACATCTCACACAGCTCGCACTTCGATGGAACTTCTTCGGCAAAAGTTCCCAGGACGTCTCATTTCACGTCATGGCGATATTCCATGGCCCCCTCGCTCCCCGGACCTGTCAACGTGTGATTTTTTTATGGGCTACCTGAAATCAAAAGTTTACCAAAGCAAGCCTCGGACCCTCGTCGATTTGAAGGAGGAAATAAAAATACAGAAGTAACTCAAATTCCTTTACGGATGCTGGCCGACGTAATGGGCTCATTTCGGGAGAGGCTTTATTCCTGCATTTCGGCTCAAGAGCGCCATATGGCCGACATAGTTTTTAGAACGAAAATTTTGTTTTACTCAAAAAAATGGAATGTATTTCTGAGTATTTTGATATATTAAAATATTTTTTCCCATACTTATTTTGATTGTTGACATTTAAAAAACATGTGTTCTTTCTGACGGACCCTGTATTATTCTGGAAAGTATTTCGCATATAATGGTGCTCTTGAAACACTCTTCCCTGACTTCGTTTGATGGAGATTGAGTAGTCTTAACCCTTTATTGCTGTTTTTTTATATCTTGTATAAATATCAATAAATGGCCATGCTAGGTTGTCAAAAAATTGCTAATGGTAATGTGTTTCATCTCTTGCGCCGAGGAGCCATATTGTTTTTAATTATCGATGGCAACGATACATCGATGTATCGAAAATATCGATACATCGGACGTACAGTATATTCAGATAAGAGATAGACCGGATGTAAACAAAAGGTTCGGGTGATTTTCACGCTAACGCCGCCGTCTCGACGTAAAACAGGAGCCCTCATTGGTCAATTCGCAATTAAATGCCTATGCCGAGCGGCAGAGCAGTCGTATCAAGGCAGAGTCACATTCAGGTTCAGACGTGTTACGTATGTCGTGTGCATCATTGCAATTTGATATTTCTTTGGACGTTTTCGTTTGTTATCTTATTAAGTTGTTGAGTTTGTCGTTGTTATTGTTATACCTTGTTATTGATTGTTATTGTTATCAACTGCTTGCGCAAAATGCCCAGTAGTACAGATACTGCCGATGAAGTTGTAAACTCCTGTAGTCCACCTAGGAAACGCTCTAAAAAAAGACACCTGAGCGCAGAAATGAAAGAGGCCATTTTGAATATATATAAGATCGAGCGCGAGGAGAACGAGGCATCAACCATCAAAGAAATTGTTGTGAAGGTTTCTCACAAAGTTGGGGTGTGTCGCGCATCAGTGTTTAATGTGTTAAGACAATACAAAAAAAATCACACCTTTTCTGAGCCAATGGCCAGTAAACATCGCAAAAGTATTGTTAAATCATTGGATGAAGCTGATAAGCATGCGATTAGGAGGAAAGTGCATGAATTCTTCTTTAGAAATGAAATACCTACTATAGATAAAGTACTGCAGGAGGTAAATGGAGATACAACGTTGCCAAATTTCAAACGATCAACTTTCCATGCGTTACTGAAGCATTTAAATTTCAAATGGAAAAAACGGGGTCGTAATAGTTTACTACTGGATAGAGAAGAAATTGTGCTATGGAGGAGGGATTATTTAACAAAAATTGGGAAATATAGAAATCAAAACAGGAAGATTTATTACCTTGATGAAACGTGGGTAAACGCAGGACACACTACAAGTAAAGTATGGGTTGATGATTCTGTAACTTCATCCAGGAGGGCCTTTCTAGATGGACTGTCCACCGGATTAAAAATCCAGCAGGTAAATACGAGTAATAGACAACAATCGGATGTTTTTCAAACCTTGGGAACAAGGTTCTAAACATTAATTCCAGGGGGCAGATAAAACATATTACAAGTAACAAAACTTTTATAACTTTCGATAAAATGCGTGGATGTTTTATTGTCATTTTCATTTGTTAGAACTTTTTTAAGCCATGTTTTTATGTGTTTTCGATATCTCAATAATTTTTTAATATAATCTTAAAATATGTCGAATATTATAAACTTAAAAAAAGTTACTAAGTTTTATATTGTGTACCGTTCCTAATATTTCTAATCATTTTAATTCATACTTTAAGCTTTATAAAGTTATAATTTGTTAATATTAATATTTGCGCGTATTTCAGGTTCCTGATCATTCATTTTTTAAAGGTTTATAACTTTAAATTAAATTGTGAAGCGCTGAGTAATCATACGACGTTCAATATTCTTTCTTTCAATATGACTAAATAATCCCAATTATAGCAATCTGATACTCATGTCTCAATGTTTTTTCGCTGAATGTGATGAAAACATTTGAAAAAGGTTCGCTTATTGAAATAAATCTACACCAGTTAGTACTTCGATTTCCAGGTAAAGGGAAAAGGCTCATTATCTGCCATATTGGCAGTGAGGATGGATTTGTTGTTGACGGTCTGTGGTGCTTTGAGTCTAAGAAAACTGGAGATTACCACGAGGAAATGAATGGCGAATCGTTTGGACAGTGGTTTTCAAAAATTTTACCGAACTTAGAGGAAAACGCAGTAATTGTGTTGGATAATGCGCCTTATCATTCTCGAAGAATGGAGAAGGTCCCAACAACGGCTTCAAGGAAAGTTGATGTTCAAAATTGGCTCCGCTCGAAAAATATTAACTTTGAAGAAGCAATGCTGAAAGTACAATTATTAAGAATTGTCAAGGATCACAAGGCGGAATATCAAAAATACGCCATTGACGAAATGGCAGCAAGTCAAAATAAAACTGCTCCGTTTACCTCCATACCATTGCGAGCTCAATCCCATTGAGCACATATGGGCAGAGGTTAAAAATTATATAGCTAAGCACAATACAACTTTTAAATTTTGTGACCTCAAAGGACTTTTCAAAGAAGCACTAGAATTAATAACAGCGCAAAAATGGGAAAACTGTATTAAGCACGTGAAAGACAAAGTTGAAAAGAGAATGTGGGAACTGGACAATATTTTAGAGGAACAAGTCGAGCCATTCATTATTGACGTTGGTGCTTCAGGCAGTAGCGATGATGAAAGCTCATCAAGCTCATCTTTCCAATAAAAGATGTCGTTCATCAAATTCGGTAAGTTATAAGTAATTATAAAGCTACTGTATTTTTTAATTAATTATTGACATTTTTGAACCCATTTTGGCAAAACCTATTCAAGAATCTACTTTCTGACAATGTTCAACCATGCACATTTTTTTACGTTTTGAACGTTTTAATTTGGTTACATATTTACCTAGAAATAAAAAAACACAGTAATCAATATTCTAAAAGCAATTTTAAGAGATATACGATTATTTTTAATTTAGGCTAATTTAAACGCCATTTTGAGATTATATTCGACTGTATTTCATCAAACATCAGGCGGCATCCGAAGCTGGAAATCGAAGCGAAAATTTTGAAACCCTTATGTATATTTACATCATTATATATTTCTTACCCCACCTCCACATGATCCTATATCCATCACCAATCGTATACACATCGAATTGTGCTAATTTACTACAAAGTTACGCAAAGCAGCATCTACTATCTAAAATATGTACTGCGTGACTCTTAATACGTCCCTGCCGAATGTTACAGCGTTCGATGATCACGTGGTCTTGTTTATGTCCGGTCTATCTCTTATCTGAATATACTGTAGAACATCGATGGTTTTATGACGATATATCGATTTATCGACATCGAAAGGATCATAAACATTGGTATACCCCGAGTATATCCTTAACTGTGATACCATCTCTAAGCGAGGACTGATGGTAGCTTCTAAATTGAAAGCCCAGAAAGCTGTTTAGTAGTATCTCAATATTATCATTACAAACGTGAGATGGATGTAGTCTTTTCTTTATTCTGTACTTCCCCAAGGGATTTAATAAAATAAACTGAAAACAGCGCATTTACGCATTTAATGATTTCAGGTTCTTTTGATTATTTTATTGTATGTAGTTGTATTGTCGCTCTTTTATTGTTAATTAATCGAAATACCACGAAAAGGTGATGTGTGGAAGTAGTTTAAAAAACGCTCTTCAACTTGTGCACAGTGTAAAGTATTTAATGATCATCAATGTGTTCTTAATTTTGACAATCTCATATCTTGCAGTTTCCTATCATCATACTTTTTTACTGATGTATATTGCAGTCGATATCCTTCTTTCATCCTATCGTGAAGTTGCTGTTGCGTTTTTCATTCTTATTTAATGGTTCTGAAATCGAGAAAAAAAAACGCGGTGGGAATTCCACCAACGGATAAAATGCTCATTCCGCTAAAACCGATAGCAATCGATGAATTCGTTGCTGAATTGAAAGCAGAAAACGTTAAAAAGAAGAGTTGTTTCGATACATCGATGGATTTGTTCCGATGTATCGAGCTCCATCGATGTTTGTCCAAACATCGATGTTTTCTAACAAATTGCCATCCCTATTGTTAATTCATAGCACAAAGGAACATAAGGCTATCTCACTAGCAAAAATTTCTACGACTTCTCGCCTCATAAAGGCCTTCTTAGGTAGCCAATAATGTAAACATACACCCCTCCGCCCGGGGACACTACTGCGACATGCGACGCGACGTTGCCGTCCGGTGCAAAAAAGAAGACTGAGGGTGGTACCAGACGAAATGGGATAAGAGGGTGGCAGGACGTTTTGGTCGTTCGGACAAAATTAGGGATACTATACAGCTTTATTTACGTGAAGAGAACTTCATATAATAATTGCATACTAGGACTATTTTCAAAAAGCCCCATCCTTCAACGGAGGATATATAGTGTGTACGTGCGATAAAAGTATATCTATAACCGTATAGGAGAGGCTTGAATTTATTCTTATACGTGCGAGTTGCGCTTTTTTCTCTTTACGGCGCACATATTGGACGTATTGGTTAATTCTTGCCATGTCCACCAGATCAATATTATTGGTATGATCGGTTTTGATAAAACTGATGTATTGAAACTGAAATGGAAAATAAAAAACATGACATATTTAAAATGGCTAACATTTGTTTAGTCGTCCTGTGCACGTAACCCCCTTAAAGATATCGACGCTAGGGGGTGATGCGGTTGTAGAAGACACCACAATTCATGCGACTCCACGACGCCCTGCGGCACAGACGTCGACACTCCCAAGGAAATGTGACAGAAGATGGGTAGAGTGTCGTGTACAAAAGAGGCTCCTGTTGAAGGCCTGGAGGAAGAGACGTGTGGATAGGGATGAAGCTGCCAAGAAGGCGGAAGGGTTGAAGGAACAGGTATAGTGATTAGGATACATTTCCTTAGAGCCTGCAAAATGTGGTCGATGTCCGAGAGTGAAACACCCCACCATGTAACATTAAAATGACGTCAAATAGGTTGACTCATTCAATGAATGACGTGATTTGGTGGACTAGTACGAGCCCCTTCCCACTTCAGTTGGCCCACTTCAAGATTTGTACCAAAATATGCCTTTATGAACTAAACATGACAAAACTATTTACTTTTAACACAATTTATTTTCTCAAAAACATTTTAGATACACTCTAGTCGAAAAAGATACATATTTGAAATCACTTAGACCTATAACTAATAGAACATCTGAACAAATAAACAATGTGCGAATAAATGCGCGAAGTTATCAAAGCAACGATTGAAAGATTACCAATGGGTAACATCACCTTTATTTTTTATTACGGCTGAAATTCTTTGGGGCATAGTGTTAACCAAGTTTTGGCAAAAATTTGGTGTAAAACAATCCCATATTTCTTGAAGCTTTTGTCTCAGTTCGGTGATTGTACGACCAGGATGTGGTCGTAGAACCACAAAGTTTCAATAGGTGACAGATCTGGAAACCCATTTCAAAAGTGGTACATTATTTTCTTCCATCCATTTTATAGCCTTTTTGAGGTATGGCACGCTGCACCATCTTGCTGAAACACAAAATCTTGGCCGGATGTCAAACATTCTTCCATCACTGGTAAAAGCGATTCTTCTAAAATTGCCAATTATTTGTTTGTATCCACATTTCCATCAATAAAATGAAGTTTTTCTACTCCTTTTGATGACATACTGCCCCAGATTATAATGGAGGCTGGAAATTTCACTTTTCTCTTCAGACAGTCAACATGGATTGCTTCATTTTTTTGCGAATAACTCTACTGCGACTGTCACCAACACAAACTTCGAATCGGGCCTCATCACTCCATTGAATTGCACACCATTGTTGAGGTGTCCATTTTCTATGTTCTTTAGCCCGTCTAAGCCGATTTTTCTTTTGCAGTGGAATTAATAGTGGCTTTTCTTTGGCCTATAAACAAGTTGTGCAACTTTAGGGTTTTTACTTCACTTTTTTTATAAGAGAACTTACCTTGCAAGTGTTAAATCCCAGTATGTGGGCCTCTCTATGAGTTGTGAACCTCGAAATTCTCCTTCCAACAGCGTCACTCCACATAGCACTTAATTGTAAATAATTGGCACGCCTGTTTTTCACGATTATTCTTCTTAATGCTCTTCGGTCGGCATTTGTGATATTACTTTTTTTCACATATCGTGGCTTAATATTAACTGAATCAGTTACGTTATATCTTGTAACAATATTTCTCACACTGTACCGCGATAAGTCTAACAAAGCTGCAATTTCTGAGTTTTATTTCCCAGAATTAAAAAAATTAATTATCATTAACCGAATTTTCTCACTAATAACCTTTCCTCTACCCATTTTGAGAACCTTAACTACCCAAAACAATTTTCTGACAGCTGTGATTAATAAAAACAATTGTCATGGCTTTTATTTTTCACAGCCACCTATGCGTTATAGACTTATTTTGCATTGAAATGAAAATATGTTGATATGCTGTAATTGCAACATGTGTTATTTTTATGCTGCAAATTTGATTAAGGAGTGATAAAGTTGGAGTTTTCTACTATATATACTAAGTGACATATAAATCCGAACACCCAGTTTAAATGGTTTTATTTTAATAAAAGTTGGTGAATGTATTTATCTTACTGTAAATAACAGCCTTATCAGTTGGACATTCCGGTTTTTATACTGCTTTTTTTTAATTCACTAACGCTCTAAAAATGAATATTTCAGCCTCAGTAAAGAATCAACGTTGGCGGATTTTGGTTCTTGACATCCTTTACGATCGGTTATGATGCCTAGAGTACGGAGACCTGTACGATTTCGTCAACTTAGTGAGTTTGATAGGGGCCGTATAGTGGGACTTCGGGAAGCTGGACTTTCTTTTCGGGCAATTGCAGTTAGAGTGCAAAGAAGTGTAGACACTGTGGTTAGGTGTTATCAGGCATGGCTTCGAGAAGGCCGTACGCAAAGAGCAAGGGACACTGGACGCCGCCGTAGAACAACAGACCGTGAAGATCGCCGCCTAAGATTATTGGCCTTAAGGGACCGTTTCTCCACTACCAGGTCCATTGCAAATGAATGGTTTGCAGAACATGGTAGACCTATTGGCATGCGAAGTGTTCACCGACGAATGAGAAGTTTTGGCTTGTTTTCATACCGGCCACACTGGGTCCTCCCTTTAACTCGAGAACACCGACGTAATCGCCTTGAGTGGTGCAGACAACGGTCACTCTGGGATCAGGAATGGAACAGTATTGTCTTTAGTGACGAGTCTCGATTTTGTTTAGGCATGCACGATGGTCGTGCCAGGGTTAGAAGGCGACGTGGTGAAAGGAGGAATCCACAGTTTTTTGTTGAAAGACATGTTCATCACACTGTTGGAGTTATGGTTTGGGGTGCTATAGCTTATGGTTCCAGGTCACTTTTAATCTTCATCAGAGGTAACATGAACGCGCAGCGTTATATCCACGAAGTTCTAGAACCCCATCTTTTACCCTATCTTGACACCCTGGCAGATCCAACTTTCCAACAAGATAATGCCCGACCACATGTTGCAAGAGTCACAATAGACTTCTTTCAACATAATGATGTCACATTGTTACCATGGCCACCAAGATCTCCCGACTTATCCCCAATTGAGCACGTGTGGGATATGATGGGTAGAAGATTGCTCAATTTGCAACGTCCTCCTCAGACTCTAGAAGCACTTCGAGAGGAGTTGGTGGTTGCCTCGAATGAGATACCACAGGAGGACATTGACCACCTGATCAGAAGCATGCCTAGGCGCGTTGGAGAATGCGTAGCACATCAGGGTGCATCCACACATTATTAAAGGTCAAAGGGCTTTAAAGCAGTGCAATCATTTTGAAATTTTTATCATTTACTTATTATGCTTCATTAATTACTTATACAAAATTTTATTAAATTAAAACCATTTAAACTGGGTGTTCGGATTTATATGTCACTTAGTATATTACCAAAATATCCATTGTTTATATTTTAAACCTATAACACCCTGCTACATTTTTATTATTTGTGTTTGATAATAAAAAAACTAAGATTTCAATAGTTAGGCCAACTGAAGTGGGAAGGGGCTCGTATACATTTGGTGTCTGCGAAATGTGGTCCATATTTCTTAAAACTTATTGACCTTCAAAATTCGAAGTAAAAGCGATATTCGGCCACTCAGACTCCTACGTGCATACAAAACCTTCCATTTCTTCCTACGACCCCTGCAATAAATTTTCTGAAAATGGTCAGTATCGTCTGAAACATCAAAAAAAAAAACGATGTTTGAGCGGCTTTATTTTTTCTCGTGTTTATGCCCCTAGCTCCGCCACCACCGAACCGAATTTCAAAAACTGCATCGTTGGCAAAGTAGTAACACTTGAGTATGAATTTCACCGAAATCCGAGCGGTACTTCTCATTTTTTAGGCGGTTATAATATTAGCGGACTGACCGACAGACACACCGGGGGAAATAAGAGACATGGGTTTTCGTGATGTGCATGTCATATAAATTTTCGCGATTACAACACTTATCCGCCAGTAGGCGTGGGCAGCCAAATACACTTCATGTCAAAATGTTTCAAACCAGCGCGCTGCCTAGAATTCGGAAGGTCAAAGGCTCGAATATTCGAATCGCACTTGTTATCTGTGAGTTACGGAGGACCTGTAATCCAGTGAAATAAGATCAATACGAGTACTTAACTTCAAACAAGATACCATTTTTAGTCAGATTGAGAAATCAGTTGGAAGTCCACCTGCAATGTCATGTGCTTCTGAGTGTTGACGTCATTTCTTCGGAGGCAAATTTGCAAAATGAGGTCATATGAAAATGTAATTTGACGCAGTAGCGATGAGGGAACTCGCAGATTACGACGATACCAAATAAAAAATTGATGCAAAATGAAGGCGAGCCGTTGTTCTCATAAAATTATAAATATTCTAGAGGACTTATCATAATTGGATGAATTATACAGGGTGTAAACGTTATGGTAGTCATTATTGAAATGGGTAATAGGGGGGTCAAAATAAGTCAAAAAGTTCATATGACCCACGGTCCAAAAGTCAATAGATTTTTGTCTAAATGGCTTTATAGCTTACAATTTTAAGTGCTTTATATCTACCACAAGCACCACAATCTTACTAATTTTTATAATGTAATCTAAAACGTTTTTAAATTGGGTAATTAACAAATAAATGACATTAAGTTTTTCTAAGTTAAGCCAAAATTTGTAGTCAGTAAGTAAGTAAGTAAGTTTCATTAAATTAAATATTTAAATCACACATGACAACAGCCCGTCGGTCATTAATCACTCTTATCGAACCGGCAATCGATCGCAAACGGTAACAGTCGTAAGTTATTGTTCACGTACGTCGTCGTATTTATTTACAATGTTCTCGAATCAAGAGTTCGCCGACATGTTAGTTTACGGTGAAGCTCGTCAGAATTCAAATCTTGCAGCTCAAATTTATCGCGATATATTTCGCCAACGGGTACACCCAGACAAAAGGACATTTGTGCAAGTGTACCAAAGACTTCGAGATACTGGAAGTGTTCAGCCCACTAATATTCGCACTCGTGAAAGACAGATTACTGTAGAGCTGGAGGAACAAATTTTAAATATCGTGGAAATCAATGCAGATATCAGCACTCGGGCATTAGGCCGCCGCGTAGGACTATCGCATACCATAGTCCATAGAATCCTACGGTAAAATTTCTTTTATCCCTACCAAGTACAACGAGTGCAGGCCTTGTTACCAGAAGACTATCCTCGCAGACTAACGTTCTGTCAGTGGTTTTTGCACAAAAACATTGAAAATCCGGATTTTTTTAAAACATTCTAGCGACGGACGAATGTACTTTTACGCGAGACGGGATATTAAATTTCCATGATACTCACACGTGGGCGCAAGAAAATCCTAATACCATTCGTGAAGGTCATTTCCAACAACGTTTTAAAATAAATATTTGGGTGGGTATTCTTGACGATCAGGTAATTGGCCCTTTCGAGTTACCCCCAACGTTGTCAGGAGAAGGATACCTTAGCTTTCTAACCAATAACCTACCAGAACTTTTGGAACAAACCTTAGACGACATGCCATTACAGCGGAGACAGAATTTGTGGTTTCTTCATGACGAGGCACCACCACACATTTTAGAGGCGTCATTCAGTATTTCAATGAACATTATCCAAATCGCTGGATCGGTCCGATGGATTTCTGGTATTGGGGAGAACTTAAAGGGGCGGTTTATGGAGCTGGTCCAACAACAACTGAAGCACAACTTCGCGAAAAAACTTCCAGGAGCTAGAGTAAGAAACAACTGGGTTCGTCGTAATGAAACTTGTGTGGAAAGTTTAGGACGACATTTTGGACACCTTTAAATATAAAAAAGGTGCAGTGTGGCTTTTAAAAAGAAAAACAATTTTTTAATACGTTCAATAAACTTTCACACACAAGGTAAAGCGCTGTGACAGTTAGTGGTAAGTCCGTTTTTTTTAATTGTTTGCAGTACATTATCAAATAATGAAATAATACCTAAGAGCCAACAATAACAAACTCCATCTTTATTTACACTGCGTTCCGTCGTAATTTGCGTCTGGCATTGCGGCGTTGTCAGATTTTATTTTACTTTTCTCTAAAAAAATACCGTTTCGACCCCCGTGTTATATGAAACTTTTTGCTCCTTTTAACCCCCTCTATCACCCATTTAAATAATGACTACCATAACGTTTACACCCTTTATATGACATTATGAGATTATGATTTAGTAGGTATATCAAGTCATGATTAAATACCTTTATCTGTTTTTATGTATATACATAGTGATCTGGTAGTATAAGTGAAACAAAGATAATATCTATAGCTGTCCTGAAGCACCTGATTTACGTTGTCTCAAGCACTACCATAAGAAAAGTAAGTGGATGGTGGTCTTAAAAGTATGACTATTAGGTGTTCCGTTAGATTTGCAAGAACATTCTTAGTATATCTTGATGAGTACCGCTTTATGCAATGTTAGGTAACACCCTCCTTTTCTTTTTTTTGCAATTTCTTCCATGATTTTACATTCTTGTGTATTTCAATAAGTCGGACTAACATTTACAGAATGCAAATCCAAGAAGACCAAATATTGAATTAGAACGTATGAATATCTTCAATTTTCCTTCTTTGCAATTTTTATTCTGGTGTTTGAACATAAACTGACGCTCATCCTACAACAGATCTCACCTGGACTATAATCTGTAAAGCCTCAAGACTCGTTGCCCTATTGGCGGAGCAGATAATATCCTAAATAAAATTAGCTTGTACCCATTAAAAGATTAATTATATTACATTGTATCTTCGTATGTGTAGACGATGAGTAAAATCGGTGGTCGTTTTTTAACGGGAAACGTCAAAAAGTCGCCAGCGGCACAGCGATGTTGATATTTATGCGGACCCTGATCGTCGCGACGCTATCGGCGCCAGCCGACGCCACCACTCCAGATCTGTCGTGTCACTATTCTGAGTCAATAGTTAAAATATAGCTGACTTAAACGATGTTCCTGCTGAAGTCTGGGTCCAGGAATAGGCGGAGCTTAATTATTTAGATACTACAAAATCTTGCATGCATGTAAAGGCGGTAATCTATGAGCTATAACGTATACTCACAATACGTGTAATCTTGCTTACGCAAAGACGAAACTCGTCCTTCTGTCAATCCACTTTGTTCCATGAGATTTCATGACATGTCATGAGTTTAGTGATTTGAAAATAATGACTGAGTGGAGGTCATCCAGAATCCGCGAGTGTTTGTAAACACGTTTTCATTCGAACAAGTTGCGGGACAAATTTTTGAAATGTGACATCTGAAATCCGAAACGTATCATGTGATTGTCTCGCTGATCATTTTCCGTGTACTACTAGCAGTCAAATGAAATCGCAGATGTAGATGTACGAGTTTACTGACGTTCCGGCCATCTCGGTGGACTTTTCCATTCCAACAATCGAAATGAGTCCCAGCTTTAGAATTTTCTTGGCACGATTAGCTAAGCAATTTTCCACTTTACTCCCCATGCCTACTGGCGAGGAGGTATTGTATTATTTATATGACATGTACATCACGAAAAACGATGTCTGTCCATGTCTGTCCGCTAATCCTTAACACGCCTATATCTTGGAAAGTACCGCTCGAATTTTAATGAAATTTTCACGCTAGATAAGAACTGTGCCAAAGACGAAAAAGCTTAGCAGTTTTTGAAAATCTATTTAATGGCGGTAGCGTAAAGGGCAAAAAACGAAAAAAATCTGACACAAAATTGTAGGGGTTAAAAATCGTACGGTTGGAGGATGTAGGGGCGGTATTTTTACTCACCTATTAGTACATACTAAACAAATATTTTCCCCATACATTTAATAATAATAATAGACGTCTTTATTTATCCACAATTACATTGTAGTATAGCTAAATGTCATACTTACAAGGCGTTTAGCATGTTGCTACTCTTACACTTAACCATATAGTCTCTAGCGGATGTTCAAAAGAATACACTATCCACAAACAGATTTGGTTCATTACATCGAAAGTAAAATTTAAAAAAAGAGAAAAAGGCATACTTTCCAAACCCAAATGCACCAACAAATTATTAATCTGAATTAAAGATGGAATAAAAAAGAAATGAATGATTACGTAAATTATATGTTTGGAGGGTTGAGTAATAATGTTTTAACTTTTTGTCGAAAGACAGGTAATGAAAATTCTTTATATACTTTAGGAAGGTCATTATAAATAATAGCAACATTGTAAGAAAAACTGCGTTCAAAAAGTGTAGACGTATGCAGGGGTATTCTAATATTATTTTCTCTGAGAGTTCTACAGTGAACGTCATTATTAAATGAAATTTTTTCCTTCAAGTAATAAGGTTTAGACGTGAGCAGCAATATGTGAACAAAAACTGAATAGTGATACTTGATCATGTCATTAATTTTTAACCAGTTTAGAACGGGATATTTCGCTGATACATGATCAAATTTACGTATGCCAAAAATGAATCGTATATAATCGAATAACTTGAATAACGTTTTTAGTGAAATTCTCTAAACAAGTATAGTATACGATATTACAATAATTTAGTATAGATATGGCCAATGCTTCACATAGTTTTTTACGCAACTTAAAATTTAGTAAATACCTGTTTGCTATAAGAGTGCGCAGCCGTAGGTAGGTTTTCTGAGATAGACTTTTAACATGTTCAATAAACCTTAATTTTGTATCAAAAACAACACCAAGAATTTTTGCAGAATCAGAAAATTGCAAGATTTGGTTATTTATCTGAATGTTCAAGAGCTGTGTTACATTGTATGTTTTTCTTTGTGCGCAAAATAATAACATTTTAGATTTTTGTGGAATAATAAGTAGATTGTGATCTAAAGAGTATTTAATTAATTTATTAACATCGTTTTGTAAAATTTGAGTAGTATTATTGACATTATCTGGGTTAAAATAATGGAGCAGTTGCGTATCGTCTGCAAATTACTGGACATGAGAATTATCAATACTTTTGCTTAAGTCGAACGTATATATGAGGAACAGAAGCGGTCCCAATACAGAGCCCTGAGGTACGCTTGAGGGAATTATTGTCACTTGAGACATTTCTTGATTGAGAAAAACACACTTTGTTCTTTGATGAAGGTAACTGTCGAAAAATGAAAGGGATATACTGTCAAGACCTATGTAATTTAATTTAGCAAGTAATAATTTATGATTGATGCTGTCAAAGGCTTTCGAATAGTCTATAGAGATTAAGGCTAGTGCCATTTTCTTATCTAAGGCACTTAAAATATTGTCTTGCAGATTAAGTAGGGCAGATGTTGTACTATAATTTTTTCTAAAACCGGATTGAGTGTCGGGAAGTATAAAGAATTTTTCTAGGTAAGCGGTCAATTGGAACTATAACTATAACTATAATTTTTTCTAAAATTTTGGATAAAATTGGTAATAAACTGATAGGTCTGAAATCATTATACTCAGTGGGTTTCATTTTTTTACTAATTGGAATAATTAGAGCTTGTTTCCATGTGTTAGGAAAGTAGCCTTTTTCCAAACAGTCGTTTGTCCTTAGAACACAGAAACTTTATAAAAGCAATAGGGGACTATGATAATGGCATGGTTGTCCGATGTGGTTCAGCACCGTTGCTAGATAGTCGATACTTAAGGCAAATCAGAAACTAGCATTAGCGTTATTAAATGGGTGGGAAGAATGGAGTGTGGACTACTTGTATGGGCCTGTGTGGCTCACTTGATCCTTAATTTTTTGTTAGTTATACATGTTTGTAGCTAGCTGAGAGGGACTAACTTGTGTCGAACGTAAGTTGCGTAAGTGCAGAGTCAACCTATTTGCCGCCATTTTTTTCTGTACATATTCGTTTGAATTTGAGATTGAAGCTTGAAATAAAACAAAAGATATTCAATTTCAGGTTAGCCAACTACAGCTACAAGTGGACGTTCTCAAGAATTTGAGAAATTCAGAGAGTGACAAGAGAAAGGAAGCTCTGAACGAGTGTCATAATCTGAAAAAAAATATCGAATCATTACAAGTTGAAAACTGGCAATTAAAGGAGGTAAAATGCACCACCTCTCCTTTTTTGATTTTCACTTCTTAAGTACTTGTCTAATCTAGTCATCTATTTACTAGTGACTAAAGATTTTATTTTACTGACAATATTACGCATTGTAGGAATTGCAAAACATCAGAGACGCTTTGGATAATACGCAGAAAAATATGGCGTTAACAAAGAGTGATCTTAAGAAGCGCTCTGAACAAATAAATAAAATCCAAGATCTACTAAAGAGGCAAAAAGAAGAAAAATTGGATTTGAAATGCAAGGTAAGAAAGTTACAATATTTGTATGAATATTTGTATGAACATTTAACTTTCGAACCGTATATGATTTATTACAATCCACTAAATATATAAATAGCATATCTATTTTGCATAGCACATAAATTCCAGAAAATTTCCCAAAGATATCTATACATTTAATTACATACAATTTATTTTTATCGGGAAAACCCCATCAGAAACTGTCCACTCACGTTGGTCAGTTCTTGAATGAATTTCGTCACTTTGCGGGTTGCGTCTCGCCTTCATATGAGATAATTATTATGTAGGTCTTAGTCCAGTTACGTTAGATTAAAGCTTATCTTTTAACGATGGCAGTGTCTCAGTGCACTTATTGTATGTACATAAGTATAGCGTTAGATCGTTTGGATTTGGAATTTATATTTCACTTGCTGCAACTTACACAGCTTGATGGATTTTAACACAGGAGGTGCGTCTAGATTTATCTTGACCGTACAAGTACCCTGGCTATAGGATTTTAAGCAGAAACTTCAACTTTGGATTGTTTTTTCGGTTTTTTCGGGCTACAGCCAAAACGGCTTGATGGATTTCTACATTTGAGGTGTCCTTACTTTCGCCTTGATAGCACAATTAAAACAGTTACTGCAGTCGGTTTTTAGTGTTTTTTAAAAATGTGTTTTTTCATCAATTTTCAAATTATGTACATCAGTAAATGTTGAACACTTGTGGAACGTTTTTGAGTATGATTATGATTCAATCAACAGCAAAATAATGCTTAACTTAAAGATACCTACTAAGAACACCTAAAATACTTTTTTATTATGCCATAGAGTGTCTAGGAAGAAGAAAAAAACAAACAATGAAATCATTATAGAGTTCGTTTTTTGGAAAATGTTAACTTTGGGTGTCAAACTGCGAACAGTAAGACGATTGCAGAGAGAATCTTATTCGTCCTGACATGGTGTAACCTTGGCCTTATCCGAGTTTCAAACAAGTTCTAAAGGAACCGCCGCATACCCATTCTGATCCTGCACCATAGATTCTCGAGATTTCAAAGAGTCCTGTCTTTGGCTACTGTTAGAACCCGAAAACTCTGGTACAGGTTTCTGTAGAACTCACAGGGATGTTGCGTAACTTGACAAGTGACATTATTTCATTTTTTTATGATATTATTGTAGGTTTTCCTACAAGATGTCAGCTAGGAACTAACTGTCGTTCACTTCAGCGCTTACTTGTAGCTGTCGCACTACCAGCTATCTAGTCAACAAGTTGACATGTTATTGTTTTATTTTGACATTAGGTTTTTTACGTAATAACCCAACCGCCTGCCCGCACGGGTATTATGTAAAAAGCCTACAAAATGTCAATCAGGCTATTTAGTTTTTAGGGTGCAAAAAGTCGTTTGCTCTCAAGGATCGTTGTGAGCGTCCATCTATGGAGGTATGCCTCAACTTCACGCATTGTTGGTTGCATATATTTTGTGAAGCCGACTAGTCTGTAGTTTTCACCTCTGAGCTGAGAAGAAAGTTGGTGGAATAGCAAGATCGCATCTGGATGATTATGTATGTGTATTGGTTTGCATGTGTATAAAATCAGTGATATTTGCTGTGTGAGAAAATTATTACTGAATATGCTGCCAATGAAGTATATCTATTTGCTGTGCGCGACGGGTTATTTATATATTGCCTTTTCTGAGGACAGGTTATGTTCAAAGTTATAAATTGCGATTTTTCCCATTTTTTTGTGTTTTTAAAAACTTTGGGCAGCTTTACGAGTAATCGCCACCGCCCCCGCTCGTATGCAATGAAGCTACATCACAAAAATTAATAATGACACATCAAACATTTTCGCAATGCCTCACATCTTGGCGCTGATTTGTATTTTCTATTGACATCGCAAAATAAATTTCTATAGGATTTAAATGACTGGAAATAAAAAGTAATTTAACAACCTTTTCACTTGCATAAATATTCCTGTCTGTAACATATCTTCTCACCTGTTCCTTCACCAACGAGGGATTTTCTTTTCTTATCTCTCTCATTTTTTAAATTCAGCAAATTTGCATATGTAATTTCCAGAATGAATAAGAAAACGTGGATGCGCAACTAATTTCTAGCTTTGAATCTCAAGTGTATTTGTGACAAGAATCCAATGGAATTATCAACACATATTATTAGCACACAAATCCTCACTATGCACCTATGCATTGCCGTTACCTTCTAGCTATAGTATACAACGTACAGCTTAGACCTCCAGTAATGCCATCTCTGAAGCAGATTTTACATAACTTCAGAGACAAACATTGATAATTAAAGCATCATGACGTTTAGGCAACACGTACAACAAAACGAGTTCTTAACGTGACCATCAGCTAGTGCTAAATTAACATGTTGTAGAAAAACCTACATAATGTCACAAGAAACCAATGCAATGTAAAAAAAATCGACATATTGTCACTTTTCAAGATACGTGATACCCTGGCTTGCGGATAATACTATTGTATCAAAATTTCATCGAAATCAGTCAGACAGACAGACCGACGGAAATTTCATGATTTTTCGTGTGTCATATACCTACCCAACATCCAATAACGTAATATCTTTCCGGTTTCTTCCGTTTCCGAATTTGTTCATTGGCACAGGAAATAACGCCCGGCAACATCGCGGTACATTATTGTAATCAAAGTGTTTCCAGTTTTGTGAAATAAATAATGTAAGTTACACCTCCCAAGTATTAGAGGGTTTACCAACAACATTTACTATAATGCGGCTGTAAAACAATGATTTTTTGTGTCTAATTTAGTTTTGATCTAAAATAACAACAACAAAATTCTTCCGGAGCCCATCAACTGTGAAGCAACGTTGCCACCTCTTGCAATATCTCCCCAAATAAAACAAATCGCAACATGAACACTCGACTGCACAGTAAGAAACAAAAGTTAATAACAGAACGAGTCAATCGGTCGCAAAATACAAGCTACATACATATACAGGTCGACGACCCAATTGACGAAAACACTAAAACCCAGGAAAGCATTGTGTTGGATATAAGGAACAGGTTGGCACAGAAGGAAACGAAAATTGAGGAGCTCAACAACACCTTAATTGAGCTGAACAAGAAAAATGATAAGCTTGCCAGAGAACTAGAAGCTAGGCAAGACACTATTGATTACCTGAAAAGCGTAATAGAAAAAGTTGTACGCAAAAGTATAGTTATGGATAATTCTACTCAGACACATCAAAAAGTCACATCAACTGTATCACAGACTGATGACACAAATTTACAATTAGACACATCGTATTCATTAAAAGGAGACATATCTAAACATGAAGGTCGAGCAATTAATACGCAAATCTCTCGTACAGTCCAACCAGAAGTAAGCAACTCATCAGGAAGTGTGGAATTGTATGTGAGGCCACAAACTGGCGCCAACACACAGAACGAAGAAAATCACAATACATCGACATCAAGCTTGTCTAAGACTCTAGATGACATCTTAACTACCGATGCTCATCCAAGCAGTGGGATTATTTCCAGTGACAGTATGACAACGAATATCAGTGAACCCATAGCTTTAGAACAACGACATGTAGGTAGTGATAAATCTAAAGTGCTGGTCTTCGGCGATGAGTTTGCAAGACATGCATCTTTTTTAGTACATTCCATTCTATCACAAAGAGATTTTATCGTAGAAGGTGTGGTCAAGCCGAGCATAAATGTTTTAGATTTAGTTTTAACTCTGTTTGAACATTCACGTCAATACGGTGAAAATGACCATGTGATTGTTATGATTAGCACAAAAAACGTTTCAAATTTCAGACAACTGAGCAAAAGCTTGAAATATCTGCTGCCAATCAGTAAAGTAACGAATCTACATATTCTCACTGAACGAAACCATATGCAGGACGAAAAGATTGATGAGTTTATTAGTAAGGCAATTGTAAATTTTACAGACAAAAACAAAAATACATCGACAAACTTTCAATGGAATGTTCAATTAAGACGAAATGCCTTAATCGGGCTGATTAATAATTACATACTCTCTAAGAGTAGCACAAATAATATTGTTTTAAAAGTAGTAAAGACAAATCAATTGGCAACTGTCAATAGCTCAGTTACTTCTCAGTTTTTTCGTACCCAATAAAGAAAGAATCTCTAAATTTAATTTCAAACTTCTTCACCTCAACATACAGTCTTTGCGTCACAAATCAGATGATTTAGCAGTGTTAGGATCTGACAATCAGTATGATGTGCTGTGCTTGAATGAACATTGGTTGTCTGAGGGTGAATTTATTGTTAATCAATTAATAGGTTATACACCAGTATCAAGCTTTTGTAGAAAAAATAAAACACATGGTGGTGTAGCAATCTTTATAAAAACCAACGTTGTTGCGGCGCCTTTGCCAGATTCAGTTTTTGTAGAAAAGGAAGAACAGACTTTTGAGATAGCAGGCTCTTATATTAACAATATTCAAATTATTTCGTTATACAGAAGCCCTAACAGCGATTTCGATACATTCCTTAATAAGTTATGTACTACACTTGATCGCTTAAATTACGAGAGGGATATAGTCATAGCAGGCGATTTTAATGTGAAATTCACCACCAATGACACTCGAGCACACCAAGTCGAAAGTCTATTTCGCTGCTATGGATTGAATAAAAAAGTCAGCACCAGTACTAGGAGGCATAACTGTCTGGACAATATATTCACAAACATAGACAGGCCCTCCGGTGTCACAGTTTTTGAGAGCTATCTGTCTGATCACCTAGCAATTGAATTTACATGTGAGCAAAGTAAGAACTTACGAACGTTCAACAGAGTTACTTTTAGGCCAATTACGGATGAGGGTCTTTTCAATCTGTACATGGAAATTGAGAAGGTTGACTGGTCATTCATCGGGGGAAATGATAACATCGAGCAAGCCTTTGAAACATTCATTCATCTAATCAGCAGTAAAGTTGAAAAATGCCTTCCATATAAATCACGTATCTTTGGTAGTGATAATAAAGGGGGAAGAAAA